TTCAGATGTGGCTCGTAGCCGTCCAATTGACCCCAGTTTTTGGAGGGAATCATTTCAACCAAGAGAAGAAAAAAATGTTTTTAAAATTAAAAAGGATCTATTTGTAATTTGTCATTCTAAACTAGACTTGGAGATAGTCAAATTTTACCCTTCCTATTCAGATCTCTGGGCAGCTCTGCATTTCATCCACTCATTCCATTAAAAAAAAGTCCCGTAAAGATTGGCCTGGGCTCTCAGGTGTCCATGCATCATTATATAAACCCTTTTGGGAGGACTTCACCTTTTCCTCTTCCTTTTGCAACCCTAAGTTTTCCTTTTCAGTTAGTCCTGAAATTTTGTGGAAGGCCTCATAACACTCCTGCCCATACTTGGCCAAGGTTCTTAACGATTTCTGTGTCAAGCACTACCAGTGATATTGACTGAAAATAATTTAGTCTATTATAGTAGCTAGAAGAAGGCTTTTATTTTTAAATGGTATTTTGTGCTGTGAGACTTATATCCTAGTGGTTGTCTGAGATGTAAAGCTATGTTTAGATTTAATTTTCTGATCTTATCACACTTCACAGTGTGCAGTGTCTTCTTCCCTTACCTCTTGCAAAGGTACAGCTTTTTCAGTAGAATGGAAATAATTTATTTCCCGAATGGGACTGATATTCTTTGAATGTCCATCTTGATGTTGATTTACATAAGGTGGATAAAGACCCATCTTTTAGCAGGAAAATGATTTTAATTGTTAGAAAAGTAGGAAGGAATACCACAACCATGGCAAAGAAAATTAAGCTCATTTTTGAGAAGGGCTTTAGTGTTCATTGTGTATAAATCTCTAGGTATTGACTTGGATTCTGTTAAGCCAGATAATTAAAACTACAGAAATTTAATGTGAATCAGTGTGGCTTACAGTAGACTATTACCTGAATGTGACTTTTAAGACATAAAATATATGGAGAAATTGAAATAGAGCGTTCACTTATGATATAGTCTTCCCTTGTCAATTTCCATAATGGGCCAGAGAACTTTTTGAAGTAATAGGGGAAAAACTGCAAGTGATGGATGATTATTGGTAAGTTTCTGTTTCTATCTCCATTGACTATTTTATTCATTCATTATTGAAACATTTATTGAGTACTTAGCACTAAGATACAAATAGAAAGATATGTCTTCTGCCCTCAGAGGAACCCACATTCTGGTAGGGGAGAGAAGGATGTGTGCCTGCGAGAGTTTTTGATAATGGAGTCAGATTGGTGAGCTAGCAGATGGGCCCTCATGGGGCGTGGTTTATCAGATCACCAAGGTCTAGTTTCATATCTGAGCTTTCAAAGCCCAGAGACTGGGTTTGGGCTGACAGGACCAGAGTCATTTGGGCCAAGAGGAACTGACATGTAGCCTCCAACCCCACAAGGGAACAAATCAGAATACCATTTAATAACATGCATTGAGAACTAGAATTAATAAACAGACCAGAATACATTCATTGGCTGTATGTTCTCTTAGGAAAGTCTAAATGGGAATCATAATGAACTAGTGGGTTGGTGAGGCTAGACTCAAAGCAAAGGCTGCAAGTGGAAAGACCTTGGCAATGGGTGCCACCAAACAGTGATTCCTCATTGGAGCCAAGCCCAGGAGTCCCACAGTGGGTCCCAGCCTGATGGATCCCAGCCTTTTCTATTAAATGAAAGACACTGACAAAATTGCTCTGGTCTTACAAGCCCTGTTCTTTCTATTGGCCCATTCTTTCACCAGATGAATTTAAACCATTGACTAGGATATAGGTTGGTGGAGTTTTAGTGGGTTTTTATTCAAGTTTAGTTAGAGTTCTAGGCAGTTTTTCCTTTGGCATAGGATATATTTTTTAGTTCTAGGACTTCATGGGTTTATTTTTTCTGTGTATGCAAAGAGCTAACTTCCTCTATTATGTCTTGATTTTGTTTGCTCTTTTAACTTTCTAAGGGTAAGCTTATCCTCACATTTCTCCTCCTTATTCGACACGACTTGTGCTTATCCTGTACAATTTGGCTTAAGCATCTTTGTCACAGTGCACATCTTGATGTGCTCTCCTCCCTGTTGGATTTAGACTCCCCTGCTCGCTCTTCTTATACCAGCCTATGCTTCTGTGTTCTTTTTAACACTCTTCTGTGTACTTATCACACTCAGGTAATTTATTTCCTCATTTCCCCTGTTATCATACTATAAACTCCATAAGAAGAGCAGCTACATTTTATCAAACTGGGTATCGCCAGCTGCTTGTTCAGGTGGTAGAAAGTAGGCACCCTGAAAAGGGATGGATGGGTAGGTGAATGGGTGGGTGGTTGGAGTGATATTTATGCTGAATCCTTAAATGATCAGTAAAATGTCTGGAGGGAAGAGAAGCCGCTGAAGACCACTCTCAAAGTCCAAGAGACGTTTTTCTCTCTCTTACTGGAGCACTCTTAGGACATTGACTGAAGAGAAGGGTGAGTGTGGAAAACAGTTTGCAGCTTAGTGTATCCCCTCAACGCCTCTGTCCTAATGTCATACTGTGATTAGTATTTGAAAGACGTGAAAATGGCAGTGTTCTCCAGTACTTTAATTAGAAGTGTTCCTAGTCTTTTGTAGTTTTGCTGCAGTTTTCTATTGCTGAGTAGCAAATCACCTCAAAGCCTAGAAATTTAGGACAATAGTTTATTGTTTCTCACAATTCTGAAATCTGGTTGAGGCTCAGCTGGGTGGTCTGCTTTACTTAATATCTTCAGGGGCTGGCGTATCCAACATGACTTCTTCACTCACATTGTGGTACCTCAACCAGGATGTCTGGAACCACCTGGGGGTTTGTGGGGGCATCTTTCTATATATGGCGTCTCTCCTTGGACTTTCTCACATAATGGTAGTCTCAGGGTAGTAGAACTTTTTATATGGTGGTTGTCTTCTAAGAAGGAAGATGCAGAAGCTGCCAGTTCTCTCAGAGGGTAGGTTTGGAACTGACCCAATGTTACTTTCATCTTTTTATTGGTCAAAGCCAGCCTGGACTCAAGGGGAGGGGAAATAGGCTCCACCTCTTGATATTAGGAACCACAGGCGTATCTAGGGAAAGACAGCAGCCGTCTATCGAGAAGAGATGATTTAAAACAGATCTAATATTATGTACAACAAGAAATAGACATAGAAATGGCATTTAAGCTAGTTTGTGCTAAAGAAGCATGTCAAAATGACTAGTTTTAGAGAAATGCGTTAAGTTTATTTGGATTTATTCTGGTATTGGTGGGTGATTGGTTTAATTATGCCCAGTGCTGTCTTATCTGTTTAAAGTCAAGTCTCTCTTTAATGATTAAAGTTGCTTTCTTTTTTAAAGTGAGAGCATAATGGCACTTTGATCCACAAAAATAAAAAAGATTCATTTCCTATTATTTTTCTCACCTTAAAAGGGTATTTGGGAAAGTGTTACATAATTAAAGTTTCTTGAATTGGGACTTCCACTGGGAAGACTTTGTGATAAATTTTCTTTCTTCCAAATGTTGTGATAGGAAATGGCCTGGAAATGACCCTGATAGCCCTTATTTCCTGCCCTGAGCCATTTCATGAACGTTTTATAAATGTGATAATTAGCTTCAAAAACTCTTGATAGACCCAAATAAATCAAGATAAGGACACAGTAAGTGGGGATGGAGATTGTGTCCTTTGAAGTATACACAGACTCTTAGTTCCCCTTTTTATCTGGTATTATATCTGATAGTCTCTTATAATTGATGTGTTACGTTGAAGCTTTTTGAATAGATTATGCCTCCAGTGTTTACTGTCACTCATCTCTATGGCATTTCATGGAACTACGTGTGTAATAAGAGTCATCATTTGTGGCATTCACAAAGAAACCGAGACCTGGGGTTTTGAAAGCCCTCTGGGAGGAGGCTGGATGAATTAATAATTCACCTGTGATGGTCTTTGATAGAGAACATAGTTCTTCTCTTCCTTTAGAATAAGGGAGCCTTATTCTAAAAACAGGATTTCAGATTACTTTCAAAGATGGACACAGTGCAAGCAAAGAGGTGAAGCAAACACAACAGGGAGAAAATATGGGCAGGAAATAAAGTTAAGTTCTTCAAAAATATATGCCCCAGAGTTCTTCATCTGTGCTGGAGGGGGAGGGGCCACAGATTTGACCCAGAGTTTCCTCCAATTAAGGGAAGAAGAGAAGCAGCTGAGACAGATGCTGGGCGATTCCCAGCTTAGCCACTAGCCTGAGGAGCCGATGGGATAGAGTCCTTCAACAAAATGTTTTCTTTCATGCTGTTCTTATAACCATGATCTGTTATAGTATCTGAAGATTACAGTCCATGGGAGAAAAAAATCCAGAACATTCCTCTCTGAAGCCTGAGGCCCAGTTTCCTCATATTGACTCTACAGCGACTTTAATTAGGGTACATGTGCTGCTGCCTGAAGTCACAAGACATTTATTATTTAAAATAAGCGTTTAAGCTTCATGAAACAAGAGCATTTCTAACATTATAGGAGGGAACGGAGCGTTCACAATTCATAGATTCAGTCAACGAATAGTGATGAAGGGCCTTCTACGGGTTACACTGGGGCTGTGGCAGTAAGAACAGACGTGAAGAGACGGATGCAGCAATGGTGTCACAACAATGTGAATGCACTTAATGCCTTTGAGCCGTACACTTAAACATGGTTCAGAGGCTAAGTGTTGGGTCTGTTTTACCACAATTGAAAAAAAGGCAATTAAGGCAAATAAAAGGCAATATAGTGGGACTAGATCAAGCACGTGGATGGGGGAGTGTTAGGGTCCCTGATGGGGCCTCCTCTCTGGAGGGGTCCCTGAGCCGCTGGTCTAGAAGGACTCCGAACCCCTTGCCCTGCTTGCCTTTGGAAGTTTAGGGAGCCAGGGAGGTCCCCCATCTCCGTGTGTGGCCTCGGGAGGGGAAGCTGTGGGAGAGGCTACAGAGACTGCCTGGGGAGGCTGGCCCGCCTTTCTGTCTTCACGTATCCAAGTCCTGTCCTGGTGCTTTCCTCCGCAGACAGCCATCCTGAGACGACAAGGGCGGTACAGATGCTCCACCATCCCTGAAAACGCGCAGGAGAAAGCCCAGAGCTTATTTGTCACAGAGGTAGTATGTTCCTTCTACATTCACTTACATGGTACTTAAGTCGTTTTTCTCTAATACCTCCCTCCCTTTTTAAGAATTTCAATGATCTTCTCAAGAAAGTGTCACAGAGGTAATCACGTTTTTATGATGGAAGTGAGGACAGAATAACATGAGGTTTTCAGAGTCTGAGGCTTGGACAGAAATGTTAACGGGGCCAATTCTGATGATAAAACGTGAATTCTACAGACTTATCATAGGCTTAGAATAAGTTGTAAATAAATGCACTGGACACATGGTAGACATTGATGTCATTCCTTTATCTCATTTATATGTTTATACTTATAACTCATCATCAAGACGAGTTCAGTACACATGAAGTACCAGGTAATAATGAGCAGAGCCTAATTATCCCTGATCAGTGTATGATTATTATTACTTTTGTTTGAACATACAGGTAACAATTGTCTTATTAAGGTGGAAAGAGAAATTACTGCACTGAGATTGCTTGCTCTTTCTTTATTGGGGTGTTTGTTTCTTTCTCCAGCTGCCTTTAGATAGGATGAACTAATTAGTGCTTTGATTTTGTGTCAAGTGCTTCTTCATTTAAAATAGTGGATTTTTTGTTCCCATTCTTCTAGTTGATATTTATAAGCTTAATCTGCCCATCAAATTTGCCCACTGTAAGGAGATTATGCTTTTATAAGTAAAGACCAATAAAAGTAACAACATTTAGTGTCCATTGAGATTTTTGAAAAATTGAATATATAGTTAAAGTTTTTGAAGTGTGTTCTCTTGCCAGTCTGAAGAGATAACTTCTTGTCTTACCTCCTCTGCCACTCTTAGTAAAGTTAATGCCAGACAAATACAGCCAGATAAGTTTACATAGTCTCAAATGTTTATTTTAAAGCAAGACATAGGCAAACTGTCCTGCAGCCAGTTTTTGTAAATAAGGTTACATTGTAGCAGGCCTGTACCAGTTCACACCCAAATGCCCCTTGACTATTTCACATGACAACAGCAGACTTGAATGATTACAACAGAGACAATGTGTCCCTCAAAGCTGAAAATACTATCTGAACTTCTGAAGAAAAAAGTTTGTTGATCCCTGTTTTAAGGCACGTAGCAGTTTCTTTCTTTCTTTTTTCTTAATGGAGGTACTGGGGATTTAACCTAGGACCTTGAACATGAGAAGCATGCTCTCTACCACTGAGCTATATACCCTCTCTCCCTTTAAAAAAAATTTTTTTATGTAGCAAAATTTTTAATTACTAATTCAGTTCTCCCAATTGCTTAAAAAATACGATTTTTAGAGGACAGCTCTCCATTAAGCTCTGTTGTCGCTGCAGGTTAGGCAATAGCAACTTCATCCTCTGCAGCAGGAGCCAGCAGGACTCCACCCTCTTGGCCCCTTCCACCAGGGCGAGGTGGACCGGCACTTCCTCCCTGTCCTCTCAGCCGCAGGAGAATGACCTAATGGCTTGAAAAAAATTTTTTTCAAAAACCTATCAGTATAACTTCAAAATATTATTGAATTTCACAAGCTGGAAAAGTCAGTCATGAAATCAACCAGTCAGGTCCCTGTGTTTTTAGAGATACAGTTCCCTAGGCCCTGATTTCTGACTGAACCCTTATCGCCTAGACATTCTACACCCCCAGAGGGGAGGAGGTTGCTTGCCGCCTTCTGTGCTTCTGCCTTGGGATTTCGCCTGTGCCTGTCATGTGGGCAGTCAACCATGGCTTATTAAATGAATGAATCTCTGCCTACTTAATGTGGTTAACTATGTTTTTTGCAATCCTCATAATTTAAAATATTTAAACATTGTAATTATCTTTGTTTCCCTTTTTGCCCAAGATGAAAAATCTGTGTACTCAGGTTTCCGTTCATAAATGCACTGATTCTATACAAGTGTATGCTTCTTTATTTATTCTTTAATTGGGCAGGTATGTTTTATACTTTGGTATAGGTTTAATGTCCTGCAAGAGATGTCAGTGGTATGACTTTAGTTGCAAGGCTTGATGAAAACCCAGAACAAAGCAAATAGGAGCATGTCCACAAGCCTGTGTCGTGCAGAGTCCAATCTAACTTTTTTGTGCGTCAGGGATAAAAACCCAAACTTACGGATAGCTCTGGTTAGTTACGGATGGTTTTGGGATGTAATTTTGCACGTGGATGCCTGATGTTCTAAATGTTCCAAAATACGCTCTAAGTTTAAAAAGTTAAAAAAAAAAAGAAGCATTTATAAGAGTAAAATGGTACTTTAAAACATTTGTAATCACATAGTGAAGAAATTGAAAAGTTGTTTGGCTCCCACATCTGACTTTGTTCTTAACCCTCCTCTGCTCTTTACTCCACCACGGAGGGATAATATAAAAAACTTACACTACCTACCCTTCACAACCTTGCTGACAGAGTGCTTAGCATAGAGCCTGGTCCAGGGGAAGCACTGGCTGGTGTTGCTGTAGTTATTTTCATGGCCTTGGGATGCAGGGGAGTTTGCTTCAGAAAGCCCTGGGGCCTGAAGTATGAAATAGATAAAAAGGCTCATAGTATAAACAATGACTTTAAGTAAGCAGAATAGAGACTTTGTTCATGATGTTCATGAGTCAAGTCAACCTATACAGAAAATCGTTAGCTGGTGGCAACTAAGTCAAACACTTCACCTGTTGATTTTGACTCAATCGTATTTGAAGATCTGGTGGATGTGACGTTATAATAATCTTAAGTGCTCAGTGCTTAAGTGCTCAGTGGCTGCTCAGTGGCTCCTCCTGGACAGGAGAATGAAAGACACTGTATGTTGGTTGAGGCTGTCAGGTAGCAAGGTGGTTTAATGCACTCTGTAGGTTAGTGTGACATGGAATCCTGGGCGTTGGGATGCCCCATACATTGTACATTCTCCATACACATGCACACGAAGAGGTCATGGTACCACTGAATTGGAACTAAATCTTTCTTCCTAGTTACCTCACACCGTCCCTTATAACTAGCATGAAAATCTAAGGGCACATGTATGTAATGCTGACTAACAGTGCATGTTGTAACATTAGTAAATACCATGACAGTGTCTTTAGGTTCAAACTTTCCATTTGCTTTCGTGTTCTTGTAGAAGCCACAAGGCTTCTAAGGAGCCAAATGCTTTTAAGGCAGAAACAGCATATTGTTATGTAAGTGCAGCAAGAGGAGGTGAAGTTTGTCTCCTTGGAACATCTGCTTCTGGATCATGAATGGTGGTGTCTTAAAGTGACCCCTCTCCCAAGGGCAGTGTTTCAGCAGTTCTTAAGCTTCATAGGAACCTCTGATTGTGGAATTTCAGGCATGAAAAGCTTGAGGGGAAAGAATGTTTTTGATGTTTGTGTGGGCGTGAATTCATAAACTTTCTCAAATGTTTGCCAAAAGTCATCACATGTCTTTTTTCTTTTCCTCTTATGCTTTATATATTTTTTTTACCTTCTCCTCTTCCAAATAGTGCATCAAAACTTATAACTCAGACTGGCATCTTGTGAACTATAAATATGAAGATTACTCAGGAGAGTTTCGACAGCTTCCAAAGTGAGTAAATGATCAGACCACACAAGGTGGGGTTATACATACAGGGGAAGTTCTTTGTACTTGAAATGCCTAGGGAGGTGCATAACTTCACATGCAGTCAGAGTGATTAGAGAAAATATTTCCAGATTGTTTGTGTGTATATGGTGTAGCTATTGTTTACGGGGTATTTAATAATAGGCCTGAAGCCTGGTACTCTAGGATTGGTGGGTGGTAATAAACACATGGATAGTTTGTTTATGTTCATGATTCTGCTCAGGGTACCACTGATAAAACACAAACAGGTGAGGTTTTTTTTTTTCAGTGAGAAATAGAAAACAAAGAAAATCTAAGTGTATTTAAATAGAAAACAAAGAAAATATCAGTGCTGGAGTGTGTTTTATATTAAAAAGAATATTTTGAAGAGACATGAAAAGCATTTTATAGTGAGTAAATTTTATGTTTTAAAAAAAGTACATCAAAGAACAAACATTTTCCCAAATTTCTGTAACTCTTTTAAAGTATTAACTCATTTCCGAATACACCAAGAGCAAGAGTGTTCAGATTAATTAACAGTGGTTAAGTGAACCAGGTATAGATAGGCCCTGCCTTGAGAGGATATCTGCTCTAAAACGGTACATCCTGAAATGATGAAGTTGGCAAATTTTAGTTCATTATGAAAATTGAAAGCAATTAATGATGGATTGTGTTTCAGAAGTAATTGTTGTCAGTGAAAATTTTACTTGGAGCCCTATTAATATATTTTTCTTTGTGTTTGTTGCATCTGTTAAGTTTGAACTGTTTATACTGTTCTCGGTGGACCTAGCTGTTTGTTTTCTCTCTTTGTGTGGTTCAGCCACTCCTTAAAAGTGTTCAGCCAACTTCCCGATTGCCTCGTCTTAAACCTCAGCTGAAAATAGTCCCTTCTAGCATTGTCTTCTCCAGATGAGTGTGCTGCTTAGTTCTGTATTTACCCAGTACTCATTTGGGGACTTAATGCTTCCCACTGGATTGGGTTAACCTGTCTTCACTGATAGTGTTATTCATGCTGTTCTCAGGACTGAAAGAGAACAGACTGAGGATATGGTGTATTCACTATATGATATACTTTTACTGCTGATAGGTTTTGCCTCTTGGCTTTAATAAGAGTTTGAATTGTGTGATGAGAAGGAGAGGGAGGTCCTCACAATGATAGATTCTGTAGTCTGCCTGCACCACCTACTTACTCTGTCCCCTGGAAGCCTCAGTTTCCTCATCTGTTAAATGGTCTTAGCACCAGTCCCCACCATCAGAAGGACTAAAGGAGATAACGTATGTAAAGTACACAGCACAGTGCCTAGTGCATAGTAACTGTTTAATAAAGGCTGACTGCTATGGTTATTGTCCTGTTTTTGTTGTTAGTACTACCATCATTAAGACTGTGGTTCCCAATCACTTAATTTTTTTTGTTAATTTTTCTTCAGTAGAGGGGGTAATCAGGTTTATTTATTTGTTTTTAGAGGAGGTACTAGGGATTGAACCCAGGACCTCATGCATGCTAAGCATGCACTCTGCCACCTGAGCTATATCCTCCCCCTTTCCAATCACTTTAAATGCAGTGACCTCATTTTAATATTTTCTTACATAAAGTTCATATTAAAAGTTATTCTTCCAAGTCTTTATTTATTAATACACTTTCCCATTTGTAATATACCAAACTCCCAACAAGTTATGCCATCGTTTCTACGTGGCCTTTGGGAGCTCTCCAACTCTTGGATCACCCACTTTGAAAAGCAACATCGTCGATCATTTTTAGCTGCATAGGCCAGCTTTGGATTTGTTGAAAGGCTGGTTCCTCTGATGAGGGAGGAAATGCAGCCTCTCTTCATAGATGAGGTAATTATAAAACCAATTTCTTTCTTCTTTTTAAAGCAAAGCGGCCAAGTTGGATAAACTTCCAGTTCATGTCTATGAAGTTGACGAGGAGGTCGACAAAGATGAGGTAGGATGTTTGTCTACGGATTTAAAAATTGAACTAGTTCACAGAGTTAGGAGATTAATTGGAAAATTTCCAACATTTAGCCAAAACAGGAATTGGAATGTTTCTTGAAGCAAGGAAGGAGTTTTTTTAAATGTATTGTTTAGTTGATTGAAATACGGTCTCTATTTCAACTTGACTGCTTGGCATTGCCTGTTCTTCTGGTCCTGTTTATTTGTTGTGAGGTCATTTTCAAAGACCTGGATAAGATTTGGCTACACTGTTAAAAGATCAAGATTATTTAGACCTAAAGTTTAGGCTTTTTTTTAGCAGGATATTGGAAACAAACTGGCAGCCAGTAGATTTTAAATGGCCATTTCTTCTGTGACTGCTCTGAGAGAAGTAGATACTACCCAGGAGCTCTGATTTTAACAAGCCCACTTCCCCTACTATTGGAGAAATGATTATGGCCAGATAAGTGTACAAAGAGAGCTAGGCATTAAGGCGACTGTGTCCACTGAGCAAGGAAAACCTAATAAAAAGTTAGTGCCGCCCATCTCTGCGTTTCTTACTCTCCCCTAATCAGTACTGGATGCCTCATTGTGAATTTAGGGGGTTTTTCCTTTCTTTTTTTTTTTTTCGTCAGCTAAGACATTACACCAACCATTCGAGTGTTAGCAGTGTCCATGGGAGCCAGTTATTTTAGAAACCACTTTAAAAATATTCTGGGAAGAGTAAGTAGTCATTCAAAATGATACAAGATACGAAAAATGAACAAGATATTAAACACTTGATGCTGATTAATAGTAAGAGGAGGATTGATTGAAATACTGCATGTAAGGGTGCACAACAAACTGTAAAATCCTGGACAGTTACTCCTATCATTCCTAATAATAATAACAACAATAAAACCATCAATATCAAAATCGAGGTGGTCTAAAACAAAGCGTAAGATGGGTCTTTCTGAAGCTGTCTACTTGATTACAGAAGCAAAGATCATAATTAGACTAGTCTTTAGGAGGTCTTGGCTGGGTGACCTGATGCCATGTGGCCCTCTCGTTCCATAGTACCTATGAAGTGTGTGTCGGGCACAGACTTCTAGGGGCTAAGACATCACAAGGGAGCATCTTAGAGAGTGAGGAAGAGGCCCACTTCAGGGTGTGGTGAAGGATCTGCCACATTGTGTATTTGTGTGTGTGTGTCTGTTTCATCTGTCTGCTTATTACATGTACAAATATATGTCTAATATATTTTTAGCCGCAGCTGGCAGCCCCATGCCCTTAAACCTAGATCTCAGAGCTGGAGTCAGAACTCAAGGAAATATGTTTCTTCACTTTTCTAGCTGCTGCCCTTCACTTTTCTCTCTCCCCTTTCCTCTCTCCCTGTTGTGTTCTTGCCTCTCTTCCCATCTGTTCTGTTGCCCCAGCGTTTTATCTCTCCTTTCTCTATTGCCTCATATTTCCTTCCTTTCTTATTCACCTTTCCCTGAACTAAGCATCTGGGAAGTTTTCCAAGAATTTGCTTTTGTCCTCCAACTCTAGGGGAGTGTAATGTGAAAACATTTTTCATGAAACCAGGCGAGACCTTACACCTCGAGTGGTCAAGTATGGTATGTACTTTCTGTGGCTCATTAAACACCTAAAAATAAAGGAAAAATTTTGGACCTGATCTAGCTGTACCTTTTAATGGACTGGAGTTTGCAGAAGTTCAGTCCTGCTCCCCTCACTGTACTGCTAAGTGGATTTAGTAGGTGTCTGTGCCAGCTGGTCACTCCAGTCACGTGGGGAGGGGCAGCCTGGCATAACTCCAGTGATTTCCCTTCGGTGACAATGGGAGATTGATTGTGGGGTGTCCCTTCTCTCCTAGGACGCCGCCTCCCTCGGCTCTCAGAAGGGTGGGATCACCAAGCACGGGTGGCTGTACAAAGGCAACATGAACAGTGCGATCAGCGTGACCATGAGGGTAAGGAGGCCCATCACCCTGCCTTCCCCTGAGTGAGCCCTCTTGCTGTAGGTCTTGGGAATGATGCTCAAAAGAAGTGGGTATGCTATTTTTCCCAACAAAAGAGACATTGTCTAGTTAGATACCCCCCTGATTGACCGACCACCATGGGTGCAGCCCATGGCTCCACCCCCTCCCCTGGTCACCCTCCGGCCACCAGCATGATGAGATCGTCGTTGGGCTGGTGTGAAGACGCGGCCACCCTCACAGCCTTTCTTCTCTGTGTTAAACACAAAAGGGATGCTTAGTACCTCACAGAACATCACTGAGGGGCAACTGAAGTACTTCTGTGGATGTCTTACTGCAACAGAGTCCAGAAAAGCAGAAATCAAGAACTAAAAGGAAAATGGTTAAACTGTAAGGGGGTTGCCAAGAAAAAGTAAAACTAGTGTTAAAAGCCATTTAGAAGAGAAGGAGGACCAGAGAAAGACTGGGATTAACAGTAAAGAAAAAAGAAACAATGGAAGGAGGCAGGATGGACAGAGAGATAAAAATTAAATCAGGGAAAATGCTGACTGTCGCAATCCTGGGGCTGGAAAATCATCCAGTGTCATGAGGTAGGGGATAATTCCTCTTCCGTGTGAGCAAGAAACCCTGGGGATTTGAGTAAGTTTCCATCTTTCTGAGCTGCATCCCAAATTGGAACTTACTGCACCACTTCTGGGTAGTTATGTAAAAATCTCCAATTCTGTGGGCAAAAAAAAATGACCCATGAATGTTAAGTGAACCAGCTCCTCAGCATTTAAATGCAGTGAAATTATTAGCTGTGATGGAGAGTCCTAACTCACCCAGTTACCTGGGGCATTGGCCAGAATTAGATTTGTTTTGGAGAGAAGTGGAATTGTATTTTACATAAGGGTATAGTTGTGAGTTATTGATAGAGATTGTGGCTCTTTTCAGTTTGAAGCAATAACTGTGTGCGTTTTCTTCTCTCAGTCATTTAAAAGGCGATTTTTCCACCTGATCCAACTTGGCGATGGGTCCTACAATTTGAATTTTTATAAAGATGAAAAGATCTCCAAAGAACCAAAAGGATCGATATTTCTGGATTCCTGTATGGGTGTGGTTCAGGTAAATGCCAATAGAGTTTTATTACATCAAGTTTTCTCATTTGTAGAAGTGCCACCTACAAATTAGCAGATTTAAGCCAACACTTTGAAACCTGTCAATGTTTGTGGTAGAAATATAATAGCTGACTCAAAAATGAGTAAAGCCTTGTTTTTCATCATTTTAGAAGACAGTAGGTATAACGTAAAAGCAGAATTACGTTGTAGTGGGCCCAAGTGCTCTGGTGTATGAGTTCTTGTGTTTAAGACCTGGCTGAGGTACTTTTTAACTGTGTGACCCTAGGCTGATTCTTAACTGAAGTTACTTCATAGGCAGATATTCAGATAATGATAATATGTCCTTAATAGGGTAAGAGGATTGGATGAGTTAACTGGAAATATTCAGAACAGTTCTTAGCATCTCAGGGATGACTTTTATCACTGCCATCCTAGTACCAATGGCCGAGTAGTATATTGGTCAGAAGCTTGGGTTTCAGATTCAGACTGAGTTCACATCCCTGCTCTATCCCTTACCAGCTCTGTAACTGTGGAGATATCATGTAACGTCTCTGGGCCTCAGCTTCCTCATTTGTTAAATAGGAGTAACAATAGTGCCAAATACAGTTATGGAGAGGATTAATCAATACCTACAAAGAGCTTCGAGCAGTGCTGGCACATGGTGAGCATTCAGCTGGTATTAGGTTATCATAGCACTGTTAGATTTGTAGAGTTATTCTTCACAATTATTTAAGTATACATAATACATGAATGTATTCGTATTATAAAAGGTTAGACAATACAGCTAGTGTGGAAGTCTCTGTTGACCCCCATCTCTCCCTTTCCCGAGGAGGTGCCGTTACCATCTTGGCATGCCTCCTTCTGTTCCTTTGTAGAGATTTGAAAGCAGGTTGCCAGTTCTCCTGTCTGTCCGTTCATCCATCCACCCGTCCATCTGTCCACTCCCCTCCCATTTCCCAGGAGGGTCTAAGGCAGCAATTTACAAAGATACATAAAACACAGGATATTGTAAGTTTAAAGTGGGTGTGAAAGGTGAACAAGGAGTCGGGGTAGGAAGGAGATGGAGTGGGATTAAGTTAAGGAAGAAGCATATATTTTAAAGACCCAACATCCGCTCTGGGTGGGAGACAGACCAGGCTGCACGCTCTCTCGCTTGGAGACCCTTCAGCTGCACAGTGCAAGTAGACACAGACAATCCAGTTAGTCAGAAGCTGCCCAAGTAATCTTAGAATGAAGCTCATTCAGGCATTTCTCCTGGGGCCCGCATACAGAGGGCACTGTGTGATTAACAAGCAATCTCCTTGACGACTCCTCACAATAGATGCAGTCACCGTTATCAGAGAATTCTTCCTTAAAATGACTCAGTGTTGGCTGATGACATCGGCTCCAAGCTCGCTTCTGTAAGAAAGCTTGTTTTGTGGGGCCATTGTGACTAAGGTTAGAGACACAGCCCCCTGGTTTGACCCTCAGGTAGACGTGTTTGTGTATTCATGTGTTTACTTAAAATTGCATTTTCATCCAGATAATGTGTTCATCTGGTTTCAGCAGACAGTACAGGAAGGTAGCGCTAAAGGCATATTACTGCCAGCATCAGCTCCACTTCACCTACTCCCCACTCCCTGAAATAATCATTTTCAACTTTCCCCACAATTTTTTTCTGAGATCTGCCTCCCTATCACTAAATAAGGAGTGTTTGCTTCTCTTCATTCGTCAGTCATGGACATTATACGATGGTGGAGAGGACTGTAGCTCCTGCACCCTCCTTCCTGCTCGCATCTGGACTCATTGCTTTCCCAGCCTCTGCACAGTCACCAGCCTGTAAATTCCCTTCCCCTTCCACCCCATGTCAGATTCCCTGTTTCCAGGATCCTGTGTCTTCTTTCTCATTTTACTTTCTTGTTTTGGAGGAACACATGCTCCAGTAGCTTCCTGGGAAATCATATGTAAGATCTTAATGTTTTGAGAGTTAGTATATCTGGGATATCTTTAATTTTGCATTCATACTTGATTGATAGTTTGGCTGGATGTGGAAATCCAAGGTGAAATTTACCTTAGAATTTGGAGGCATTCCATTGTCTTCTAGATGAGAGTGTTGTTTTGGGGTCTGAGGCTGTTCTTATTCCCTGTTCTTCATGGTCTTCTCTTTATCTCTGGTGACCTGACACTGAGATTATTGTGTCTTGATTTAGAATTTTTGGTAAGCTTTTTTGTTAAGGCATAATATATAAGTAGAAAATATATACATAATGAATGTATGACAGAGTTTTACTGAGTTTGGATCTCTATTATCTACTTGTGCTGGGATCTCTGTTCTTGTTCTGGAGACTCTGGTCAGCACATTCCAGCCACCTGGGTCTTCCTGAACTCTGGGCAGTCTCTTCAGACAGCAGGACTGTAGGACTTTGCTTGGGCACAGCTTCCTGTGCCACGGTCCAGATACAGCCTGCAGACCAAAAGCTGAGGTGATGATGGGCTCACCTCATTTACTTCCTTTCTATCTGGGGTACAAGGCTGCCCTGGCTGCTGAGAGATACCTGAAAACAGTTGCTGCATCTATTTTGCCCAGTTCTCTAGTGGTTATCATGGGAGAGTAAGTCCAGACCCTGTTACTTCTTCACAGCCAGCATGGAACTTAGGGGTCCAAACTCAGGTGGCTGCAGGAACCAAGCAGTGAAATTAAATGAAAGAAGAGGCCTGGGTGTACAGCGATAGGGAATGCTGGGGACTATGACAAACTGGAGCACAGGTGGTCCAGTTTAAAGGGGCAGCTGCTGCTGCTTGGCAGAACCACCAGCTCAGGGCTGCCAGATCATCTGGTTTTTCAAGAGAACCAGAAATATAAATTTTTAGTTAAATCTTGGTATTTTTAATTATTGGTAACTAATTTAAAAACAACAACAAAAACAAAAACACTGTGCAGAACCAAAATTTAAAAGGGTAGAATACATGAAAATGTGTTTAGGTCCCAGATCAAGATGATAACACCACTTAGTGTTCCCTGAAAATCATTTTTGCATCAAATCTAATCAGCACACAGCAGTCTCTGGTAGTCATCCAACTTCAGCTGAAAGCTGCCCCTCTGGAAACCACATTATATCAAAGTATGTCAACTCACAGCGTAAAGGAAGGCATACCAGAACACCTTGTCAATGACAGTGAAATAACTTCCTGTGTGTTTTTCCCACATAGGAGTTTATTTGTATCCTTAAACTGAGAGACCTTTTAAGTTTATTTTTTAGTTGAGCTTTCTGGCATTGACTTTTTTAAAATGTTTATAAGCAAAACTAAATATATTTGGCAATTTCATTTGGAAGGTAGAAGGAATTACTTTTGTTTTGTAAGAGAGTTTTATTACCTGTCTTCAGTGGAGTGTATAGGTGATTTATATAATGCAACATCCTTGATCATTTAGTCTCAACATCTTGATCATTTAGTGCATTTCAGAATCTAAGGTTCTGACTTCAGTGGACGTCTCTTCCTTCAAATTCTTTTGGCAGATGTGGCTGATACTGTTTTTCATTTAATGAATTGTATCTAAGGCTTCAAAAATTGTAAATACTATGTTTTTATCCACATCTGTTTATAAGCTAACATCCAAAAGTTATAGCTTCAGTGTTTTGGGGTTTTTTTCTTAATATTGCTTTTGGATGTTGTAAAAAAATTAGTTGATTAATGCTGTGAGTTTAAGAAAGAACCTGAACTAGAAAGAACCAGTTGTAAATCTTGAGCCCTAAAAGTATTTTAGAACCTTAAAGTTGATAACACTTATTTGGCAGGTAAGGAAACTGATCCTCAGAAAGAGGAATAATTCAGAATTAGGCCTAATGCTCGCCCCACTTTTCACTTTTTATTTTCATAATAGTGAGTACGTGAGGGGCATGGGGGAGAGAATGTTCATTTCCAGCCTGTGGCCCCTGCTCTGACTCTTGCCATGAAGTGTGAGGTGCATGGTATGGCCCACCTGGCCTTCTGTGCACAGCAGTCCGTGTGCTCCGCCCAGGGTGGCACTCTCCTGAGAACCTCGCTGCAGAGGGCACAGTGATGCCTTTGAGGGGGTTGCCCTGTCCCTGAAACCTATACTGAGAGCCCACCCAGGGGCTGCAGCTCACCAGCTAGAATTTCAGTGGATGAGTGCTCCGCTCTGCCCCCACATCCTGGGGAGTTTGTGATGTCATATCCCTCAGCCTTTACCTACCAGGAATCTTGTGTCCTGTTCCCCAGAGCTGACCCTCCATCTAGTGCAGTCACCAGGGTGATTTTACCCCCTGGAGATGTTTGATAATATCTGGAGACACGGTTTGATCTTCACAACTGAGATGTGTGCTGCTGGCATCCAGTGGGTAAGGCCAGGCTGCTGAACAGCCAACAGTGCACAGGGTGACCCCACAACAGAGTGTCATCACTCCAAGTATCAGTAGTGCCAAAGTGGAGGAACCCTGGGCTCAGGCACATTCATTCATCATTGTTTAATGCACATGGATGCTGTTTTTATACTTCGAGTAAGCCCCCCTTTCACAGGCATAAAAACGGGAGGCATGAGGAAAGCTGGGGGAAGGTAGACATGGTATCTAAATACCTTTTGGGACTCAAAAATGATGAGAAAATTCCAGATAAGGAAATCAGACATATTGATAGATAACACTTTGCTTTTTAAAATATAATACCACACACTACTTCACTTCAACAAATAGGAGCTAGAAGAATTGAAATTTTTCAGTGAAATTTCGTTCATTCATATATTTTTTAAGAGCCTATTATTTTCCAGGCAGTGTTCTAGAAATAGGGATGTAGCATTGAACAAAAGAAGTCTCTGCTCTGAGGCACTTCCATTCTATTGAATGAGACAGGCCACAAATAAGATAAATATGTGAAATATGTAGTATGTCAGGTGGGAAAATAAAACCGTGAAGAAAAGAAGGCAGGGAAGGTGGGTAGTGATGGCGGTTTATGGGGGGAGGGGCTCCCCTTTTAAAATAACTTGGTCTGAAATGCCAATGAGATCCTACCCATTAGCAGATAATGAAGAGAAGAATTTTTAAGGCTGTCCAGTCCTTTTAAAATGCATCTCTTTACCCTTTTTCCATTTCAGAACAACAAAGTCAGGCGTTTTGCTTTCGAGCTCAAGATGCAAGACAAAAGCAGTTATCTTTTGGCAGCAGACAGTGAAGTGGAAATGGAAGAGTGGATGACAATTCTGAACAAGATTCTCCAGCTCAACTTTGAAGCTGCGATGCAAGAAAAGCGAAATGGAGACTCTCATGAAGGTAGGCGAGTGTAGCTTTCCCCTTTGTGCGTGCACACTCTGCGGGTGTCTTAGACTTTGCCAGAGGGTATAGGAAGTAGGCAGATGACTGCACAGGTGCATGGAGGTGGGACAGATGTGAGCTCTTTACAGACGGCCTGTCAGCAAAGGTTTTGTCACAGTAGAATGCACTCCTCTGGCATCATTTGTATAAGGAAATCATGTCACGGGAAGAATCATAGCTTTGGACGCAGAAAGGAAGACCTGAGTTCCTCCTGAGCCTTCCCAGCAATACCATCTTTCAGCTGTGCGATCTCGGGCAAGCTACTTACAATTTTGGAACCTTAGTTTACTCACCTGTAAGATGAGAATTAAAAACAGAACTTGCTGGTCAATGGGAAGATTAAATAAAAAAAAAATGTATCTCAAGTACCTGGCATAGAGTCAGCACTTAAAATACTAACTGTAGTTTCTATTCTTATCATTAATCATATCCTTTGGAATTTTCAAGTCAAACTCAGGATGGGCGGAAGCCTCAGATTAAGTTGGTGGGGGAAATCTGGCTACGTTCTTGACAATTCGTGCTTTATGTCAAGCCCTTGGACAGGTGATTATTCCCAACCCTGGCTGTGCATCAAAAGTGCCTGGGAACTTTTAACAAATACCCTTACCTTTGTCCCACCGGAGATTCTGATTTCGTTGGCCTGAGCTGGTGCCTGGGCAGGCCTGACTCTCAGCGAGCCTGGTGGGTGTGGCCCTGTGAGCTAGTGTCCACAGCTAGTGTCAGTTCTGGTTAGACAGTGTCCATTCTGTTGCAACCGTCAGATGTTTAACGCTCACCACTGGGCCTGGTGTCAGCATTTTTAAAAGGCTCTGAAGTGTTTCAAGGGGGCATCCAAAGTTAAAAACCACTGTGTTAGAGGGTACATAAGAGAAACAGCCTTCCTCCTCCTGTTTTAAATAAAATACATTCAACTAGGAGTGATTTAGGTAATCTGTTTCGCTGTTTTAGATGATGAGCAAAGCAAGTTCGAAGGTTCTGGTTCCGGTTTGGATAGCTACCTGCCTGAACTTGCCAAGGTAACGTCATCTTAAATCTTCTGCTCTTCATGGAATGATGTTGAAATGATTAACAGTTACATGGTAGGAAATTATTAAAATGAGGCTGTAGTTATTGCTGTTATTTGACCTAAATATTTGGTGAGGTGAAGTACATTACATTACTGCATCAGATTTTAGTCTGTTTTCCAGGAAGTGCCTTACAAAGTATTCTCTTTTTATTATTCTTTGTCCCCCCTCATAATATTTAACACCATGAGTATTAAAGAAATAACCAGGATGCACAGATAAATGTTTCCATAGTGACATGTTACTTACTGTGTTCACACACATGCTTTCTTTATTCAAGTTAGTAGATACCGTTCCAAAGAGTATGGATCCATAGTAATCTTGTTACTAAACCAGAGGACTGTCTGAGCTATAGGAATTCTTCCTGGATCACTCTGAGTGGGGGGGAAAAAATCAGTTATACTTGGTTTTTATAATTTTGAGAAACTTAAAAGTTACTGAAAAGCACAAAGAACAAAACAGCCATATTCCCACCACCCCAGTTCAATACCTGTTACTATTTTTTTTTCAGCTTCCATATTTTTTAAAGAAATAAATTATCAGTTATATTTGAAATTCTTTTTTAAACATTATCTTTCTACATTCCCTCCTTCCTCCACAACCCCAACTAGAGGCAACCACTATCATGAGTTTTCTGGAGTTACTTCCATTTAATTTTTATATTTTACCAATGTATCTGTCATAAATGGCTGTGTTTTGTATGTTTAATATGTTATATAAATGTTAATGTATTATTCTGCCCTTGCTTTTATTTTTAATTCAGCCTTGTTTTTTGAGATCCATCCAAGTTGGTGCATAGATCTAATTCATCCCTTTTATTGCACTGTGTAAGCATTTTATTTTAACAGTTCTGTTATTTCCAATTTTTTTCTATTACAAACAATGCTACAATGAATATCCTTGTACTCATCTCATTGCGTGCATCTGTGAATGACTCTTTTTAAATGAGAGAAGTATCTTTGTCTTCTTTGGCCCTTTATGTTCTTACTCTGTTACTGCCTTTCTATTCTTTTTTTTTCTTTTTTTCCAAATGCAGTGAAACAGAGACCCTACACACCCACATCTTAAACACTGTAATAGAAGACATGGTTTATCTATATACGATTATAAATAGACTAGCATCCAACATTGACCTTTACTTTTAGGCAGCATGGCTGTTCTAAAATATAAAATCTCCCTCCCTGGCTAGGACTTTAGAGTATTGTTTTTCTTTAGAACTTGACTGTTACCGCAGTATCTTTTTAGCACCTGCCTATTAAAGCTAATTTTAGTGCCACCATTGTAACCTCCTCCTAGACTGGGAAGAGTTTTGGCTTGTGTGTTTTGTGTTTTCATGTTACGAACTTCTGGGTATCATATTTTGCACTCAGATTTGCTTTTTGTTTCTGGATGTTTTGGGGTTCATAATTTCTCAAAGCAAAATGTTTGTTGAGATAGATAATAGATGCAGTGCAATCTAGAATTCAAAAAGTAACTTTCTACATTTACTGGGTGAACACAGTGGATACCTAGGAAAAGACTCATATTATTTGAGCCTAATGTTGATTAACTAGAAATCTGTATTTTTTCCTGTGAAGACCTATAGAAGTAGTGCTTTCCTTTCTTCTCTTACTGCCTACTACCAGCATAATGCATAATTCTTTGATTCTAAGACCTGAGCTATATATATCACATATATTTATTCTTTAAAAATGTATATATAACATATTTGGAGCTGTTTTCAAACTGTGGGTAATGACCAAGTTAGCTGAAGCTATTTTAGTTGGTAAAAATCAGTTAAATTTGTTTCAACCTCCATTTCTTACTTTTGGTTTTGATTTTTTATTTTCTTATGGAAGTAGAACTTACATAGAGTAAAATACTCAGATAGCAGTCGGATTTCACCTTTGTACACCCACACGACCACCACCCACATCGACACAGAGAACACTTCCAGCACCTCAGCAGACTGTCTTGTATCCTCTTCTCAGCTGAGACCCATGTTATTTTGACCTCTGACACTGTAGGTTAGTTTTGACTGATTTAGACCTTCCTAAAAGTGGAATTATGCATACGTACTCCGTGTCAGGCTCCTTTAGCTCAATATTATGTGACCCAGATTTTTAAAAAATGGATACAATTGAATAGAAAATATTAAAGTACCCTGCTCTTAATAATGATAGATATTATTTAAGTGATATATATATATAGTGTGTGTGTGTGTGTGTGTGTTGGGTTGTGATGTAAATGTATTTCTTACTGTGGGTCACGGTCAGAGCCTAAAAAGTGCAGCATTATAAGGGGCGTAACTGTTGTTTCTTTTCCCCCAGCTCTCAAATGTTTTAAAACCATTTTAACTTAAGAAGGTAGAAACAGGCAGAAGGTAATTTTTCAAAGGGAAAAAGAAAAAAAGAAAATGAAGATGTGCTGTCACTCATTAGTACGCTGCCCTCCACTTGTGGGGCGGGTGTCTGTTGGTGATGCCTCTTGTCCACCTTGGGAGGGGCCCAGGCTCCAGTGTGCCCGGCTCCCAGCCTCATCCTCATCCAGAACCCAGTGTGCGAGTGGTTTTGGCTGTTTTCACCCTCTCCAGGGTATCTGGGTAAAGGATCATTTGCTCCTGTCAAGAAAGCAGGGAGAGATCCTTTTGTAGTTCATAAGCGTGATGATTGGGTGTTCACGCGACTGTGTGACGTGTGCCTCCCTCGAACCTTGTTACGACGTCGGCACATTACCCGTCTGACGTAAAAAAAAAAGAAAGCAGGGAGATTGACTGATACCTGGTCACCCTGATTTTAGAAGTGGATTCCAGTGTTGCAGAATCCGAGACTGAATAGGGGGTGGTCCGGGGAGAGGGTGCGAGGCTCGAGGCCCACAGCTATGCAAGGAGGGAGAGTTGAGTCAGGGGTGAGGAAGTTGAGAGGTCAGTACCGGGGGACGGTCCATGGGGAGATCCGGCTACAGTTAAGCTGGACTGTAGAGAAAGGACTAGAGCGATGGGGCCCAGCAAGGTGTAATTTAACAGCAGGACCCTCTCAGGTCAGCTCCTCTTTCTGCTTCATTCATCCTGTTGCCCTGGCTTTTGTTTTCCGCTGTGACTGAGACATAACCAAACAGGATATGAGAGACAGGAAGTTGTTTTAGTACAAAAATAGCTGGTGTCTCATTGTGGAATGAAATGGAAGGGCCCTTGACACACCATAGGAGTGATGTGGACTTAGGTTTTTAGAATATTTTGTATTTTCCTGGCCCTTAGATTGCTTGTACATTCAGTACAAAACATCTTTATTGTTTACTTATGGGGACATACTGTGTATACCCTAAAACCTGTTCTTTTCCTCCTATTGTCTAATATGAATCCAAACGTATGTTTGCTGTAAATGAAACAGCATTTATAGTATCAGAGTACAATAGTCTTATAAACATTTTTATTAAATACACAAACTGGATTTAAAGTTAGTTAATTGGTTTCTTACCTACAGAGTCAAGGGGTAATAGGATCATGTTGTAAACCGATTACTATCTAGTCACTTTTTTTCTGGTTGCATTTATCTTTGGCACCATTGGAACGTCTGTCTGTCTGTCTGTCTATCTATCTATCTATCTATCTATCTATCTATCTATCTATCTATCTATCTCACCTCCTGTGTAGAGATAGTGTGAGGAAAACCCTCATGCTCCTGCCTTGTATTTTCCTCCATAGCTTTTCTCTTTTTGAGCTCTTTTTGTTCTCAAAGAACAACGGCTCACTCTTAATTTGGTCTCCCCATGTGGTTCTGAAAGAGAATTATTGTTTCATGTTAATCCGAAATTGCTCACATCCTATTATTTTGTAACTTCTTTTTCACAAATGAATTTACCTTTCTGGGTAAATCTTCCACAGTTGAGCACAGGATAAAGTGTGGTGTCTCAAACTTTATACTCTCATCGAGCCTTGGAAGCGGTGGAAACAAAGCATGACAGCTCTTTAAATTAAAAAGTATATATTCTGGCCTCAAAGGATTTTGCTAAGTCTCCTTATTTCCAAACTCTTCTGTTTAAATGAGCCAACAGTCAACACAGTATTTTTCTGGTAACTCATCCTCAAAACATGACGTGGCTGACCTTCGTCTTTGGTTTAATGTTTTACCTCCTCAGAGATAAACTTAAGATGCAGAGTATGCCTAAACTCTTCAGCAGTTCTCCTGGAAACCCTTAAATGTTTGGTCCATGACCGCCTCTTAAACCAAGGAAGAAAACATCGCTGGGGCCTCGTCATTAGTGATCTAAGGTTTACGGGAGTTGGGGAGAATAGCCTTCACTTCAGACACATCATTCTCTTCTGTGATTTCTGAGCAAGAGTCAGATTTTGCAGAGAATGACTCTGTCATTGTCACTTTTCTTTCTCCATTTTCCTCTCCTTTCCCTCTGTTCTGAACCCAGAATGTTAGAGGGGCAGTGGGTAGGATGGCAGCAGCAGGTTTGAGGAAGAACCGGTTCAGTTCTTCCTACACACACACTATGGACTGACCACAGGTTATTTTAAGAGCAGAGCTGGTTTTGACACTTTGAGAAGTGCTGGACATCATAGTCTGTGGGATATTTTTTTACAGCTGTATTTTGTGGGCCCTTAGACTGGGAAAGTACGTATTATAGGAATTTATTTTATTGCCTTTTCTAAAATTTAAGTAAAAATAAATGTGCTTGCTATAGTGAGTAAAAACATTCAACATTGTATGAAGAAAAGTTCATCTTTTCCCTTCAGCCTCCATCCCCACGTTCCTGAGAGCACCAGTCTTATTAACCTGCTGTGATTCCTCTTTCACCAAACCAGTTGCTTGTGGAAACATGTACACATATATGTAGTATTTTTAGTAATTTTTTTAAAAAGATATGCTCATGATAGATACATTACTCTGAAACTTATTCTATCACTTAAAAATGTTTCAGAGATGCCTCTCTGGGGCCATAGAGGATTTAGTTCACCCATTTTCATAGCTTTGTAATATTCCACCTGTGGCTACTGCACACTTTATTCAGCCATCTCTATCCGTGAGTGTTTAGATAATTTTCAGTTGTTAGCCTCTACAGACAGTGCACAATAAACATCATGACATATTTATAAGCTTACTTACGCTCTTATTTCTGTAGGAGAAATTCCCCAAGGCGGGATTTCTGGGTCACAGTCGATTGTGTTTTTAATGCTGTAAGTATTGCCAGGTTACTTTACCACAAGGTTCCTATTTCTTTGCATCCTCAGCAGAGGAGTCAAAAATGGTATTTTACTGCTTTCATTTGTATCTGCTGCTTAATAGTGATGTTTTTCATGTATTTATTTACCATTTGGTTTTCCACTCTCTGACTTCCCTGTTCGTAGTCTTTACTTTTTTTTTTTTTTGGTCTAATAGTTCAAGAGTCTGGGCTCTGAAGCCAGGCAGTCTCAGTTAGAAGCCAGGCTTCTGTTTACTATTGTGAGTTTGGGGCAAAATATTTACCTCTCGTGCCTCAATATTTTCTCTTAAACATGGATAATAATAAGACTGGCTTCCTAAGGTTGTACAAAATTTAAATTTGCACTTAGGATAACATCTAGCATAGAGATGTTGGCTATTAATCAATAAATGATCACTTTTATCATAACAGTGCTTTCAAATATTAATTTTTCCTGTTTTCAGGGCAAAGCCCTGCCCTTTCTGAGCCACATTTTCTTACTGCCTAGGTTTTACTTGGTGATTCCTTCAAACACTGTCTGTCAGGTGTTCCCTCTGTTTAAAGCATTCTAAGCCTTGGGGTGGCTTGTAGCACCTACTACTGATGTTTCTGTTAGAAAACATCATGGATTGTATACAAAGTAAAGCAAATTCTTTGGGTTCAGTCAAGTGTATTCTATATGCACATGTCCTGGCCCTGTTGATGTGAAAATTAAGAAAGGTGATGGGCAAGGTAGAATTAAAACATTGTCCCACGCCCCGACCCCAGCATAGGCCCACGCTTTCCTCTGTAAGCGTGGACAGATGGTCTGTAGGAATGTCCCATAGCCTCCAGAAGCCTTAAAGCCTCATGGAGAGCATCAGGATAGACTTTGTCATGGAAGGAGACTTGAACTGTCATCCTGTTGAACATTTTTACTTAGAAATAAAAATGGAGTCCAGGGAGGCTAAGTGGCTTGCTCAAGTTCACACAGCTAGTTAGTGGCTGAACTAGCACTAGAACCCAGTTTCTTAGTTAACATTCTGGTGGTCATTTCATTTTGCTAGACGTAGATAGGTTGTTAAATATAGTCATGATAGTGTTTGGGTCATTGCTAAGAACCTATTATAACAACTACCTGGTGGGAAGGGTGTAGCTCAAGTGGTAGAGCACATGCTTAGCATGCACAAGGTCGCAGGTTCAATACCCTATACTTCCTCTAATAAATAATAAATAAACTTAATTACCCCCCCAAAACAACTAAAAAAAAGAGTAACATGGAAGAATGCAATGTGTATTTGAGTGTGTGTATGCATGTAACACGTGGACATAAAATGTTACATTATCATTTAAAAAAATAACTATGGCTGAGAAAATTAAAAAAGTGCTTCATTTTATTGGCTGTGGTTAAAAATGTAATAATAGACCTCTTTAAGCCACCAGCAGAGAGGACAAGATGCCTTCTCCCCTATGGCTGTCACTGCCCATCATGTGCTGAGATGTGACTCATGGTCTTTGGGCAAAGGAGCAGATGAGAGAGGACATTCTATTCTGACTCTATCAGCTTAACCATGGAGATTAACGTGGAGAGTAACAAAGAGCTCTGACTGCCAAGAACAGTATATAGATTTAGAGGCTTCCGGTGTGAGGAATAATGTGTTTGGAGACGATTTCTATCTTGTGAATGTCCTAGAAGCTTCTGCTTCTTCCTGTTCCCAAACCCTACTTCTCCAGCCCCCATCTCTCACTGTATGTCTCTTTCCCTCAGTGACTTCTTCTGTCCATCCCTTCGGTGTTGGGACCCCTGGGCTTCTGTTCACAGACTGAGTTTCACTCTTCCCCCAGGGAATCTCACCCACTCCCAAGACTTCCATCCCCCGCCCTGTGCTGATGTTCTCCAGGTTGGTAATTCCAGTCTCCCTCCCTACCCTCTGCTCAAGTTCCATCTCTCTAGCTGTCTACTGGATTTTCCCAGTTGGTAATCCCACAGGCATCTCCAAACTCCACTCTACCATTTTCTTCACAAACCTGCCCTTCCTCCTGAATTACCTGAGTTAATGGATTGACCAGGCTACCCCAGCTAGGGAGGTGAGATTTGTTATGGGCCTTGCTGTGAGACTGGGAGGCTGTTGTGATCAGGAGAGACCACGTGGACCTCCTAGTCTTTCCCTTTTTAATCCATTGCTTCAGCCCTACCTGAGTGGTGGATCTAAAATGCAGAACTGGTTATTTTATTCCCTTGCTTAAAATACTGCAGGACTTTTTTGGATTCTGAAATCCCCAGGCCTTCACATACAAATCCCAGACTCACTTCTCTTTTGTCATCACATCCAGCCATTTAGTTGTAATGAATGACTTGGTCATTGCTCAGGTGTGACTTGTACCTTAGTACCTCCTCTTAGAATGCCCTCTTCTCCTTTTCTGGCCAAATGTCCCTGTCCTTCAAAATGGGCCTTCCTCTGGGAGCTATTTCCTGACAATCATCCCTAGTGAAGGTTAGCTCACTGTACCGTGCAATTTCTTTTGCCATTCGTATTGCTGATTATATTCTATCTTCGCAGATGATGATCCCCAGTTCCTTGGGGATAGGGAGTTAATTTTATTTGTGTTTGTGTCCCTAGCCCAACATAGGTGCTCATAAATATTTAATGAACTAGCAACTCCTCCTTTTGCCTGCCACAAGCACTTATGGCTTTCCTTCAAGATCTGCTGTAGTTTTCTTTATTCTGTCATCCAGAGTATACTCCTTCCTCTTCCTTTGCTTGCATGCTCAGTCTTAGGTTGGCCTCTAAATCCTTTCTACCATCTGGGCTCATTTCCACTCTCAGCATCTGTCTATTCTGTGCATCCTTTTCATTCAGTCTGAAATGTTTAATGTTTTCCTCCTTTTTGCTGTCTAAATTCCACCCCTTCATTCACAGCTCATCCCTTAGTCCATTACTTTATGAAGCCCTTCTTGATAACAATGATTAATGATCCTCTTTTGCTTTCCGTGCACTGGTTTTGACTCTCCAACTGATTGTCAGCTTCACACGGGCAGAGATAAAGTCTTAACTTCTCTTTTCCCCTACAGCCCTTACACAGTGTGCTATGTACTCGATAATCTATCCTTGTTCACTGACATGCAGGTCATTCTCCAAGGTGAGGGCAGAGCTGTCCGGAAATCAACTCTTCAGGATGGGGTAGCATAGCTCTCAAACATATTTAGACACCTCTGTAAGGAAAAGTTCTTTTCTTTTTAATGTAATTTTTATTTTTGTCTTGTTATCAGAGTACCAGAGAGGCAGAAATCAAACTGAAAAGTGAAAGCAGAGTTAAGCTTTTTTACTTGGACCCAGATGCCCAGGTAAGAATTATTTTAATATTTAAAATTTAAAACTAAGTCAAGGTCAGTTACTTGTTTCTTTATTTATTTGCTTTCTTGTACCTATATTTATATTTATATTTATGTATATTTTGGATTGACAACTAACATAACAATATAGAACATACAGGGGATAGAGGAAAAATGAAAATAACCTGTAATCTCATTACCACAGCACAACCGTTGTGAATATTTGATATTCAATAGATTGTTAGAAATTGGTGGAGATTTACCCAAAGACACTGTCAAGTCCACAAAGAACTTACATGATTTACCCCATAAAATCACCAGCAGAAAATAACAAGCATCACTGCAGATGCCCAGTAGACGGTGATCTTCCCTGACTAGCCCAAGCTCAGTCCCAGGTACAAGCCTTGCAGTGCATGTGGTCCATGTCTCTGTCCCAATAACATCCAGAACACCGTGCGGTGAGGGCTTCCAAGACTGCCCACCAACAGGCTGCTCTGATGGGACATTGTTCTGCCGTATTTCCTCCAGTAGTTTCCTCTTCTTCATCTATTTTTTTTTAAATGGAACTACTTTTCCCCATTTTCCAATGTTCACAGACTTCATAGCCATATATATGTGTATATATAGTTTTTTTGCTTTTTGACAATTTTTTAATTTATTATGGTAAAGTATGCATAATATAAAATTGGCCATTTTAACCACTTTTAAGTGTGCAGTTCAGTGGTGTTAAGTAGCTTCACATTATTGTACAACTATCACTGCTACCCATTTCCAGAACTTTTTAATCCTCCCCAGCAGAAACTCTGTACCCATTAAACAACTCCCCACTCCTCCCTCCCATCACCCCCTAGTAACCTCTATTCTATTTTCTGTCTCTATGAATTTGCCTATTGTAGGAAGCTCGTGTATGTGGAATCATACAACATTTGCCTTTTTATGTCCAGTTTGTTCCACTTACCTTGTTTTCAGGGTCCATTCTTATTGTAACATGTGTCAGAATTTCATTCCTTTTATGGCTGAGTAACATTCCACTGTATATGTACACCACATTTTGTTTATAGATTCTTCTGTTGATGGACACTGGGGTTGTTCATCCATTGAGTAGATATACCATTTATTTGGCCATTATTATATACTATATAAATGTGTAAAACAGTAATACTATTGTGAGTAAATGAATATTTCCATATTTTAGCAGTTTCTTTAGGGTACATTTGTTATGGGACATTTTTAATGGGAACATAATATGTTTATATATATTTACATTTTCTTTTAAAGAAGCTTGACTTCTCATCAGCTGAGCCGGAAGTGAAGCCATTTGAAGAGAAGTTTGGAAAAAGAATTCTCGTCAAGTGCAACGATTTATCTTTCAATTTGCAGTGCTGTGTTGCCGAAAATGAAGAAGGACCGACTACAAATGTAATTTTCCTTTTAAAAAATGAAGATTAAATAAATATATTCAGAGGTTTCAGATGTGTCTGTTGCAGTGCAGTAAGGACTTGGCAGTCCTAGCTCCTGGTATCAGAGAGGTGCAGGCAGATTGGGGTGCAGAGGGCTATTCAGACTGCAGGGACGGGATGCTTGTGGTACAGGGCAGGGGTGGAAGCTCTGGCTCTTCAGCAGTCATTTATAGTAACAGTCATAAATAGGTCTGGTAGTTTCTTCTTTGATTGCAGCATTCTTTTTTTCCCGACAGTTTGAGCCATAGTGATGGTCTTGATTGTTTTGTTTTGTTCAGGTAGAGCCTTTTTTTGTTACTCTTTCCCTGTTTGACATAAAATACAACCGAAAGATTTCTGCCGATTTCCACGTGGACCTGAACCACTTCTCAGTGAGGCAGATGCTGGCCGTCACATCCCCGGCTCTGATGAACGGTGGTAGGCAGAGCTCACCTGCCCTGCAGGACATCCCTCATGAAGCTGCCATGCAGTATCCGAAGCAGGTGAGGGGGCGGGAGCCCACTGGTCATGCTACTAAGACTTATCTTGCACGCACTACATAAACACATAATGTGACTTTGTAATGCACAGCTGGGACAAATGAGACTGTTACTATATTGACAGCATGTATAATTAGTAAAAGCAAGCTAAAAGAGAAGTGATTTTTGATTTCTTATTTCTTTTGTCTAAACTTTCCACTAGTTGCCACCTCCACCAAGTAGACTTTTTGACCAGACAGTGAACTACTTGATGAGTTAACCAAGTTGGCCCTGGGTGCTTCTGAATAGCTACACTGTTTCAGTGCTCTTTGCTGCTTTAGAATCTTTAATGTTCATGGGATTTGTTTAACGTGGCCGTAAATTCTACTCATGGAACAAAATCGTTTGATCCCTAGGGAATATTTTCGGTCACGTGTCCTCATCCTGATATATTTCTTGTGGCTAGAATTGAAAAAGTGCTTCAAGGGAGCATCACGCATGGCGCTGAGCCATACATGAAAAGTTCAGACTCTTCTAAGGTAAGGATGACTTCCGTGCTTCGTGATGATAAATAGCAGTTGGAAAAAGTAGAAATAGAAATGCTAAAAGAAATCAAAGTTAAGCCATACTTACATTCTAAAAGATGTAGATGACTCTATGTAGACTTACTCTTATAGTTAACCTTATGTGTCCAATTTTCAATGAAAAGTAGTCCCATGTGTAAATAAAATACTTCATTTAACTAGAGTATCCTGACATCCTAAAATATTTGTAAAGGAATTACCAACTTAATAGTAAACTTTGTCACTAAAAAGTACATATATTGGATATAAGTGGAGTTTATTCCACTTGTTGGCATGTCTCTCAGATCCTGGAATTATATTTGGGTCCATTTACACTTAAATGTGAGACTGGAGACCAGGAGATGACCTGGCTCAGATGATCTGGCCAGTAGTGTTGGTGGTTCAGGTGCACTTGTGTTTTGTCAGGTGGGGCAGGGTTATGGCGGCAGAGGTGGCATGGCATTAGGCAGAAGAGGGAAGGGAAATATATTGTTGGTATGTTTGGTGTCCATTCATTACTTCGATGTAGTGTTCATTACCTGGGGGGTGCCTAGGTATGGACATTACATGGAATTATTGACTATTAGAAGTCATCTAGGCCAAGACCTCCTTTCACCCTTCCAAAAACTGAGGTTTACGAAGGTTTAGTTACCTGCTCAGTGTCCCGCAGCTAGAGTGGCCAAAGCATGTTGAGCTACCTGGTTCGAGTAAGCTATTGAGTGCTGTCCATGCCATTTTTACAGTATTTCTAGTTATAAGTGGTCTTCTGATTGACAAGGTCATTGACAAGTGGTCATTGACAAGGACTGGTCGGCAGTAGGAGGGGACACCCCACAAGCTCTAACTGAGTTTACTGAGCTGGCTCAGCTTCCACTCTGTCTCTTTCTAGCCACCTATAATTCACAGGTGTGCCCACCAAGATGCAGGACAGTTGTTAAAGAACAGGTTCTGGGAGTCATAGACCTGGATGCTAAGCACCTAATTAACATGGGGACTTTAGACATGTGTCACCTCTCTGGACCCCACATGTCCCATCTGTAGTTGAAGGATGCTGTTGCTACCTGCCCCTATGTTCCTCTCAGGAACAGTGCTAAGACCAAACCGATAATGTCCAAGATAATGCTGTGGACACTGTAAATCACCGACACATATAGGAAGTTACCATTTATTACAGCCCCAGTCAAGGAAAGGCCCATTTACCCAGTCACATGGCTTCAAACAGTATGCCTTTCTGGCTGATAAAAGCTAAGTCAAGTTTGGTCTCTGGAGAGACGCTGTTTTATTTTTTAAATCAAGACTGTGAAACCTTGGATGAGAAACTCTTTTAATTCTTTGATTGATAATCAGTGACTGCCCAAGATAAGATCTACTTCCTGCTGTGTATGCAACACATTTCCAAGGCCAGTATTCACCAACTTGGTACTTCTGCCTGCCACAGTTTGAAATTTGGCAGCTCAGGCTGGGTGCAAAAATCACCTATCACCACAGGCTAGACGCCACACTTCCCAGTGTCCATTGAGCATCTGTTGAATTTGCTCTTCCTTCATTACTTATGGAATGTAAAGCTCAGCCGTGTGTACATCTTTTCATGCATTCACACCTCCAAAGCAGTAAATTAAAGCAGAGATTAACTCAGCCACCTTACATAAAAATAGAAGTTTCAGTAGAGATTTTACTAAGGGATGATTTTTTCCAAATATCAAAATTGTCTCTTTATGTCTTCCAAGATGGTCTCGAACATCATTGGGAAGAAATTTCTGTTTTGGAGGAAATTTTTAGAAAAAGTTTCTGTAGGTGTCCACCATGAATAGATTTTCTAAAAAAAGAAAGAAAAGGAGGGGAAAAACCCAAAGGGCAAAAATGAGTTTTGCACTCTGACTTTCACATGCATGATGTTCCACCTACATCCTTGATCAATCTGAGAGCACAGTCCTCATTCACTGCAGGCAAGAGTGAAACTTATCTGAAGCCTATGTTTTGGCTTTAAGTGTTATGCAAATATTGCTTTTTACTTCCCACAACATAGTTGTAATAGTTAGAACCTAAAAATAATAGTTTCTACCTGAAAATGTGTCAATAAAATTGCCACTCCAGGAAGGCAGGCCATTTTATTCTGTGATCCCCGAGTCCCCACAGATATGCCCACTTGAAGAAGAAAGGGAGAGGCTTGAGTTCCCAACCGGCACCTGTTTAGTCAAGAAATGTTTTCCAGATAGCATTTCCCCCTCATGGTTATGGTAGAATCGTAATGTCTCCTACCTGGAAGGGATAATGGCAAGCATAGCCTGAACCCTTCATTTTTCAGGTGGGAAAGTGGAGCCCAGAGAGACTTAATGGCCCAGACTCACATGGCTGGTTTCAGTTTGACTCAGAGACAGAGGGCTGTGTTGTCCTACTTCAGAGTTTTCTAAATGAGCGCTTCTCAAACCCGGTGTACACCGATCACCGGAGGTCTGGTCAGAATGCACGAGGTCTGGGGTGGGGCCCGAGACTCTGCATTCCTGACAAGCTCCCTGGTGGGGCTGGTGCTGCAGCTCTGCAGGGCACCCATTAGTTCGTAGACACCAGATCACGTTTCTCAAAATTGGTTTGACTCCGATGTACGTAAGTGATGTAAAAGATCCTGCATCTCCCACAACTCTGACTCTGAATCAATCAAACTTCATGGTGGTAACAATGTCGTATTTCCAGTAAAGGCAAATTTGGAAAAATTAGGTGTCATCTGCTTTAGCAGTGGGGGTATGGTTGATGAATAGACCTGCCATGTGAACGTCTTAGGCCAAAAGCAAATCTGCTTCCCTGTGCCCTGTACAGTTCAGCCATCAACCCACAACAAACCAAAATTGATTGTTAGGAAGTGAAAATAGTGGTAATTTATACCTAGAAAATTAGGATATAGTGATTGAAAACCCTGACCTAACTTAGGTCAACACCTGTAATTTCTTAATAACGAATATATATCCCCCACATTTGGGGAGTCTGCAAAAACCAGTGTACATTAGGAGCCCTGAAAGCTTCCTATCTCATTAGTGTTCTCATTTAAAACTCTAGAAATGTGATATATGTGGGCATGAATACCAAGTATTAGTAATTATTAATAACTCAGTGGACATATACTGCATAGCTCTTAGTCATAAAAAATATGAGAGCCTAGGGAATGGCCTACTTGTTGCCTCTGAAGACCAAAGAAAAGACATACTTTTTGGAAGCAGTTCTCGTTTGACATTCTTTGAAAATCACTGCTGGAGAATGTGTTAAATGAAACAGTCTGCATTGAGTATAAATCCAGCTATAGTCATTACAGTGAGCTGTGTTTGTCCACACATCTGATACTGCCCTAAGGGCTTGTGTAGTGAGTGTGTGATGATGGCTTTTTAGATTCTAAGACTCCTGCCAGTGGGATGCAGTATCTCATGGCTTTATTCTGATGTCTTCAAGGTTGCTCAGAAGGTGCTCAAGAATGCGAAGCAGGCATGCCAACGACTCGGACAGTACAGAATGCCATTTGCTTGGGCAGCAAGGTAAGGGGAGCATATTTTGTACCCTTTGTATAAATATAGGTATATAGAAATAGATAGATAGGTAGGTAGGTAGATAGACTGACTAACCTATTCTGTATGTTGTCCAGAGACAAAAAGGATTTAAATGTTTTAAACTGAAAAATAAATAAGCTCCATATCTGAAAAATCATTTATGAGAGACACAGAGAGGAGAGCTGCTGGCTGGAGGGTAGCAATGTTGGCACTGGCAGGATGGACAGGACTGTTTGTTGCAGAGCTGGGACTGCAGGTTCCAGGGCCTCCAGCTGGGAGTAGGGGGCAGCCCAGTGAGGCCTACAGATCATCCTTATTTGTGATCTCTGTTTCTTAAGCATTTGACTATGTATGTTATTTCTGAAGCACAAGCCATTTGCTGGAAATGTTTTCTATGTAAATTGAATTAGTTGTGTTCATCCTCATAAATATCTTTCATGTCTTTTAGATAATGAGATTTCTGTTGGTAGCCAGTGGAATAATAATTAGTCTTCACATGGAAACCAGAGTCAAGTTGTGGATTTATTTTGGTCATTTGGAAACTCAGCTTAGAAATGTTGTTTTGCTATTTCAGGACGTTGTTTAAGGATGTATCTGGAAACCTTGACAAAAATGCCAGATTTTCTGCTCTCTACAAGCAAGACAGCAATAAACTATCCAATGAGGACATGCTCAAGTTACTAGCAGACTTTCGGAAGTGAGTCTCAAGGTCTTACTTATTTCCACACCTGAAAAACAGAAGTAGTTCAGTGGAAGGGGAGGAAGTCTTTTCAGTTGCCTAACTCAGACACCATGACGTATTGGATGAATGTGGAACTTCTCCTCAAGAAAGGGTTTAAAATCAGAAGAGTTAACCCCGTTAATTTGAATTGTATGAAGGTTGTTTTGGGTGGTGCTGTGAAGGGCACGTTGGGTACAGATGAGCCCAGGGAGGAAAGAGATAATTGAGGAAACTTTGCAAGAAGTGGGAAGGGACTCAGTGAAGCCACCACGAGTGGGAATAGGAAGAACAGGGGACAGGACGGATTCCAGTCGCGTTGGACAGGCGCCGTTACTGGGTCTCGGCTTCCTGGGTGGGTGTTAGGGTGGAAGGAGAGAGAAGTGGGTGTAATCTCCGATAAGTAACTCCCGGTTTTCTGACTGGCACATGGGGTAGTGCATGACGCCACTGACTGAATGGGTGGCGGGGGAAGGGCAGTAACTCATACAGCATGTCCTGTTCACTGGCATTGTTGTGAATGCTTTCCCTGAATTAGCGAGGATGTTTGTTTCCTAGAGCTGCTCTAACAAAGCACCACATACCTGGTGGCTTAGAACAACAGAATGCTGGGGGCTAGAAGCCTGAAACCAGGGTGTTGGCAGGGTCACGCCCCCTCAAATCTCTAGGGGGAGATCTTGCACTCCTCTTTCAGCTTCTGGGAGCCCCAGGCTTTCCTTGGCTTTGGCAGTATGACTCCAGTCCCTGCCTCTGTCTTCACACAGCTGTCTTCCTGTGTATCCCTGTCTAAATTTCCTTCTTATAGGAACACATCATAGTGATTAGGGCCAACCCTAGTGACCTCATCTTACCCTGATTATATCTGCAAAAATCCCGTTTCCAAATATGGTCACATTCATAGGTGCTGAAGTTAGGACATCGCCATCATTTGGGGGGAACACAGTTTAACCCATAACAGTGGGACATTGTGTGTCCAACATTGCACAGCTGATCTGGGAATCTGTGCTCTCAAACACTGGGCTTTTCCAGTGCTTTGTCAGGAGTTCACTCCTGAACCCATAAAACTGATTTCCTTCGCTAGAGACATGAGTTTTAGAATCTTTCTGGGAAAATTCTGAGAATGAGAAAGAGCTAAGGGTATTAAACAATAATGAAATGAAATGAGAAGAATGTCCAAGAATCAGCTGGTGACTATTCTGTAGTTTAGGTACCTTCCAGTCTGATTTTTTTATTTGAAAAAATACATTTCAAAGTAACAGTATTAGTTTGTCTAGAATTCAAAATGGCTATTTGTTTAGTTTTCTTTAACTGCATTTTCACCTTTTTCTTACTTCTCTCTCTTCTGATTTTTTTCAGAATTCTACATACAGCCATAATTAACAGCTTTTATAAACCTTTACTTATTGGTGATGGGTCATATATTATTGTACATACTATGTTGTCAAGTAATTATAGTTTTTATTTGATTTTCAGGAAACTTTCAGCCTTACTTATAGAATAAAAAGCTGATTTTTTTGTGCAAGTTTCAGTCACCTTTAGTTAAATAGATTACAGGTTTCCCATGCAGTTCTCGGTAATCACGGTGTTGGTCTACGTGCCCTCACCTGGGAAGGTGAGTATGTTGCATTAGTAAAGAGGAGAAAGTGTATCGAGGTGACTTCGTTTTTAAGAAGAAAATATTTGGTATATTTCTTTTTGTATGTAAATGAAGACGAGGATCGGCGAGTAGCTAGCTAGATGGAAAGAAAATGGGCGTTAACAAGAGTCATGTGGGGTATACACCAATATTAGTCATAGTTATTGCTCATGGATGGGTTTATGGGTGATTTCTCACTTTCCACTTTGTAGCTTTCCATGATTTTACGTGAACTTTTTTTTTTAACTAATATTTGCCCATATATTTCTGAAAAAATAGACGATGAAGTTCTTTGTATGTGATGGCGGTTGGGAGCCCTGTCTCAGAAGTTCCTCCCTAGGCTGGTCAGCACATGCTTCCTCTCCAGTGGTGGCTCTTTGTGGGTAGCCCCAGCTCATGGTCCGGCTTCCTGAGTGGAGGCTGGAGGGTGGGACTGTACAGGCTCACTAATCAAAAAGTGATCTGAGCAGAAAGCCAGGCAGCCAAAAGCACATGCCTTCACTGGGTCAGGCACAGGGTGGGCTCTCCCTGCACATTAGACCTTCAGTACGAAGGACTTCGTGAGAACAGTGTGCTGCTGACGGCCTGTGAGAGATTCAGGAACCCGAAAATAGGGACCCAATGCTGTCAGCATCAGAAGATGCAGCCGCACAAGGAGAGCTGCTGTCCTTTTCAACATGTGTCCAGAGAAATGCCACGTTTCTTTGTGTGCCCTTCACAGTTGAGTCAGGGAAGTGGAAGATCCCTTTTTCATTTAAAAATTTTTTTAAAATCTTAGTGTTGCTCTTTTTCTTTCCTCTTTTAAAAATTTTTTTATAGAGAACCATCTCATGTCAGTGGCTTGGGCACTAGCTTGGATATAAAGCTGTGGTGTATGTTCCTATGATGGTCTCAAAATGTCATTTAACAATAGATGAGAAAAATGTTCTTAAGCTGCCCCAGTCTTTAGAAAATAGCTGCCAAAGCTTATAAGCCACTTTGCCCCTCTCCCTTGCAGTAATCACCAGCGGAGACATTCCAAGATTTAGCAAGAAAATAGTTCTGTCAGATAGACAGTGTCGCTAACATAGTGCTCCAAGAAGTGTCTATCTAAGAAGAGAGACTTGGTGTTTTGCATGCATTTGATTTGCTCATGGTGGTGTCTTTTCTCATTTCTGCAGGGGATCTGAAGGCAAAGTATAAAAATAGCACATTTTCTTTAAAATACAGGCCTTCTTTTAATGCTACCACATTGGATAGTTTAGGTAACAATAATTATTAGGGTTTTTACATGAGATTTACATATTTGTGTTTATTTATATCTTTATATTCTTTGCACCCAAGCTTGACACTTGTACTTTCGTGTTCTTTTAGTTACACTGCACTCAGGCCAGGGGTCTACTTGCCTTTTGTGAACTCACTGTGTTCTTTCATGCCACCGTGCCTTGCCTTCTGCCTGCATGTGTCCCTTCTGCTTTTATCTCTCCAAGAGTACCCTACTCATCTTTCAGAGCCTAATCCGTCACTCCCTTCCCTGCTGGGAGACCTGGGGCAGGTCACTTGGCTTCTCTGCTTAATTGTCCTCTTCCTTTTAAGGAAAATTAATAATCGCCCTGCCTCCTAGAGTTACAACAGGGAATAAGAGAGAATGCCTGTCAGGATGATTTCTCTCAACCATGTGTATAGATATATTTAAGTGACAGCAAAGCTTTTAGAGAATATTTCCTTTTATAAAATGTAGTTAGAGGAGTAGACTCACACCAACAGCAGACCCACACATGTTTATATTACCAGTTAATCACTTTAGTGGGTCAGTACAGGAACTGGGGAAGGAAGGACCAGGCCCCAGAAACAGAGGTGAGAACACAGAATCTGTTGGCATGGGATGACTGCTAGTTTGTGATAGCATTGCCCTTTCCTCTGGAGGGTTGTTGAACCAGCAGGAATGTATGGGCAGTGGGAAAAGAAAATCTTTCCTTTTTCCAAGAGCGGGAGTTTGAGCCTCACTCTTAAGCTCACACACAGACAGAAACAGTTTACAAATGCCAAACACTTACATGAATCTCCATTACACGTTCACTTTATCAGTGCAGTTTTAAGGTGGGTTTTCATGCTCAAGTATTATTTTATAAGCTTTTCATAGAATATAGGTACTGATTTTTCACATTTAAAAAACCCCAAAAACTAATTCCAGACATGAGATAATTCACTTTGTGTAACTCACACACACACATACACACCACACACACTCACACCCAACACTTTGGAAATGCATGTAAAGAAGGCTGTAGAATTTTTGTTGTATGTGAGGTTTTGATGTCTAATAAACCAAGTTCAATAAAACCCATAAAGTTTTGAAATAGGTTTAAGATTATGTTTTAAAGAGTGAAGTTGGTAGAAACAGCTTCCACAGAGTCTCTGTACTACGGGATATGGAACTAAGCTCAGATCTGTGCTTGCTTAGAGATGCATGGAAATACCTCTGGAGCATTAGCATCTAGAAGTAAGAACTCTCAGCAGAGGGAGGAAACAAAGGAAGAAGTAAGTACAGTTAGACACACAAGTCTGTAACACGTAGAAAGAGTCCCAGTGAAGTTTGTTCAGTTAAAATTTGTTGCTTAGAAGTCCACCTCTCTCAAACTTTTATGTGGATGATGTCAAAGTGATAACCAAAAATAAAAAAAAAACTTCAGAAGGTACATATTCATTCATAGGTAGAAATAACTAGGGAGGGGCAAAATGTAGTACTCTTGAGAACTTACATTAAAAGTATCATTTGTATTAAACATAGTATTTTTGACTCAAGGAAGCAGATGCAACTTCATTGGTATCTCTAAGACTTTGTGGAACACAGAGTTTTATGGTACGTTGCAGAGTTCAGTTGTTCAAATGAAGAGGTAGAGCAAGGCACTATATGTCAAGAAAATTTATACCTGCATGGAAACCCCCGGATCTGAGGGTCAGTGCCCCCCACCAAGAGCTTTGGGTAAAGCTGAGAGAAGCTCTGACTTTGTATTATTGTGGGAGTACATAGTGCTTGGGAAGCCATCGACAGCTTCCAAGAAATGACTGTGGAAAGTACAGTCTTCCTGCTAGAAGAGAAGGGTATTGTGTTTGTGAACAGATCACATGACAGCACAGGGACAAGGTGTCAGCGTAATGCTGGATGGTACCTGGACATCTTTTGGCCAGAAATCTTTTTTATTGAAGGCAGACTGTGTGAAAGTTTGTTGACTTGTTTTTCTGACAGTCATTTCTCTCGGGATTTCAAGGAATTGCTCATTTAAATTCAGATATAAACGGAAGACAAGTGGAAATGGGAGGAACCCTGAGAGAAAGTGATTCTGCAAGTTGGAGCTGGTGGTGGGCAAAGATGACTGTGCTTAATGCAGGCTGTAGTCACACAGAAGCAAGAATTCAGAGCTGTTAGGGACATCCTGGTTCAGATGAACAGTACCACAAGATATGCTGGCAAGTTACATGTGAGACTGCTTCAGATAACAGTAATGTCTCAGGAATCTTAAAAACAGGAGTTAGGAATTTTTCAAAAATGGAAACAAAACCAAATGCCAAGTCTGTTGGCCCCTGAGCTGTGATGTTTCTTGCCAGTGTTCTCAAAGATGTTATTAAGCAGGTGGCTTATGAAGAACAAGGAGGCAGCGTTCTGTTTTCTAGGAATAAGTCACATCATGTCGAACTAGTTATCCTAACCACATTTCTGCTTTTCTCTTTTTAATGGGGTTGCTAAGCTGGTTCAATAGAGGATGAAAAGTGTATTCCAGCAGGTCAGGGGAGTATAGCACGTGTGATTGAGTGGACAGCAGTTCGATGCTGGAGTAACCAGATGCCAGGAAGGGGGATGAGTGGCTGGTATCAGTCTGGCGATGGGCCGCTACAGGTCTGAGAAGGACCTTCTTCTTGGCTATATTCTGTGCAGTATCTTCATCAATGGCTTTTATGAGAATATAAGGTTTTGATGAATGTCTTCATGACATAAAGCTAAGGAATATCTAATGCATTCGATGTAGAATCTGGATTTAGGAGGCTTTTGATCAACTAGAAATGACTCAATCATAAGGTGAAATTTCATCAAGAGAAAAATCAAATCTTGTCCTGAGTTCTGAGAACATAATTGTATCAATACAGGATGGAGCGATGTCGCATGATAGTAAAGCATATGAGAAAAGATTCAGGGATTTTAGGTGATTGTAAACTTAATGTATGTCACGAGAGTGGTGTGACTATGTAAAAGTAATAGCATTTTGGCTGTACTGATAGAAGGATAGATTGTTCAAAATCAGACAGCTGCTACACCTCACCTGGTCAGACCACACTGGGTCTTACCTGTGCAGTTCTGGGTGCCATGATGTGAATGGGGTGTTCTTATAGGAGAGAAATGGCATTGGAGGAAGGAGCAGAAGGACTGAGAAGCAAGGACTTCAGAAAGGTGCATTTGTAGATAATTGAAAAGTGTTACACAGAGAACCATAACTAGGCCCCTTGGTGAGTGGAAGTTTCGGAGACGCCATGCTGTGAGGAAGAATAGTCTGGCTATGTTGAAGGATTCCTGGTCACCAGGAGGGGCTGAGGCATGAGCTGTGCTTGTCAGGAATGTCACAGAGGAGATTCCTGTACTGGATTGAGTCAGACCAAATACAAACACCAAACATCTCATTGAGAACCTTCTTTCTATCCAGCATTTCACTAGACATAGGAGCCTAAGATGGCTTTGGAATTTTTGTGATTCTGAATGAGCCAAGAATGTAGATTGAGGATGGAGTGGTTCAGGGAAACTGTCACTATAACATTTTGCTGATTTTCTTATCTGGACTTGTGGTGTTCAGCATGGTAGCCGCTAACCAGTGGCATATGGCTGTTGAGTACTTGAAATACAGCAAGTCCTACTGTGGTGAACTGTAACTGTAAAATACGCATCTGGTTTCGAAGAACTAGAATGAACTTTTTATACTCATTACATATTGAGACAATATTTTTAACATACTGGATTAAATAAAGTATTTTTTAATACTAATTTTACCTGTTTCTTTTTACCTTTTTAATGTGGCTGTTAGAAAGTTTAAAATTATTTTTGTGGCTTGCAATAGAGTTCTCTGGGAGGTACTGCTCTAGAACTTAGAGCTAACCTAACTTATGTTTGATTTTTCTCTTCTTTTGTTTGTAGACCTGAGAAGATGGCTAAACTCCCTGTGATTTTGGGCAATCTAGACATTACAATTGATAATGTTTCCTCAGACTTACCTAGTAAGTGTAAATTTTGTGTAATAAACAGACAAGTTTTTGCTTGGTTTTTACTCCAATTTGTTTGTTTAAAAAAATTTTTTTTTAGATTATGTCAATTCATCATACATTCCCATGAAGCAATTTGAAACCTGTACTAAAACTCCAGTCACGTTTGAGGTAGAGGAATTTGTGCCCTGCATACCGAAGCACACTCAGCCTTACACCATCTACAACAATCACCTTTATGTTTATCCTAAGTACTTGAAATATGACAGTCAGAAGTCTTTTGCCAAGGTGAGTGCAAAGATGGAGGTTTTATTTTTGACATCAAACTCTCTTAGGTTTTGGCTTCCTATGTATTTTAAAAAATATTTACATATTTTAGCTTTTTGTTTTATTTTCTTTTTATTTAAATATTGCTGCAGGCCAGAAATATTGCTATTTGCATTGAATTCAAAGATTCAGATGAGGAAGACTCTCAGCCTCTGAAGGTTTGTATTTCTTTGTTTGCATTTTTCCATTTAAAAAATGCAGTTGCATGATACTGTACAACTGAAAGGATTTAGCACATTTTAATGGACGCAAACACAAAAATATATGGCATCACAGCACATAACCACATATACTGAACCTTATAGAATATGGAATAATTGAGTTCTTGTTCTTAATTGACTATTTCTGTTTCATTGTACTCTTTAGGGATGGAATTCTCTTATACATGTTCAATTCAGTAAACATATTGGGCACCTACCATGAAAATGTTTATTCTAGTATAGTAGTAATAGTAGTAGATTATTGGTGATGTATGTTTGTTCGTTTGTTTATTTAATTTTGAGTTAAGTTAGATTTATTTAGAGAGATACACACTGCATAGAGTGCAAGGCAAGAGAAGGACAAGGAAAGAGGTGTGGGAATTGGGTGCTCAGGTTTACTGGTGGTATTTATTGAGTGCTTATTATACTCCAGCTCTGCTATTAGAGCCTTATAGATATTAAACTTTTGTTCTCACAGCAGTCATTTGAGTTAGAAACTATTACTATCTGCATTATTTTTAGATGAGGAAATTAATGCACAGAATTTAAATGAATTGCTTAGGGCCATACATTAGTAGAACTGGTGTTCAAACCCAGGCAGCCTGGCTCCAGAGCCCACATTCTTTACTGTACCTATGTGGAAATGACTTCCCAAGAAGGGAAGGAGATATAGATACAAGGAATATAATACAGTTTTTGCCCTCAAGAAATTCAGTTTTAGCGGGAAAGACAATCATGGAGAAAAAGCTTCTGGCATACAGAAGTTACTGAAAGGGTTTCTTGGACAAAATTGACTAATTAGTGTAAAAAATTGCTAAGGGGACATCCAAAGGAATCATTTCTTGAAGGATGCGTGAGAGTTTGCTTGGTGAATGTGAAAGGGAAGGTCGTTCAGGAGAAGGATTAGGTCAGCAAAGGCACGGAGGTGAAAATGAGCAGGTGTCCTGCATAAGCAGGAGTGGGCATGGGGGAGGGTGGGACATGGTGGGGGCCATGAACCCAGGAGTAAGGGGGCTTGTGGGTCTCAAGTCCTGTAAAAGCAGGAGAAATCCATCAAAGGCGGTTAAGTTTATGCTGTAGGAATGCTGCTTTCTTTACAACACATCTGAGTTTAATTTCTTACTCTGTTAATTGAATACTGGTGTCTCCCTTTGATAATTTTTATTTTAGTGCATTTACGGGAGACCTGGTGGGCCGATATTCACAAGAAGCGCCTTTGCTGCGGTTTTACACCACCACCAAAACCCAGAATTTTATGATGAGGTAAGTGAGATTTTTCAAGGGAAAACCCAGTTTAACCAGTTTTAAGGAAAACTCCAATTTCTTTGTTTAGTAAAACAAAATTCAAGCGAAGCTGCATACTATACTGAAATTACAGCGATAGAACTGAATGTTGAAGTATTTATTGTACATAATTTTTTCTAGTTATAAAAGTAACATTTATTATAAAAAATGAGAACTTGGAAAATGCAGATAATATAGAAAAGGAAAATGTCAAAATTCTGCCTACATCACTACCACAGTTAATATTCTGACAAATTTCCATTCAAATTCATACTTAAGTATAGTTAAACATTTGTTGAACCTGAGAATCTTACTTTCTTATTGTATTTCCTTATGTAGAATTATAATTTAGTTCACTAAAACTACTATATGAACCGTACTTTTAAATTTTCTATCCTGGTTTTTCATTGTGCCCGGCTGTGTTAATGAAGTGGTGTCTGTCATGTGTTGTCCAATTCTTTCTTGAGTTGAAATACCAGCTCTTCTGTTTCTGATCAATGTGTGTTTTAGTCCATTCAGGCTGCTATAACAAAATACCACAGACTGGGTGGCTTGTAAGCAGCAGGTGTTCACTGCTCATGGTTCTGGAGCTGGAAGTCTAAGATCATGGCTGGTTGAGGGTCACCTCTCAGGTTGCAGACTTCTCAGTTGTGTCCTCACCTAGGGGAAAGGGCTGAGGAGCTCTCTGGGATCTCTTATAAGAGCACTAATCCCATTTATGAGAGGTCCATCCTCATGAGCTAATCACCCCAAAGGCCCCACCTAATGATACCATCACCTTTGGAGTCAGGATTTCAATATGTGGATTTGTCGGGGGACACAGACATTTAGACCATAACCGTGTATGAAGGATCCATTTCTTCCTTAGCACAGCTTTACAGTCTCAGGTCTCTTTAACTGCAAATGTTAATACCAGTTTGGAGACCAAATGCGGGTTTGTGCGTGGGTGACACGTTGTTGTTTTGCAATATAAGAAAGATTGTTATTTTGTCTTCCTTGCAGATTAAAATAGAATTGCCCACCCAGCTACATGAAAAGCACCACTTGCTGTTCACATTCTTCCATGTCAGCTGTGATAATTCAAGTAAGGGGAGCACAAAGAAGAAGGATGTTGTTGAAACACAAGGTTTGAATTTCATCATTCCTTCGATTGTTCGTGACTTCCACATTAGGTTCTTAAATTTTGTTTCGATTCTGAATTTCCATCCTTTTGTGAAGGGGTCGTTAGATGGCATTTGTGCAGGTAGCATGCCTGGCTTGCGTATCTACATTTTTATAGGAGATAATTTTAGAATTCTAATCCCAAAGAAACTAGCATACATTGCAGACGAAGTTCTGCAGAGACTATATTCAGGGTCTTTTCAGTTTCTTACTCTGATTGATATTAACAGTTCTTAAAGATCAGGCTGTGTAGTAACATGGCTGTCTTCATACATTTTCCCACACTTACAGTGCTTTTTGTTGTTGTTGTTATTCTTTGTTTCAACAGTTGGATATTCCTGGCTTCCTCTTCTGAAAGACGGAAGGGTGGTGACCAGTGAGCAACACATGCCTGTCTCAGCCAATCTCCCGTCTGGCTACCTTGACTACCAGGAGCTTGGGATGGGCAGGGTACCAGACTTTAAGACTGATTTATTTCAATTCCTTCAGAAAACAGTAAAGGTCAACTTAAACTATAGTAACACCAAAAAAGCATGTCATATTTTTGCCAGTCCCAGTATTTTGGTTTTAGTTACTCATTTTCAGGTAAACTTCGGCCACTGGCAGGTAGTGCTTTTAACAGTTACCATAACCTAGAATTGTAGTGTGGGCATTTTATAAACCTTGAGCTAGCAATGCCTCATCAGGAAAATAGAAACTTGAGGTACTGGATGAGACCGAAGTTTGTCTCTGTAAACTAGCCATGCTCAGATAAAGATGTGTTCTTAGAGTCATGCAAATGATTAGGAATTGTCTTCCAGCTTATGTAAGTATAGGAAGCAAATATCTCACCCACATGGTAGCCCGTTTCTGATTTATTAAAGCCTGAGTTTTCTCAGATTTCTCCAGTTGGTTTGCTGTTTTACATTCTGTTTGGCCATCTTAAATTTTATAGACTTCAGTTTTATAACATGCTTAGTTAAGGTCTGTTTCATTTAATTTTGAATGGCTTTTAATGTCACTCTGCACTTAAATAGTGCCAAATTTGGGCCCATGTTATGGACAAATAGTTAAAATATTCCAAAATAAAGGTAAATCATGTAACATTCAGTTATAATTCCTAGTCTGAACATGAGAAAAATGAAGGCTTCAGAAATAAAAATAAGCACAAACAGATGACTGACCCTTTGCCTGTGCCAGGAATACATACTAACCTGTTTGTTTTATCTGGTACCTTCTACCATCACTTTCAGAATCCTGAACTCAAGTTTGGTTAAGTCATTGATACAATTGGCGTCTTTCTCTCTGAAATGAACAATAATTCACACAGCTGCAACTAAACAGAAAAGATAAGAGAAAATCCAGTAAGAAGAGCATTGTACTTGGGAGAAGAAAGTGGGCAGAAATTAGTACTGGTTGTATTCCTGCTTTGAGCCAGGCATAACTGTCAAGTCACTGAGGCTGTTTGGGCCTTTAGCACCTCATCAGGACCCTCACTAAAGATGGTGTTTGAAGCCAAGATCACTAATCTGTTGGGATGTTTTCTCCTCTGTATTTTTTCAGCATTACGGTCCAGAAATTAAGTGGGTGGATGGAAGCAAGCCACTGCTGAAAGTTTCAACTCATCTGGTTTCTACAGTGTATACACAGGTACATGCTATTCCATTAAAATTGACAGCGGTTGCTCTGAATGAGTTTACATGATTTTTTAGCAAAATAAAATCCTAATTGTTATATTACATAGATATGTTTTTACTCTATAAGTCCTTTTTTAAAGAAAATACATATAAGGTGCTGACATGTAACGATACAAATGAATATTACAAGTAACATTTTTCAACAATCTTCCTCTTTTGTTGGAGGATCTTTGAAATCTTTTTCTCAATTTATTTTTATTTTTATCTCTTTGATTTCATTTTTATACAGTAAGTTTCATAGTCTAAATAAATCATGCACACCGTAGGAAGCAAACACTTGTATTTCCGCAGCAGATATGCTAATAGGCTTTCATTTTATTTTCTTCTTTTTTTGCTCTCAGGATCAGCATTTACATAATTTTTTCCAGTACTGTCAGAAAACTGAATCCGGAGCCCACGCCTTAGGGAATGAACTTGTAAAATACCTTAAGGTATCAGATGGCTTTCTTAGTAACCCCTTTTTAATGAGCATGGAGTAGATTGGGTTTTCTCTTCGGTGGTATGTGTCGTTCTTACCCCTTGGGAACCTTATAAGGCTGTCCGCAGCTGGATGCTCTCACACACATAGTGTCTGTATGGTTTTAGATAGTGGTGAGAAGTCGACTTGGAAATCCTACTACTGCATTCTTCATCCTAGCCCCATGTTTACTTTTCTCAGGCCGGACCTAAGACACATTGTGCCGCCTAGAAAACCACTTAGCCTCACAGGCCCTCCTCGTGAGTGCTCACTGGGCGCAGAGCAACAGTGACAGGCGCATAAAAAGTGGTGACTTTAGTTTCCCCGTTAAGTAACTTATAGTTCATTGTCGGGGACAGCATAACTTTGGTGAATGTATGCTAGATGGGCAAATAAAAAACCCAGAAATAATACATATAACCAAGCCCAGCTTTGTGCAGGCTAGGAACCATGGCACAGGGAGAGCAGGAGGGTTGTTCTAGGGGAGTTTCATCCAGAACATGATTCTATGGGGGCACTGTGAAAAAGGAGAGCTGCTAAAAGCACATTCCAGGCATGGTGAGAAAATAGATGAAACGTGAGAAATGAAATAGGAGTTTGATTTAAGCAGGGAAAATGGAGTGGGGGATTCTGAAATGACTGCTTTCCAAGTCCCCTTTCAGCTACCTCATAGGGAGCCATGTGACTTGAAGAAGAACCTTTTATTTATTTTCTGTTGCTGCTGTAATAAATTACTATAAACTTGATGTCTTAAAACAAATTTGTTTTCTTAGACTTCCTGTAGGTCAGAAGTCTGACACAAGTCTCACTGGGCTAAAACCAGGGTGTTATTAACAGGGCTGAGTTCCTTTCTTGGAAACTCTAGGGGTGAATCTGTTTGCTGCCTTTTTCCAGCCCCTAAAGGCTGCCCTCATTCCTTGGCTTGCAGCCCCTTCCTCCATCTGAAAGCCAACGATGTTGCATCACTGACCATTCTTCCTCAGAGTTGTCCCCTCCACCCCCACTCTCCTGCCTCCTTCCACTTTTAAGGACCCTTGTGGTTACTTTGGGCCCAACTTGGATAATCCAGGAGAGTTCCCCATCTCAAGGCCAGCTAATCTGATCAGGGGCCTTAATTCCCCTTTGCTATGTAACATGTGCACAGGTCCTGGGGCTCAGACAGGAATATCTTTGTCCAGTAGTCTGCCTGCCACTGTCTCCATTTGTTTAGATGTGTGTCTTCCATCCTTACTGGGAACTGAGTAGGGACTACTTGGGGTGGGTTTACTTTTAAAAAGAGAACATGACCTTTACCGTTCCACATCTGTAGAGCCTGCACGCGATGGAAGGTCACGTGATGATTGCCTTCTTGCCCACCATTCTAAACCAGCTGTTCCGCGTCCTCACCCGAGCCACCCAGGAGGAAGTTGCTGTCAACGTGACACGGTGAGGGAGCCAGAGAGGTGGTACCCTTCTTCCCTTTCAGTCTGTCCACATCTGGAGCACAGTCATATGTATCTGGGATGCGAGTATGTGTTGAACATTATATTTAAGAAATTTATTTTGATCCCGTATGTGGGGACCCCATCTAATCCCTTGTTTCCTCGTTTCCTGTGGTGCCAATAGCATCATCATTGTTCTACTGCTGCTGTGATAATAATGAAATGTTTCCATTTTCACATTACTATTCATTGCTTTATTCATTCCTGTGGTGTGTAGGGTCATTATTCATATGGTTGCCCAGTGCCATGAGGAAGGATTGGAGAGCCACTTGAGGTCATATGTTAAGGTATGTAAATTAAACTGCCCCAGTCATTTAAATCTGTGGCTCTCCAATTTTCCTACTAAGAACTTTTTTTTTTTCCATTCTAGTTATTTGGGGATATATTTTGGGATGAAACTTAACACCTCTCCTTTCTCTTCTATGCCTACAGCTGGTGCAGGAAGTCCAGAGAGGGGCAGCCATTCATTTATTTACTGAATTTCATTCTTTCAACTGTATTTCTTTCTTTAATGGGTTTTGCAAATAATGTGACCAAATGACCTAGAAGATTAAAGATGGGAAGGTTTGCTCTGGCCACCATCAAATTAGAAGACTGTGGGAAAGCAAGAGGTGTCATTAGGACAGATATCAACACGTTTGTGATTTGCATACAATATTCGGTGAACACCGTGGCCTTTATTGTTCTAAAAAGTTATACATGTGCTATTTAGTCTTCAACCTCTGTGAATTATGGTTATGTATTAGTTTAAAAAATAAAGTTCAGATTCTTCAGGGAGTCAGTTACTGAATGTTGTATGACATGTTGCTTGAAGTCCTTGGGAGGTGGAGTTGTGGGCTGGAGGACTACTGATCCAGCTGAGTCAGGTGATTCACACAGGTTGATGGGTTCCCTGAAGACACCCTGGGCTCCCTCTTTCTGTCACATGACAACCACCCTTCCCACCTACCGTTTCCACACCTTCCTCTCCCTCCTGTGCTGTTGTACCTCGGTCCCTGATCTCCACCCTTTGGAGCTTCTCCAGCTTTCAGCCCAACTTGGAAAACCATTGCATTAAAGTATCTTTCCCTTTTCTTCAAAGTACGCTTATAAGGCTGAGCCGTATGTTGCTTCCGAATACAAGACAGTGCATGAAGAGCTGGCCAAATCCATGACCACAATTCTCAAGCCCTCTGCCGATTTCCTCACCAGCAACAAACTGCTTAAGGTATGTCAGGAGGGCCAGTGTAGCTCTGCGGTATTGAAATTGATTGAAGAAAATGCAAACTTCACTTCCTGATAGATTTCACCCTTTTGGTGTTCTTTTACCTCCTAAAAAGGGATGCCAGAGTTAGTTCTTCAGTAACAACTCTGCTGCCTGTACTTGTGCTCCTAACAGAGCCACCAGGCATTACTGTATTCAGTTTCATAGTCAGTATATTCAAACCGGTGGAGGACACTGGGTTAGAGCCTGTAAAGGTAAGTGTCAGCAGGTGAGACTCTGCCGGGAGGAAAGGCCATGGGTCGAATCTAGGGGTGCCTCTGGTTGGGTTGTGCCGTGCTAAGTGTGTGTGCCCAGTTTCCTAGTGGGAAGGAACTGTTCATTGTTGGACGCATGGGAGCAGGAGAGCATCTGCCGTGAACCTCTGGTCTGACAACAACTCACCAAGACGTCCAGCTGTGTTTCTGGGTCACACGTGTTTCATGTCAGTGAACAACGTCAGCCTAAGAGGGTCTCACCTTCGAATTTGTTGTTTTTCTTACTGGATCCTTTTTTTTCCTTTCAGTATTCATGGTTTTTCTTTGAAGTGTTGATCAAATCCATGGCTCAGCATTTGATAGAGAACTCCAAAGTTAAGGTACGTCACTTCCTACCAAGACTTGCCTGGCAGTTCTTGGTGGGGAGTCTCTTCCATCCTGTTTGTAGCTAACACTTACTAATGCTTTCTGCGGGCCAGTCAGACAGCTATGCTAGGTGCTCTCCAAGTAGTAAGCATTTTAGCTTTATAACAACCCTGTGGGGGAAGTACTTGTCTTAGCCCTCATTTTATAGATTAAGAAACTGAGACTGAGTGCTGGAGTTACTTGCCCAAGGCCATGCTGCGGTTTGCGGAGGGAGCCAGGCTCTGTGACCAGTCTGGCCCCACAGCCCATACTCACAGTGTGATTAAGTCCAGAGAAATTGGCTTTTTGCTTTGACTAGCTTAGAAATCTTCATGTCTGTCGAAACGGGACTAGCAGTTTAAGCTTCCATTTAAAATTTGTCTTGACTGTCTTGAGCATTGTAGAGATTTGTCAGGGACTTAGATGGGTGTGTCAGAGATGACCACATGTCCTCTGTAGCCAATTGGTAGACTGAGATTAACTCCATCTCCCCCAACACCTCCTCCCCTGGTGCCTGGATGTGTGTGACTTTCTGGTTCCCCCTGCTGTCCCTGGTTCCCACTGGTCTCTGCATGAGATGACCGGGCTCGTCTCTGGACTGATGCCCGTCGAAGTATAACTGGCTATCTGAGGCTCAGTGTAGATAAATTTTTGTAAAGTTTGAATGCAGTAAACCCAGTGGCCATGTCGCAGAGTTCCTTCTGAGAGTCACGGGGGTCCTGGAGTCGCTGTGTGACTGCAAACTCTCGCCACGTGTAGCCGTAGAGAGTCTCGGAGTCTGGCAGGGAGCAGCGGTTCTGGGGCCCAGCAGCCTCTCCAGTGAACTTGGGAAGGAGGGAGGAGCCACAGGGGGCGAGGATCAAGATCTAGGCTCCTGGACAAGGGGTCTGGATGCGAAGGAAGCCTTGGGAAAGGCTAGTGGATTTTGTCAGTTGGAAGGCTGTTGGTTCAGAACCTAAAGCTGTGCTTTCTTCTAGTAGAGCCAGTGCTGGTGCCTGATCAGGAGGTTTCCTTCTTTTCCTCTTTTTCTTTTAATTTTAGTGCACAAGGAAATGCCAGATGGAGGTGGGCCCTGCCTTCCACAGAGTAATGCACCATCTAAATCATGCTGGCACAGCCTGCCAAGGAAAAATCTAGCAGATTGTCTGCTTGGCAGTGTGTAGCTGAAGAGTCATGCACGCGCTCACACATACATACATGGGCATGTGTGCAGGCACGCGCGCGTACACACACACACATCTTGTTATATTGCCTTTCTGTTAAAAATGGTGTCCTATACAGGACAGGCTGTAGGATTTCCTTAGTCGGCTGGGGCTGCTGTAACAACTACTGTACACTGAGGGGAATAAACAGTAGAAATTTATTTCCTCATGATGCTGGAGGCTAGATGTCTGAGATCAAGATTTCTGTAGGGTTGGTTTCTTGTCAGGCCTCTCTCCTTCGCTTGACGATGGCCGTCTTCTCCCTGTGTCTTCACGTGGTCTTCCCTCTGTGTGTGTCTGTGTCCTGTTCTCTTTTTATTAAGACACCAGTCCTGTTGGATTAAGTTCCATCTTAATGACCTCATTTTAACTTAATTTCCTCCTTAAAGACCCTATCTCTAAATACACTCACATTCTGAGGTGGCGTTAGGACTTCAATATATGAATTGGGGTTGGGGGAGGATGGACAAAATTCAGTCCATAACGAGGCCCCTGCTGGCTTTTTCATTATTTTTGTCTTTAAATAAATGGGATCACTTCAGAGAGATTGATGACTTGATTATATTTTTTAAAAATAACTGATTTGTTAAGAAAGTATTTATTGAGCCCTCATTATATGCAAGCCAGGCTCAGAGATTATGCAGGTAAATGTAGCGTGGTTTGTGCCCTCATGGAGTCCAGGTGGGACAGTGTACAGTTAGACCCCGGGACGGAGGGTTTAGGACATAAGGAACACGTCTGAAACATTCCCAGGAAGCATATTTAAAATCAGGTATCAATGTCATGGATCTAAGAACTGTGATAGAAAATTAATAAAGGAATTTAATTGTGTGTGTTCTTTTCTCAAGACGCCAGATTAAACCATGGAACTTTACGGTTCATAGGGACCTGAAAGCTACCTTCTGGTCCGACTCCTCCATTTTCTCCACAGAGTTAGAAGTGGAAGTATAAAGCCATGAAGTGACCTGCCCAGGGTCACACAACTGAGCAGAGCCAAGTGTTCTGCCCCGTAACCTGACTCTCCCACGCCTCGGGGAAATAGTTTGTCTTTGGAACTTTACACAAAGCACTCAAATGCTGCCATGCACAACCTTTTCTGTAAGTTAATTATACTCTGGTTCTAAAACAACATTCACAGAGTTTTTAGAGGTAGTTTATTTTAAAATTATCCAGCTTAAAAAAAAAAACCCAGGCATCCAAAAGGAGAAACCATACATAATTTACTATAAAAAGAGATTCAAAACACCTGCTTACCACTTTGGGGAGTTTGACATTGTTCACTTTTACATGGTTCCCCTAAGACTTGTGCTTGCGTGTCAACCCAGATACCACGTGTCTCTTCCCCTAAATCACGCTACCCTTGACCTGACTCACACCTTGACCTAGCAACTTCTCTTAAAATTTTTGAAGCCTGCATTCAGTTTGCCTCATATCTTAGGAGTAATGAGTGTTGTGTATTTGAATTAGTTATTTTAAGTCTGCCTTATATTTACATCTTAAGAACTCCATGTCTTAGTCCCCGATCACCATGTTCTGGATTTAGGGAGCAAGTACCTATTCACCATTCCTTTATCACTTATGATTTCCAAAATCATGGTCAAATCCCTTCAGAGTCTTTACATTTTTAGACTGAACATTTAATATAATCCAGTGTGTTTATAGTCCTGCCTTTGATTTTGTTCCTCATTGGTGAGTCTGTCTTAAAGTGCCACAAACAGGCACACACCTGACTTGTAGGAGCAGCTGGGCCATGGAACTCATACAAAAGTCAGGCAGTGCTTCCAGTTGCTGAAAGTGCCCTTCCCGAGAATTTCTGCTGTCGATCAGCATTTGGGGGCATAGTATTGAGCTGAGGCCTTCAGTGTCCACGCCGGTGTTAGTGGGTTGGATCCACCTGATGCTTGTAAGTGTGGAGGGATGAATCTGCACGCTGTTACACTGAAGGTGGGGCAGCCACGCGTGTCTGCCTCCCGTCCTTAGCCTACACTTTGCTACATTTGCTAAGGAGGGCTGTGAATCAGAGCCTCTCTCTGAACCTGCATCTTAAATAATCAATTTCCTTACTACCGCAGATGGGCCTGCAGAGTTTGGATTGATCGCATAGGACTGTGCCAGACTTGAGTGTTTTATAGGTGATGTGCTTGGAATTTACAATAAGTAGTTTTTGAGGAGAATATAAAACAGGCCTCACTGGGGCCTGCTAAGGAGTTCCCAACCCCCAACCCCACTCTGCTTCTAAGGTCAGCATATTTTAGGTGTTTCTTTTCTAGCATTTATTTTTAGCAACTATAATTTCAGCAGACTCATTTTGAATTTCCTTCCCACCCACACTGGATCAAGCAAATTGTTAGCATTCCACAGGTGCTCCTCAGGGAAGCCAGAAACCTGGCAGCTGACAGGATGAATATATACTCTTAAGGTTAGTTGTTGAGCCTTCAGTCATTTTCTGTCTTAATTAAGCAAGGAAAGAGCTTTCATTTGGAGAGCGAAAGAAGGGTGGTATGGTTCACGTGCTAGGTGGACTCCTGGACTTCCCTTAAACTGTGTGTGTGAACTCTCTACATGCATGCTGGCGGAATGGTAATGTCCAGACTTCCACCCACGAGTGGGTGTTTTGAATAGTATTTGCTCCATGCAGAGTGCTGAGAAGAAATGCAGATGGGCTGGAGGGTGCGCCCTCAACCTTGAAGCTGACAGAGTCCTTGAAGAAGGAAGATCTGCAGCTAGAGGGGAGTGCAGGAAGGTGTGTGTGTGTGAGGTCAGCGTGGCGCTAGAGGTGGGACGTCACCTGAGCTTAGAAGGACGCCTCCTCTGGGGAGGAGAATGCGCGTCAGGCAGGGAAAGGAGCTTGTGCCCAAGAGAGGCCCCTGTGGGCGAGCTCAGGCTGGGGGTAGAGGAGAAGAGTGGAAAACAGATGAACTCAGAAACAACGGTGAGATTATGGGGAGTTTTGCAGCCAAGTAGTAGACGATTTGGTAGCGACCATAGAGATCAAGTAGTGACGAGATGAAAGGGAGGAGAGATATTAGCAGAGTGGTGTGGAAGCTTTTATATCAATGAGTCTACCTTCCTCCTGGAGTTGAAATCGTCTGTGGAACAGGTTAATGCACCTGTCATTGTTTATATGTCTTTGATTTTTTTTTTCCAGCCCTCTAACTGCACTAATATGAATGGTGTTCTGGTGATGTTGGTAAAGATGTAGTGTGGGGAGGGATGAGGTGGGACTGGGGGTGAGGATGCAGAGCGTGGTGAATGAGGAAGAGAGGACTTGGAGACAACTGATGGTTTGACCTGGCCGCTGTACTTCTGAGTATTCACTGATGAGAAGTGGAAACATATATCCACACAAAGCCCTGTACGCAAACAGCATAGCAGCTTTATTCACAACAGCCGGCAACTGGAAACGTCTGTTCACTGGTGAATGATAGGCACATTGTGGCAACTCCATGCAGCGAAATACTGCGTAGTAATAAGAAGGAACAAAATATTGATTTGATTTCCATCCAATAACATGGATCTATCTCGAAAGCATTATGTTAAGGGAAGGAAGTCACCGTGGTCACATATACACGATGTGCTATACTCTGTATGAGTTTGTTTGTATGACATTCTACAAAAAGGAAAACTTCAACTTCAGGGAGAAAAAACAGAGCAGTGGTTTCCAGGGGCTGGGGTGGGGAAGGGACTCAAAGGGACAAGAGGAGATTTTTGGCTGCTAAAAATGGACTTTGTGTTGGCTGGGGTGGTAGTTACACAGTTGTGTTTCACTTGTCCAGATTAACCAAACTATATACCCTGAAAGGGTGAATTTTAGTGTATATAAATTAAACCTCAGTAAATCTGACCTAAACCAAACAGAACATGTTAAAGTCAGATTTGAATGGGGGAGAAAGGCCACCTAGATGCTGAGTGGTAGCATATAGTGGACTGGAGCTTTTGAGAGAGAGAATCATGGTTTACCAGGGAAGGGGGAAGGTGGTGAGTTCTGCTTGGGAGACCTTTAGCTGTAGAGCAATAGGTTCAGCTGCTGTGACAGAGATCTAACATAACAGTGGGTTAAACAAACAAAAAGTTCATTTCTTCTCACATGGAAGTCCAGGGTAGTATGGGGGTTCCGTCCCACAGTTATGGGGGCCCAGACTTTCTCTGTCTAATACCTTTGTCCACCTGGAGTACTGCTCGTCCTCCTGATCTGCCGGGGTCACCACCGCATCCATGTGGGGCCAGCACGAAGGGGAAGGCACGTCTTTTCTCCTGAGGATAGGGCACCAACGGGGTCCAGAGAGAAGCACGGAGAGGTTAGAGAGAAAACCAATTTTTACACATAAAAATAACAACGAGATAGAGGAAAGAAAAAGTTGTAGGAGAAAAGGAAGAGAGAAGTGATGTAGGGATTCCAGTAAGAGTGGTAACTTCAGACTTCTGGGAAATGTCATCAGATTCCTTGTCTACCCCACTATTTTTCTGTTTCTGCACCCTACTATTTGCTAAGCAAGAAGAATGAAGTTTATTAGCTAACAGTCTTATTTATTATAGCTCACAGAGCCATAAAACAGCCCACAGAAAAGAGGTCTCTAAACCCGAGAGAGTAACAGAACACAGTAAGGAATGAAGAATCGAGCAGGTGGAGGCTGTCATGATGTCCTTGTACACAGGGTAGCGATTTGGTCAACAGTCAATGTCAGAACCCAGACGGCATGACGCACAGGCTGTGGTGCAGCCCCTCGCTGGCGCCCACAGAGACTTGGCTGTCAGCGGTGGGGCTCACAGGGCCCTTGGCTGCCAGGCCAAGTGTGAGTGGTCAGGAAGACCCCACTCAGCCCAGGAGCTGAGCAGCCAGCAGGAGTTCAGAGGTGTCAGGCTCACAGCAGGGTGGGGGGCCTGGAGCACAGCGGGTCAGCTGGAGGAGGCAGGTCTGGTGTGGTCAGGTGCTGGATGGACAGACCCCGCAGCAGCAGTGTTTGTTGGAGGCGCAGATGGTGGTGGCCGGGCCATCAGGGACACTGCAGCACTGAGGGGAGATCCAGCAGCTGGACATGGTCAGGAGGTGGGGCTCAGTCTTCTGGTGTCTTAATGTCCTCTCTGAGCCAGTGCTGATACACTTACTCCCCTAGACATCAGCTCATTTTCCTAGACTGTGTTGTTCTTTTTCAGTTCATAGTAATTTCCATAAAATCATCTAAATACCTCAGTCTTTATTATCCTTACACATGTGCCTTACGTCATTGCTTTGTTGCCAAATTAGGACTTTTGACAATAGCTGTTTGTCACTGCAGGGAGGGCTTCATTCCATCCTTCAAAGGCACTGAGTTGTCATCTCCTAATCACTGTACAGCATTGTTGGTTGGTTTGTATGTTAATTATATACCATTCTTCACCATGTTTCTTCCCTTTTAATAAAAAAAAGTTATTAGAGGAAATTTTGAATAAATATAAAAGGAAAGGGAATAGTTTAATGAATCACATGTCCCTGTCACCCACCTGTCTTCAACAGTTATCAACTCTGCCACTCTTGCTTTATGTATCCACATTCATACTTCTTTTTTTCCTGGAGTATTTTGAAAGCAATTTCCAAATATTTTATCATTTCATCTGTAAAATGTTAGTGTATGATATCCATTGGTTAAGTTTTCTAGGAAGATATTAACCATTGCACCATTATGGCACTCAGTAACTGAGTTAGTGTCATCCACTCCATCTATATTCAGCTTTCCCCAGGTGTCTCAAAAATGTCATTTTATAGTTGGTTGGTCTGAATCAGGATCTAAATATAGTCCACACATCGCATTGGGTTTATGTGTCCCTGGTTTCTCAGATCCTCAAACTGCTCCCTCTCCAATAGTTTTTTTGTTTTTGTTCTTTAATGCAGTGTATTTGTTGAAGAAAGCAAGCCATTTGTCCTGCAGAATTTCCAGCATTCTAGATTTAGCCAGTTGTAACCTTGCAGTGATACATGATGTGGTTCTCTGTACCCTCTGTTTACTGTAAACTTGTATAGTGGTATCTTGAGGCTTAATTCCACTCAGGTTTGATCTTCTTTGTGGCAAGGACATGTCACAGCTGGTGCTGCTGTATCTCATCAGGAAGCATAGGATGCCAGTTGTCCCACTTTTAGTTACGAGAATATTGACCAGTAGGTTTCATGGGGTCCACCTCTTCCTTCCATTATTGAGTTCCCCAGCCACTTTTCATAATTTACACAGCTGTTGAGTCAGCCCTGTTCTGAAGGCTTTTCTTAGGAGACCTCTTTTTTTAGGAGTGGCCAGCTTGGGTAGCTGGCACTCATGCCTGGTGGTTAGAGTTGGCCTTGCCTGGGGTCCTGGAAGCTGTCTATTGAGGCTGACTTCTCAGAATACAGAGTTACTGGTTTTCACACATGGAACAAAATCCTTTTAGAATTTCAAATTTTACTGCTCTATTTTTGAAAGTAGCTAAACTCCAAATTCTGATGACTTGATCTTTTCCTCACTAGATTCTTGAGTTTAAATACATTTACAAAAATTGTCTTGTTACTGCTTTGAGAATTGAGAGTGTTCTAAAGCCGGCATTTCACAATGTCATAATAAGTTCTGGTATTTAATGCATAAATTACTGCATGCTTTCACAGCAGAGATACCTAGGCTTCATCTAGTTTTACAAAATGTTGTTTGTTTAATATTAGGATACTGGTTTGGCTGCTCCAAAACAGGCCAAAATAAAGTGGCTTAAATAAGACAGACAGTTCATTATTCTCTTCTGCAAAATTACGAGCCAGTAGGCAGCTTAGAAAGTGGGGAGCATGTCCCCCAGGGTCATTCAGAGACTCAAGCTCCAATCCAATTATCCAGCCCAGGTGTCACCGTCGTCTGCATGGTGGAGAAGCTGGCTCACCAGCACCCCACATTCCAGGCAGTGGTGAGGAGAAGGACTTAGAAGGAAAGCAGCTCCTTTTATGGCCATGGCTGGGAGAGGCAGGTGTCATTTCCTCTTACAGCCCATTGACCAGAACTAGTCACATGGCCCTTATCTAGCCACAAGTTGTGCTGGGAATTGTAGTCTCTGGCTGGGCAGCCATGTGCCCCTGTAAAACCCAAGAGATTCACTACGAAAAGGGAGAAGGAAAGGAAGGATATTAAAAATCAGTTAGTATTCTTTACTGAATCTCTCCAAGCTTTGGTTTCCTTATCTGTCAGGTGGGGATGAAACCCGCCCCACTGTTGTGGCTGTTAGAATCACACGCATGCGTGGATCAGTGTCCTAGGGCGTCTGGCTCAGCCTTCTTCCCACCCCTCAGTAAATTGTTCTAGGTATCGGGGCAGGAGAAGGGGCAGCGTGGCATCACAGAGCAGAAAGAGCACAGGCTTAGAACTCACTGTAGATCTGGGTTTGAATCTTTGTTATTATTAGCTGTGTGACTGAAGACACATTTACCCAGCCTCTGACCCTCTGTAAAATGAGGGTTAAAAGTTTGTAAGAGTTTAATGAAAAGTATATAAAATTACTTAGTGCAGTGTCTGGTGTATAGAAGATACACGGTTAAGTAGTAGCTAATTGCTAAGTGATCTCTGTGTAATTTCTTAGGTAAGCATGCCTGAGGGGGAAAACTTATTATGTAAAGTTAATTTAAAGAGACTGCTTCTAAGCAGTTTCAACTAGTGACATACAATCACCATTCCATGTATTTTCAGTTTGAATACTTGAATCTTAAACCTAAACCAGTGTTCTCTAAAGAAATCTCTGAAAGGTACAGGCATTAGAATCACCCAGAGTAAAATGCAATAAAAACGCAGGTCTGATCAGAATCTCTGGGAGTAAAGGTGCATTTTTATAAATACTTCCATGGTGGTCTTTATCATGCTGAAGTCTAAGACGTCAGGTCTAATCCACAGCACTTATGTGAAGTATTAGAATACTTATACAGTACTTTGAGAGAAGAGAGAATAATTTATTTTATCTAATTTCAGATAAATAAGATGGGATTTTTAAATGAACTCAGGGATGAGATTTTTTTCCCCCAAAAGGCTACAACTTAAAAAATAATGAATGTTTGCTCTAAATTGTTTTTAGTTATTACGAAACCAGAGATTTCCCGCATCATATCATCATGCAGTGGAAACTGTTGTGAATATGCTGATGCCACACATCACTCAGAAGTTTCGAGATAACCCAGAGGCGTCTAAGAATGCGAATCATAGCCTGGCTGTGTTCATCAAGGTGGGGGCCTCCAGGGGAGAGGGGATCCGCCTAGTGCCTAGCACGCTCTTTCTAGCAGAGTGACTCCTGCATAGCAGGTGCTCACTTAATGTTGATGGCAGGTTTTTATGGTAAAGGATAAATGTATTCACAAGAAATGCTGATTTCAAGCCAACTTTCACACCAAAATTGGGACGTAAATACTTAACCTTTTTGGGTTGTTTGCTCCACAGAGATGTTTCACCTTCATGGACAGGGGCTTCGTCTTTAAGCAGATCAACAACTACATCAGCTGCTTTGCTCCTGGAGATCCTAAGGTAGAGTGTGTGTGTGTGTGTGTGTGTGTGTGTGTGTGTTAGTTACACGTTGTTCTTTCTTCCTCACTGAGTGCCATCTGATACCCACCTATTTCTCTAGGTTCACATCAGTATTTTCTTTCAGTCCCAGAGGCACAATTCACTCCCCTCTCTGGGAGATACTAACTAGTACTAACTAGTACTTGCATTAATGTGTGAGATACAATAGGGACACAGTAATTCCAAACATAACATAAACATACCTATTGATTTTTCTCATAAATACCTGAAATGACTTCTCAGCTGCAAAACTAAAAGTATCTGTGGTGTGAATCATAGTTTATTTATCAAGGTAACAGAGTAACCATGTAGCCTTTCTCTGCTAGAATTATCTGTCTCTTCCCTTGTGTGTCTATTTTAAAGCTCTGCCTTACTCATTTATTAATTGCATTGAATCTGTCTATGATTATAAGCTGTCTGAAATCCTTTACTGAAGTAGGAGGAACATAAAAAATAAATGCCCTAAAAGTCAGTGGAGGATATTGTTTAATGAAATGCATTCCGTTTTCAAACAAATCCCTGCAGCTATTCTGAAACCTGCACAATAGCCTGGAGCATGCAGTTCTCAGAGAGAGAAGAGGCTAAAGACTGGCTGTGTGATTCCTGGAGGTTTTTAGGATGCTGTATAAAGTATCCACTGAGGTGTTTAACTTATGACTAACCATTTTTTCCTGCAGACCCTGTTTGAATACAAATTTGAATTTCTCCGTGTGGTGTGCAATCATGAACATTATATTCCTTTGAATTTACCAATGCCATTTGGAAAAGGCAGGATTCAAAGATATCAAGGTAATCTCTGTTTAAATATATTAATCCTAGTCTTTTCAGAAAGATAGCCATTCATTTTTAATAACAAAAGAGAATTAGTTCAAACATGACATTAGAATTACCTGATTTTTTCATTGATGAATTAATTTTTTTCTTGTTAAGTTTCCATTTTGAAAAAATGGATGAAGTGTTATATGGGAACTTACTGTTTTTAGCAAACTTACCAGACTACAGATCATGCCACTGTGACTCTTTTTCATTGAAAAATTCCATTGCTTAAACAATAGAAATCCATTTTATTTACTGCAGTTTATTTTCATTTGTTTCATTTTTCCTTTTTTTCTTACGAATTAGCTTTTCTTTCACCAACTGTGGAGTCAAATGACACTCCTGTAGGTAGGTGTGGGGTGTGACGCTTGCTTTCTTGCATTTTCCTACTTTAAAAGAAAAAGAATGCAAGTGATTGCTGAAATGCTTCCGTATGCTATTCATTTAGGCATTTCCCATATACTTGGATCAGTTTTAAAATTCATGACAAACCAGTGAATTTGTTCCCACTGTCAGTGAGACATTGCAATAACATCCCTGGGAGGCATCTTGGTTTTTGCTCCTGGGGCTGCTAGGTCCTCTAGGATGTTTCTTTAAGAAGTAAAGCGAACGAAAAGCTCTGCTTCACTTCAAAACTGTATTATTCCACCACTTTCATAGTCCTTGTTTCTAGCAGTAGCAGTAACCTATGTCACAAGCAACACGGCTTTTCACATGCTTTTTGTTTGCATGTTGAGTCTTTATTAACTGTTCCACATCCTAGAGATTTCTTTGTCTTCATCGAGTAAGTCAGATGAATCAAATTAGTCTGTCAAGTCTGTCAAGTAATAGTTACTGAGTTTAGTGCCTTGTATGTGCTCAGGATTATTTATGCTAAAGGAGAGAAATGGTAGAAGGATGCCACCAAACTCTCAATGACACCTCAATCAGCTGACTCTGAAATTGAGAGAGAGACACAGAGAGGCATTCATCCAGAGACATAAGTAGCTTCCCCCCGGACAGACTTGGGCTGCCTTTCAAAGAGCAGGAAGGGGGTCTGTGGCCTGAAGTTGGCTCTCATGCATTTGACAAATATGTATTTACCTGGCACCAACTACACCTGGCCTTGGGATACAGTCGTGGACAACAAGGATGACGTCCCCAGCTGTCTTACCTGTGTGACATACATAGAACATTAGAGATAAGTGCTGAGGAGAGAAAAATAAAGCAAGGGAAGGTGATAGGAAATGGGGTGGCGTTTGAGATCAGGTGGCCAGGAAAAGCCTCACTGAGGTGACTTCTGGGTGATAATTGAAGAAAGCGAGGGGTTGAGCATTCTAGGCCCAGGGAACCGCTGTCCATTCAGCATCCCCATCCAACCTGGCCCCCCACCCGTCTCACTCACACGGTTCCCCACACGTCAGAGACACCTGCCACTCCCAGCTCTTCAAGCACGGCACGCCCACCCGACACTTCTTCACCTCAACCAGCACCTCCCTGTGAGAGCCTCATCCTCCTCCCGGCCAGTCACTCAGCACCTCTGAGGTGGGGCTGGCTGGGTCTCCCCCTCCCCTCTCCCAGGGCCCCTCCTGGAGTGAATTGCTTCCCACCCTGCACTCCAGACTAGTCACCCCCACCTCACCCACTGTCCACAAATAGCCCACCTGAATTGGAGACCACGACTCTCTTTTCCTCTCACCTGTCAGGGTGCTGAGGACAGCTCTTCACGCCCAGTGGCTGGGGAGTGAATGTGTGCTAATGCCTGTCCTCCCCTCTGACCTGGCAGGCCCAGTGGTTTATTCTGCAGGACTGAGTGAGGCGGAGACCCTTCAGGTACCCTGCAGACACTCACAAGCTCTTAGTAGGCTGTCAGGGTACTTGGTGGCTAGAAGGGCTGCCCTAGGCGGGTAGCCTGGGTCACCTACAGATAATTTCCATGACTGCACTGATAGGAATAAGGGTGTTTTTTTTTCTGCATTCTCCTTCCTCTCACCCTTCTCACCTGCTCCTCCACTTTTCTCTCTGTGCACGCACACATACACACGTGTACAGTTACACCCATAAATAGTCTTCTTCTGTGAATTCAAGCTGTGAACTGTCTTTTCAATAAACTGGGCTTAAAAATCATAAACTGTCGACATGAGTATTCCAGGATGATGAACACTCTTTCCCTTCCTTCTGTTGAAGGGTTTCATAGGACTTGGGTCAGACAGACCTTGATTAGGTTTAGAAGCAAGTATCTAAAACAGAATTAAAGTCAAAGGAGAGGCCTATAGATTTTCCTCTAACAATGGATTCAGTATGAGAATTTAAATCCGAGCTACAGCTTACTGGAAAGGTGTGTTTCAACTTCAAAGTGTGATGTTCAGCTGCTTTGATTTGCCCTGCCTCAGTGGAGTTCACGTTTGTGTCTCTCTCTTTTCCAGAGGAGCTTTCAGTCTTGTCACTTAGCTTGCTGATGATTTACTAGTTTGATTTGGTACTTTGTCCATTTTAGTTCTAATTTTAATATAAATGAAACTAACATGTTTTCAATTTGCTTTTTGAAGTACAGAAGTTTTAAGAGTATATTATAGAAAATTCTAAGTTAAATTAGATCTTCATTCAGTGATAGCAAAATAGGTTCTGTGCTAACTCGTTCATTTTACACAGTTGGGTTTTAATGAGGGTAGATGGACATTAATGACAAGGAAATAGATAAATGAAGTCATGTGTGAAGAAATTCTAAGAGACCATGTATATTTATTCTTTAATTACGTGTTTGTTATGCACGTATTACTTCTCTATAATGTTGTCAATTAGTACAGCTTTATTTTTAAATTTTGTATCAATAACAAAATTGCATTAGTAGTATAACATACTGTTCTATATTCTGAAAATTGGTACTAAAACTTTTCACTAACTCAGTAATTATGTAGGATGTAATATCTCCCAAAATCAAAATCCGGTGCATTTATTTGTATTTAAATTTTGTTTTCATTTAGGAGTTCAGTGTGTTAAGAAGTAGAGTAGTATTTTAGATAATCAACACTTGCCTGTTCAAAGCCAAGTCTAATCATCTGCTGACACACACAGAGGGGCTGGATGCAGAGGGTGGGCTTGGTTTTTATTTTTTCTCAGAGAGCGCTGCAACCTCTCTAACTGGAGCGGTTTCTATCCTCATTTCAGACCTCCAGCTTGACTACGCATTAACGGATGAGTTCTGCAGAAACCACTTCTTGGTGGGACTGTTACTGAGGGAGGTGGGGACCGCCCTCCAGGAGTTCAGGGAGGTCCGGCTGATTGCCATCAGCGTGCTCAAGAACCTGCTGATAAAGCATTCTTTTGACGACAGATATGCTTCCAGGGTGAGTCATCCCTGATGGGAGGAAATGTGGATGGAGAAATGTCTTTCATTTTGAGTAATATAAAGAAAATAAGCAAAGAGAAAATGAGTGGTAACCACACTAAGACTCTTCTCTGTTTATGTAATAAAATCTAATAGCAGATCCTTATAGGAAGGGTGCAAATACAGGAGATCGCCAGTGCCAGCTCAGCGCATCATCTCTTCTCAGAGTCTGGGATAACTTACACTGTGTGCTTTGTTTCAGAGCCATCAAGCCAGGATAGCCACTCTCTACCTGCCTCTGTTTGGTCTGTTGATTGAGAATGTCCAGCGGATCAATGTGAGAGACGTGTCTCCCTTCCCTGTGAACCCTGGCAGTGTACGTACGCACAGTCACACACACACTTCCTGTATTTGTTTCCTGTGGCTGCCCTAGTACCACAAACTGGGTGGCTACAAACGACAGAAATTCATTCTTTCACAGCCAGAAGGCCAGAAATCCAAAATCAAGGTGTCAATTGGATTGATACCTTCTGGAGGCTCTGGTTGAAGAGTCGGTTCCCTGCCTGTGTCCTAGCTTCTGGTGGTTGCCCAGAATCCTTGCGTTCTTTGGCTTGTAGCTGCATCACTCCAGTCTCTGCCTCTGTCTTCACATGGTGTTCTCCCTGGTGTGGGTCTGTGTCTCTGGGGTCCTGTCCTGTCCTTATAAGGACACCAGTACTTGGATTTAGGGCCCACCCTAATCCAGGATGACCTCATCTTATCTTACATTTTAATTACGTCTGCAAAGACTCTATTTCAAATAAGGTCACATTCTGAGGTTCTGCGTGGATGTGAATTTGAGAGGGGAGCTACGACACACTATTCAACTATACACCTCCCATTTTTGCCCCTAAAACCATCATAATCTACAATATTGTTGGTAAATTGCATTTCTGGCTAAGATGGGGTCAGTCAGTAAACCTTCTACTCTTTTTGTGTGTGTGTGTATGTGTGTTTTTCTTGTTTTCTTTGTTTTTCTTTGCAGGGGGTAATTAAGCTTAGTTATTTATTTATTTATTTTTAGAGGAGGTGCTGGGGATTGAACCCAGGACCTCGTGTGTGCTAAGCATGTGCTCTGCCACTTGAGCTTTACCCTACCCTCAACCTTCAACTCTTGTTAAAAATCATTATAAATAACCATGTTTTCCTGATGGCTCAATATCTTCTAACACGTCAGGATCTTCTTTGCATATCCAACACAAACTTATAGAGGAAGGAGTTCATTTTAAAAAAAAAGCGTGATTCTAGCTTTTGAGAGCTCAGTGCTAGCCCCAGTTCTGATGTAACATATACACAGTCTCTGCCTCTTTGGGATAAAGTTTCTCTGTGTCTGGAAAATTAGAAAGTCACACTGGATGTCAAGGAGGCCAAGGTGAGTGACTCCTTCTCCCCAAACTGATTGCCTTATTTTAGCTTTATGCAGTCATTTAAAGGTATACTAGAAATTAAGTTGACTGAAGGATGATGCCAGAAATGATTTCAAAACATTTCGGTTTGGGGGTGTAGGTATAGCTCAGTGGTAGAGCGCATGCTTAGCATGCATGAGGTCCTGGGTCCCATCCCCAGTACCTCCCTAAAAAATAAGTAAATAAATAACTAAACAAACCTAATTACCTGCCTCCTCCCCCCATAAAAAAAAGTTTTCGTTGGAGACAATCTGCCATTAATTTGGACAGGTGTTGGTGGTTCCACAGTTTCCATTCTGGACCCATGAACTGGCTCAGTTGTTCATCTTGCCGGTTTGTCATTACAGCATACACCTGGGGAGTTTCCTTTTGTGTGTTTCTGTCCCTTCTTCCCCAGTCATGATGCTTTGTCCCATATTTTATACATTCTCTCCCCCTCTGAGTACATCTCTACATAATGGTGCATTGAGATGAGCCACATTTATAGAACAAGTTTGTAGTTCCAAAGAGGGTGAATGTTCACTGTCCTTAAAGGGCATGCATCACACTGATCTCACCCTCTCCAACACTATTTCACACCTGTGTTCTCGAAATCTGTCTGCTTTTCTAATCAGGATAAGTAATTCAGGGTGTACTGCTCCCTCTCTGTCCTGCTATAACCCTGAGAAGAATGAACGCCAGCTTTTCTCTGGCCTTCATCCCGCTAAAATCCCTTTGTGACACAACTTCATAATGAACATAATCTCTCTGCTGATTGAGAGTTCACATGAGGCTCCAGGCTTGCAGAGATTTTCACTGCTGCTATTGTTAAGTCTGCTGCTCATTTGGGAGGATTTCTGACGTGAGAGAAAAACCAACGTTCCAGTTAAAGCACACGAGGCCTTTTCTGAAGGAAAAAACATACTGAAATCATCTAAAGAAATGTTGGGCATCAGAGCTCTGGAAAGGGAAAGGTGCTAGACCTTCTGGGGAAAGCAATGACTTTGGGGCCAAGATTTCTCTGCCCCGCAGACCCGAAGTACTCTGTGCTCCCCCCTCCTTCTCCTTCTCTGGTCCCCCCGCCGGCCTCCCTCTTACACGTGGGGCGGCCACTCCCTCCTCAGGCACGTTTGAGATGCCAGGCTGTTTCCTCCTGTTCTTCCACTTGGCCCACACTTCCAAGAACAGTGGGTGAATCTTTTCAAGTCGTCTTCAATTATTTCTTCTCTCTCTCCCCTCTGACAGACTGTGAAGGAGGAGTCACTTACTCTGCCAGCTGTAAATCCGTTGGTGACACCACAGAAGTCTGGGAACACGCTGGATAGCAGCCTGCACAAGGACCTCTTTGGCGCCATCTCTGGCATTGGTAATGCTGGCCACTCTGGTCTGCTGCCCCTAGTCTGATTCTGAGAGTGTCTTTAATCCGACCGTTTGTCAGCTTTCAAATTAGAACTTTGAAGTCTTGAGCTCCTCCTTCAGATATTCTTTTCCTGATTTTGCTCCTCAACCCTACGCTGAAAATAAAGATCCGAAGTTCTCAGGAATTCTAGATACAGTACACTTAATCACGTATTTGTACTGTTTGCTTTTTGTTTAATGCTTGTGAATTTTTCATTTTAAGTCTTCAAATTGGCTTGTTTATCTTTTAAGAAAAGAATGTGTTTGCAGGTGTGTGTGGACAGTAGGGTTTATTTGTAGGGTTCACCATTTAGATGAAATATGATGCAGTAATTCCTGAAGGAGATACTGGTTTATGGCTAGCATGCAGTCCCGAAAGCAGTTTTCTAAAATCTTCTTTCCTAGAATATTTTTTCAATCTGAAATAACGTTAGAGCAGCCCCCACAGGGAGGAAAACAGATGGCATAAATCAAGATTCAAATTGAGTCGTTTTTCCATAAGAAAATGCCTGAGAAATGTACTTATTAATATTCTGACTAATTGAGCCCATGTGCCAGCTACTTCATAAAGATAATGGTACAAAAAAAAAATATATATATATGTAAATTTTCATAGAATTGTCACAGACGTGCCCAGGCTGACGCTGTCTTCATTTCTCCCTCTTTAAACCACAGTTTGAATAAATGAAGCATCCTGCTGTGGCTGGTGCTCAGACTACCCAGTAATGGGACTAACTCATAGGGCAGAACAAAGGGCAGTCCTTTCATCTAAGTAATCTTCAGGACTGTTGTTTGTTCTGAGTTTATGTCCTTGGCTTTTGTGTTGTTCCTGTTGCCTACAAGCTATTTCACACAGGCCATGACACTGGCCAGACTATAAAATTGGAAACCCCACCCCAGTGCTCAAATGTATCCTATGACACCAATACCAGTCGTTACCTTACTTATGTCTGTGTGCATTTTTCATAGTTATACTTACTTCATTTGGTGTCGTAAAGATTAAATGAGTTAATTCATGCAAAATGCAGAGCCCGGCTTGGGTGTTTCTGCTGCCTTTCCCGTGGGGCCCGGGCCCTGTCTTTGCCTTCCTCTGTCCACACACTGCTCTGGGAGTAGGGAAGGGTTCCCTTCAGAGGGTTGGTCTGCAGCAGTTCACAGCACTGGCTTTAAAGTCAGACCAATGTGGCTTTCGATCCAGACTCCACCATTTACAATTACCATGGATAGGATGTTCCTCCTCTTCACCCTGTGTCCACATCTCAAAAAACAGGGTCATGGTGAGGGATGAAGAGCTAGTTCGATGTGTGCAGTGCTTGGCAGGGTAGATGCTCAGAGTTGTTAAATGACTGCCATTATAACAAGCACAGTTCTTCAGCGTTATTCATGCTTTGTGATTTACTCTCAGTAGCCAATTAGATGAGTCGCAGAGCCTAACTCTTAACCTTGTCCTCTCTGACCTGTATTCTGTAGGATTCCAGACTTTGTGGAAATGATGAAACTAGAATGAGGTGATGTTTTGACCCTGACTTTTTCCTCCAGTTCCACATTCCCCTTATTAGGGTTTGGGATGCCTTGAGAATGCAGAGATGAGCCATTGGTGTCTTTAGCACAAACTTCAGTTGCTCTGTGTTCATAGTGAAGTTACCAAAAGTACTTGAGACTGATTTTGTCCCTTTTCACTCTTTCTTGAATTTCAAGATCTGGATCCGCTTTTCATAGGAATTCACCACAACAGACTTATTTTACTCAGGCTTTATCTATGTCTCCCGCCCCTCCCCACCACCTTTAAAGACTTAAATCCTTGTTCCCTTTTAGGAATGCCTTTCTGGGAAGCCCCCATCTTTGGATTTACTAGTTGTTTTCTGGTAGCTTTAGCTTTTATTCATCAAGGAATTTCCAGTTAATTTTAGCCCGAGTACTTATCCTTCAAGAGCAGACTTGAGGAAATTCTGTGTCCACACTTACTGAGAATGTACCCTCAGCAGTTTTTTTTTAATGTGTTTGGAACATGGTGCATGAAAATTTCTAAAACTGATTCATTGCCTGAATAATACTCTGAGATGACATTCACTTTAAAACACGCATATTCTTAGGCCCAAGGTTCCATTTTCCACCTGCTACTCAGTGTATTGCATTTTGCTGTCCTTACAAAGAGAAGAGAGTTGAACTAAACTTTTCATTTTATTTACAGGTTGTTTGAGGTTTTTAAAAGTAAGGCACTTGGCCAGGATATTAAATACACACACACACACATGGAACATAGTTCTACCGAACATGTTGATTTTGATTTATTGCATTTTCATCTGTTTTCCTCAGATTAGGACTCTTGTTGTGGAATTGATCTTAAAACTGAGAATTTAAGGTCTAATTTTACTTTACTGAGAACCTCTTTCTCCTGAGCTCTGTGCTCTACATTACATTTGAAGTCCAGTTATATGAGGAGGACTATACTTCTAATCTGGTCATAATGCACACTTCTTTTTTGAGTGTAGAAGACTTGTGGGCCTTTCGTAGAGTTTTTACATGCTACTTGTGACGGTCTGTCACACAGGTCCTCTTCTGGGGAGGTGCGGCTGTGTGGTTTACATGTTCCCAGCTTCACTTGCCTTTTCAAATTCTCCTGACTCTTCTTTTTCTTGATACACTTAATACACTGAGTCGGTTTCAGGGATGGTGGCGGATAATCCTGTGTGTCAGGTAGGGGGAGGGATTAACTTAAAGGTGCCTTAGTCCACGGCAGCTGATGTACAGGCTGAAACCTGGAAACGACCTGCCCGGTCTGCAGCGCCAGGTAAAGGCATCTCCAGGGGAGGCAGCGGGGTGTGGGAGGCTGTGCTTATGGCCTCCTGCAGCACATGCCAAAAGTCTTCCCGTGCGGCGTGCGCCGCCAGCCAGGCCTCTCCGCCAGGGCTGTGCCTTTTGGGTCAGCACAGAATGTACAAGTCTGAGAGTCATTTTTAATTATGTGATTTATTTAAATCTTATCTAAGCAGGAAGTCAATCTATTACTTTTTCAAAATTCCATAATATTGAGGTAGAGGGTGACTTCTACCTTAAACTGCTGTCTTCTTCACAGATGTCACAAATTTTATTTCCAAGCTTGATTTCCATTCTGCTTGTAACTGTTTATTGCAGAGATTCCCAGACATTCTCAGTTTAGAGCACCCTTACTGTCCCAGAAGTTTTTTTCACAGGGTCCCCAGGCCAAAAGAAACACCCAGTGATTCTGTTTATTAGGTACTTAGGGCCAAATAACTTAAGAAGTACTTACAGCCTAACAACTTAATAGGCATTTGAAAACTATATACATGAATTTAAAGAAAAAACTTGTATTTTATTTTTAATAACCACAGTTCTTACTATGGAATGTGTGTGCCTGTTTGGCGCTGCACAGCTTCTCAAATTTGGAATCAGATTGCTCACCGACATTCTCATTTCCTGTTCCATGTTGATTTTCGCCCAGTACTTGCTTTTTATCATAGCAACCACCAAATACCCAACTTCACAAAGATACGACATCATGAAAAGGAATGTAGCACAATTTAAGGTTGAAACTACAGTTTCCAGCAAATGTCAAATATCACTGTGTTTTCCTTGAAAATCTAAACTGTCCCATAACACCCCTCAGAGATTTTAGGGTGCCTCAGCATACCTTTTGAGGACTGCAGGTTTACTGCATGGCTTAGTTTTTTTGATTTGATAGTTGTAGATCATTTTATCTTTTCAATTTTTTGAAGTCCTTATTCCATCCTAGTCTGAAACAGAATTTTCTCCTTTAGTCTGAGCAATCAAAGGTGGTTAATCATAAGTGAATTGATAATTATGTCTGAACATTTCAGATTCAAATTTATTTTTATCTCACTCTGTATGGCCTGATTATTTAAAGGGAAAGTAATTGAATGCAACTCGAACCAACTTCCTAACAGAAAAGATAAGTGCCATAAAAGCAATTTCTCTTAAAGTTCAGTACTTATCTCTGTTCTGTTCTGTCTCTCCAAACTTTTGATCTTGGCTTGATTGCTGTTTAGCTTCTCCATATACAAACTCAACTCCAAACATCAATAGCGTGAGAAATGCTGATTCAAGAGGATCTCTCATAAGCACAGATTCCGGGAACAGCCTTCCAGAAAGGAACAGTGAAAAGAGCAATTCCCTGGACAAGGTAATTTCTTTTCATATAACTTAAGTGTTTCTTATAACTAACGATTTAGCCCGAAGTAGATACGCTTAATGTTCTAGTGTTCATTGAGTGTGACCCTTTTTTTCCCTTAAATAACTCAGTTAACCTGGGGCAGATGATCAGAGTATTATCTAAGGATGGGCCCATTCCCTGATCCCCCCGATTCCTGTTTCCAGGGTTTCAGATCAGGGCAGTGTTTACAGTGGAGGACTTAGAGCAAATGGTTCTGGCAATTTGGACAGGTAGGGGAATCAAAATGCCACTCACTCAGAATCGCCCCTGTCTGTGTGCCAGAGAACACCATTTGTAACACAGTCATCCATGCAGACAGGCATTGGCTCCAAAGCTGACTCCTGAAAAGATTAACTGATCATACAGGTGATTCAGAGAGGAGGCTTTCCACTCACACTGTGCTCCCAGCCCCAACCTAACACATCCTCCTATTTAACGATTTCTCTTGAAATAACTTGAGACTCGGGCTATTTGGAAATTCGTGCGAATGGATAAGGCTTGGACTGAAACCTGGAACCATGATAGGTTAGTCTCACCTTGGCTACTGTTTTCCTAAGTTATTTCAAGTTATAGGCGAACACGTGTACTGACCAACAGGTGACCCACTTGGGGATGTGTCCCTAGTTCTCAGAACCGTGGAAGACATCCTTCCTCGGCATCAGGTTTGTCACCATACCTTTAGTTTCATGGCTGGCCTTGACGGGAACCTTAGCCGCGGTTCTGCGGAGGCGCGAGCATCTCTGCAGGCACGAGCATCTCCGTACAGGCGTGTGTCACGATGTGTCCACCTTTTCCCTTGACCCTGACACGCCCACGTGTGTAGAGGGAGAAGCTGCTCCGAAGGCACTCGACTTGCGTCCCGCGCGGTGCGGGAGAGGAGGAGGAGAGCGGCCAGTCGGCCAGGAGACAGCGGGTCACCGTGGACTTCTCGCTGCTGACGCTTCCGCCGCTGCCGGAGGAAGCCGTGCCCCCCGCACCCCACATCCCGCTGCTACTGGCCCAGAGCTCCCCGGGTGGCTCTGCTGAAGTGGGTGGGCGAGTCCGCGCATGTGCTCTGCAGTTTTGCCACTGATCGCACCTATTATTTCCTCCTGTAGTAAAAGTACTCACGCGTGTTAATTCAAACTCGTTTATTAAATATTTTTTCCAGTTGCCCACCCACCAATACCTTGAATGAAAGATATTTCTCACTGATCTTTCCACTTTAGTATTTGGCCAAAAAAAAAAATCCTGAGTTCAATTGGAAATACAACTTTGAAGATTTTTAAATCTCCTGTGTTTTTTAAACAAGATGCGATTCTTGTTTTATTTATTTATTTATTTTTATGTGAACACTTTGAACGTGTGAACCTGCTGTCTAATGGCAAAACTACCCTCACCCTGCGCCCTGAGCTTTCTGAAGTTTGCGGTGCTGAGCTAAGCTGATGGTGGAGTGACCGCATCTGTTTACGGCTTTACGGTGCTCTGCTGAGGTGTCACTCCTTATCCCTATACAGCTGCATGTGGTCTTCCCCCAAGGATGCCCCAGGATGTAACTGGACCACAGTGGCTCTGCTTCCGGCTTTAGTGACTGGTACACAGCAGCACCATGGACTTAATTTGCTGTTTCAGCCACTGACGTGTTCCTGGGGCTGTGCTTGGTTTGGCCCTGTCTTCTGAATCGTCATTTCTGTGTTTGATCTCAGCACATAAACTTTTCTGCATGAAGTTTTACTTGGCATTTCAGAACTAAGCCAGTAGCTACAACTGTGGTTATCCAATTTGGAAGGTCTGGGCCTTCTGGCTTGTCTCAGGAGAGTGTGCAAAGGAGGCAAGACAGACCTTCTGTGGAATAGCCCATGTATATCTGGCAATGATGTGCCTGTAGTTTGTTGACAAATCATTTATACCTTCTAATTTGTATGATTTGACTCAATTCTAAGAATCTTTCTCTTCCAAGGGAAAAAAGTGAACCTAATTTTGTTTTACCTGTAATGAAGGAGAAAAATCACCTGTTTTTTTTTTTCTTTAGCATCAACAGAGTGGCACTTTGGGAAATTCTGTGGTCCGCTGTGACAAACTTGACCAGTCTGAGATTAAGAGCCTGCTGATGTGTTTCCTCTACATCTTAAAGAGCATGTCTGATGGTAGGTCAAAAGGAAGATTCCTGTTTTGCTTTCCTTGTTTCAGTATTTGGTTTATTTTTTTTAATTGTAATTGATTGAAAGAATTTAAGGATTTTCTCTGTTGTTTGAAATACATGTTAATTTATTAAATGTAGTAGAACTAAGTCTTAATTTGGGAATTTATGTTTATTATTGTATTCTAGAAAATGGGTTCTAAAATGTGAATGGGTCTTTTTAAAAAAATTTATATTAAAACTCAGACCTGCCATCTTCAATAAAGGAGACAGAGCAGATAAATGAAGTAGTTTTTTTTTCTTTTAATTTCATTTGTCCAAAAAAACTTACTGGCAATTTGCATAACTTTACTAGTCCATGTCTTGAATTCGAGTTTGTAGTGTTGGTGACCCAAGCATCTCTTTATTTAGACTGTGTGTGACGTTCCTGTCTTTAACTGGACGTGAGGTGTGTTTAGTTTTCTAATGGAAATAGTGGTATCGTGGTTGACTAAGTTTCTGGTTAAGGATTTGACAACCACATTTTTTAACAGAAATGACCACAACCATGAATGCTTTGTCAGTACCATGCAGAGCTTGTAAACATCCACGACGGGACAGTTCCCACACTGATCATATGATAGAACCAGTCACGTGAAACTGCTGTAGGACAGTGTCACAGTCCTTATCTTGGTCAGAGCTCTTCTTACTTTCCCTCTAACAAATTAAAACGTGTTCTATGAGCTTCACTAAGGTAACTGAGTGAAGATTAACTTTTTTGGAAATAAAGTGCCGTTTTCTGAGACCTGAAGACCCCTTGTCTGGTGGCAGCAGTGTGGGCATTGAACACTCAGGGGAGGTGTTTCTGCCGCAGAAGGTGTTTCTTTTGTACCAGACTTCCATTTCAGCAGCATTGAGGGTTGGACCTTATGACTTGGGTTAGGAGGAGCATGCCTGTCCTTAAAATGCTTCAGGACTGGGGCATTTTATTCTTTTGTCAATTTGTTACTTTAAAATAACTGTTTTCTTTGGGGGGGGGGGAAACAGACAGGATTTTTTGAGAATGATGACCACATACAAGGGGACCAGGGCTCTTATTCTTATGTTTGAGTTATAAAGTTGAAATTTTTCCCACTAAGTCAAAAGTTACACATTTTAATCATGGTAGTGAGTTTTAGCCAGTATTATAATCCTGTTTTTCCTTTGTTGAGAGTTTTCCTTAAAGTATTTTAAGTTTCAACTATTAAATATGATATGTAACTAGAATGTTACTGCTTTAAACAAAAGCTAATATACCAGAAATTTTTCATCCAAGTGAAAGTTATCCTTTAAAGTCAGTCCTTTAGAAGGCCAGGCATGTATTTTAAAAATGCAACAACCTCTTCAAAGCAATTTTAAAATATCTTTTTTTCAACTAGTGTAAGGTTATAATTTTTTTCCTTTATAGTTAGAATTTTTGTGTGTGTCCCATTTAAGAAATCTTAACCTACCTCCAGGGTCGTGAACATACTCTCCTGTATTTTCTTTAAAAAGCTGTCTTATTTAAATTTTCACATTAAATCTTATTATCTATCAAGCATTGATTTTTGTGTATTGTATGGAGTAGGGGAGAAATTGCCTTTAGTAGTTTACCAGACAGCCAGACTCAGTCGTGTAACTCAGTAGCTACATTTTCCTTTATCCCACCTTTAATGAGCACCTCCTACACTCGGGGTCCCTCACTCTCTGCACCTTCCTATGCCTTCTCCCTCCTTTGTAGAAGTTACCTGTCTTCCCCATCTCCTCAGCCAAAAGCCAGAGCACAGAGCGAGGGAAGGCCGTGTTGGTGCCGCCCAGCTTGCCAGCAGATTCTGTCTGATGTATGCTGGTATGGCCACAGATGTTTACAGATGGACCCCAGGCAGCCCTCCAGCATTCACTTGGCTCCCTGGGTTCCCACCACACCAGGATGACCAGCCTCAAGTAACCAGTGTCTGTCCCTCTGGATTCTAAACTCGAAGTCCCTGAGAGTTGGAAGCTCTCCAACCCACCCTATGGTCTAAGAGCCAAATGTGGCTTTCAAAATCAGGTGCACTTGATTTAACCCCCATTCCACCAGCATCCTCTAGGATGGTATTCGAAAGAGTTTCTTAGCTTCTCTGAGCCTTTATTATTCATTAGTTCATCTGTAAATGGGAACTCTGCCCAGATCACAGTAAGGATTCGATGGCAGGATATATGTGAGATCACGAGACCTAGCGCAGTGCCTGGTGTAGCAGACACTTGGTGTGTATCCCGCAGCTTCTCTTGCCTGCCACATTCCTGACACGTGTAGAACAGAAGCCGTGGCCTTGCATCTTCATCAGCCGCTAGCATCTTTGAGCCACCCTCTGTCTTCTCTCAGGCCCCAGAGACTCAGTGTCTTTGAGAGAGATCTCTTCACCCATTTCTCAACTTAAGTGTAAACTAGGAATGCAGAAATGTTTTTGTCAAATAACCCTCTTTGTGCAGTGCTAAGTGGTTAAGGGTCATGCACAGAATGCTTCCTGTCAGTAAATTTGTAGGATTTGCCTTAACTGAAAATATGCCCAGTGGCTCTTGATGAAGAGGGATGGTTCTAACTAATCACCAGTACATTGTACCATCGTGTTGGGAAATTGAAGTTCTCATACACTGCTTGTCTGGAAGGCTATTTGGCAGTGTCTGTCCAACTTTAAATGCACATACCATCAACATGGCTGTCTCACTTCTAAGAATGTGTCCTATAGATGTAGTTAGTTGGACGAGTGTGCAGAGACCCACTGAGAAGGATGTTCATGATTCATAACAGCAAAGGATTTGGGGGAAAGCAAGTAAATGTCTAGCAGTAGGGGAGCTGGTTATCTCAATTATAGTGCATCCAGGGAGAGGAATATTATGCAGCTTCGAAAAGGCTGAGATAGATCCAAGCAATTATATTAGTGAATTAAAACTCAAAGGGCAAACAGTGTGTGTGGGATGTGTGCTTCCATTTCAGTGTGTGTGTGTGTTTGTGTGTTAGGAGGGTGATACTTGTGTACATGTAAGAATTGTCTGCAGGCTCTCTGTTGGGGAGGGACACTGTAATGGGTAAAGAGAGGGCCTGACTTGAGACTACTTGCCCACTTGTATTCTTTGAATTTTCCAGTCCATTTAAGAGCACATTATGTATCCATTAAGTAGGTACCGTGTAGGGATAGATGGTGTATGATGAAATTAAAGTGTTCAAATGTAGCATCTTTAAATTAACTAAGCCTGTTGTCCGCGTTCTCCAGTATAGACTGGGCACTGTGGTCTGTCCTTTGATCAGCTATGAGAGGCGGCAGGGAGGGTTTGGAGGCCTACACTCTGGTCTCTTCCCATCTTATAATGTGCAAAATATGCACCATTGTTCTAACCAGATATATGTTTACTTTCTAGACGCTTTGTTTACATATTGGAACAAGGCTTCAACATCTGAACTTATGGACTTTTTTACAATATCTGAGTGAGTAGTTTTGTCTTTGCTCATTGACCCTTGATTTTTCCTACCTAATTAAGAAGTGTGACGATACTATGTAGTTGAGCCACAAACACAGGATACCCACATCCACACTTACTCTTTAAGCTCTCTCTCCTGAACCTGACCCCATCACCTGCTCTCAGAAACTCATGACCCAGTGGGCAGTGACCAGCATTAAATTATTAGATATGTGATTGTTATACATGAGGGTTTACTACTTATGTGTACAAGCCATTTTAATAAAATAACGAAATTTATTAATGGAATTGGGTGGATGCTGCATTTCTAAGTTGAATCTAACTTAAATCAAGCAGATGCAGAGACTGAGAAAAGTTGCCATAATTTAAAAATACATAATGAGTAAAAGTGAAATCTAAAATATGGCCTATATTATTTTATCTCTATAAAGTTTCCGTTTCCCTTTAAACTTTTTACTTTTAGAAACACAAATCCACAATCCCTTATCCAAAACTGATGAGGCCAGGTGATTTTCCAAATGCAAAATATTTTTGATTTTTGAAAATGTTACATAGTGTATTTCACAATTCCCCCAGTTGGTCTCAGGCAGCACCCCACAATAAAGCACATTATTGTTTCTGCAGTAAGAAATAACTTCTGTGGTCCTATGATTGTTCACAGTAATTGGTTAAATCGTGACCAAGTAGCTTTATGTCTATTATTTGGGATCATGATTTGCTGCCAAATGTGTTTGCATGAGTTTGGGTGGGAACCCATGGTGTTCCTAGCTTTGTACATTATGAAATTGCAGTCTTGATTCCTAGTCTCAGGGCCACTTCCTCTGATGAGTTGCAGTTGGGGATTGTCACATGTGAGAAAAAATTCAGCACTAGAAGTACTGACTAGACATTATTTTAACTGCCTCTTCTTAAATATATACTTTGAAAAATATGAATGTCATGGGTGTAGTAAGATAAAACAAAAAAGCACACACTTGCTGTCTGTGAGAGACCAGTCCATGTACTTGAATCAAAAGAGAAGCTCCTTAGTGCAGAGGGTATAGCTCTAGTGGTAGGGTGCGTGCTTAGCATGCACAAGGTCCTGGGTTCAGTCCCCCGTACCTCCTCTAAAAATAAATAAGTAAACCTAATTACCTCCCCCTGCCCCCCAAAAAGCTCCTTACATAGGTGGACTGAGGACAATTACGCAGCTCAGAACAACACACGTGGTTTCTACTGCGACTTCTGAGGCAAACGTACAGTAAACGTCCAAACCCTCAGTCGTCAGACAGTCATGTCCATCCTGGGTCTCTCTTCTGTGTCGCTCAGACCACCCATCAGGGTACAGAGAGCAGCACAATATGGAGCCTCCTTTGCATTTGATCATTTTCTCCAGTTTTAGAGGGACCTTCCAGAGAATTTCTGAAAACCAGAAGGGGCTAGTGGTATATGTAAGAGCGTATTGAATGTGTCACTGTAAATGGGTTTAAATAAAGCAATGTGTCAAAAATAATTTTATCTTCACGCTTCCCTAATATTCTTTCTTCCTGTCCGCAGGGTCTGCTTGCACCAGTTCCAGTACATGGGGAAGCGCTACATAGCCAGGTACCGTGGGGGGTTTCACTTAAAGTGTTGTGTCCTTCTCTGTGTTACTTGGATCTGAAAATGGGGAAATTGTCATCTCTGGTGATTGGCAGTTCAAATTCTCATAAGCAGCCACAAAGACAGTTGGCAGGTCTTTGGATGGCTGCCATGAAATCTGGTAGCATCTTCCACCCACGTTCCTGCGTTCCTTCTGTCTCGTTATGTCTCAGGCATGTCTCTGGGAAAGATCTTCCTCTGTGGCCTGTTGCTGCACTTCTGCACTTCCTTCCAAATTCTCCCTCGTCATCTGTTCCTTCTGTCTCCTCTTTCTCTTCTCCCAGTTCCTCTGGATGCATCTTCTCACTCTTTTTTTCCCTTCCTCTGATTTCTCTTCCCCTGTTTCCCTTTCAAAGGTCCTTTTTTACCCTTCCACCTCCCAGCGACAAAGATACTCATTCTCATCCAACCACTTTCCCTCATTCTTAATGAAAAAATGAGGGACTTCCACAAAAACCATCTCTAGAAGTGAGCTTCTCTTTTCTGAATAAGCTGTCTGAGCCCTATGTTGTTACCTGACCAGAACTCTTTGTAGTATCATGAACACTCACTGCCCCGTCCCAGCCCAGACTCTCAGTTCGGCTCTAAGTTTGAGGTGAGCTGGACACTCATCACTGATGGGCAGCCAAGCATCCTCCTCTTCAGGTGCCCCTCAGAGCACGTTTTGTCCTTACCCAGTCCTCACTCCTGCCCTGTCGCCATGCACTGTGTCTGTGTTTGTCTTTTGTGTTGTGTATTCCGTGGTAACGTATTCACAGGGTCTTGGTCTAAGTATCCTAATTTTCTGTTGTTACTCTTTTTAAAGTTTAATTATAAGTAAACATATTTATGTTTTAAGAAAAATTTTAACATTAATTATCATTGAGATTTTCCTCTCATCTATAATTCTATTTTACAGCAGTGAAATAGGGAAGAGATTTTTAATAGACTAGACTTTGCTTTTGTATATTGACATTGTTCTTTTCTTGGAATATTTGAGAAATTTTCAGAATTATGTTCTGTGTTAAAGAAAAGTATATTTTTTTTTCCTAAAGAGAGCAAATTCAGAGAATGTTTTGCGCTTTCCTCCTATTAATGTGTTCTATTTTTAGTTGAAATGTGGTGGCACTTAACGTTCTCTAATCTTAACTCTTCTTTTGGTCATAACAGTAATTTTTGCATTTGAGTTTTTGAAGTACCAAATGCAAGTATATACAAGGTGCCCCTATACAGTAACCTCCTTATGCAATAACTTTATTCCTTTGGACTTTGTCCTATAAAGATGGGCAAACAGCATATTTGTAACAGAATGACAGTGTGCTGGGGGAGCTTCACACCCTCTTGCAGTAACTGTCACCTGTGTTACAAGGTAGCATTTGGAAAACATTGTGCAAATAGGAGAAAATGCGTCAGAGCTGAACGTGGTGAATGTGGGAAGCTGAAGATTTCTACCCCAACAAACTATTTTGGAATTGGGTTTTGTGAAATAGTTAATTTATTTTTTCAGTGGCTATAAATTTAATTTTTTTAAAGAAAAATCTTCCAACTTCCTAAGCACCCTGTATATATTTGTGTATAAAAGTATGCTTCCTTGGACTGTCTTAAAAACGAGTGGGCATAGGAGGGTGGGGGTAGGGGATGGCGTGACTTTGTAACATGCACAATGGAAAGATGTGCCCTGTTCTGTCGAAAATTGCCATGGTCTCTGCCGCATGTGAAGCAGACCTTGGGCGGTGATTTAGATGTTGTCAGTGCTGGCCCTCCGTGGCGGTCCAGTTCTGTGAATACTGTGTCTTCTCATTGTGTCACTTTGGAATCACCCAGCAGCATGCTGCCCGATGATATTCCATGCATGCCCTGTCCTACTCCACACAATAACACAGTGAGGGAGACGGCTGGCTACGGGACGGGGGCAGGTGTCATTCCAGCACTGGTCTCATTTGTCATCTGCTCTGGTGATGGTACACAGTAGGAAGTTAGCTGTTTGATTGCTAACCCAGATCACTTTTCTGTTTCCTCACTTGACTGCTGACAAGTCTAACAAAGGGTGTGGCTCTTCTCCTTCTTGCCTGGGTAAGAATCAAGGTGTCAAACCGCCTCATGACATCCCTCCTGTTGCATGTTTGTTCTCTGTTTCTTCCAGCACAGTATTTAATTTAAAAAAAATTGGCTCTTTAATAACATATATAATCTGAAAAGATCCGTGGTGTTTTGGCAGTTATCTGAATGCTAACTTTTAACGCCACTTTGGACTGATGCTCAGTTTTTTGAAAAGCAGCATCTCTAAAGGACTTTCCAAAACTGAAAAAGTCTCTGCTTTGGCCTGGTTTTTTGCTCCTTCGTCTTCAGGTGCTTTGCCGTGAATTGTGTAAGCGCTGCTGCCTGTGTGTGTGTCTCTGGCTCACGTGGCCCCAAACAGGCTCCACTGCGCTTGGTCTGCACGTGGCCAGTGTCCTTTGTGCTGTATCCTGGCTTCACTAATGCTCCCTGTCTCGCTGCAGTGTAACAAGTCTAACTTTTGCTTCTATCCCATTTCACTCATGTTGCAGGAACCAGGAGGGGTTGGGACCCATAGTTCATGATCGAAAATCTCAGACATTGCCTGTTTCCCGTAACAGAACAGGAATGATGCATGCCAGATTGCAGCAGCTGGGCAGCCTGGATAACTCTCTCACTTTTAACCACAGTAAGTCCCATGACACACCATCGTAACAGCCAGCCATCTCATGTGACAGCTCAGAGGGGAGAGCCCTAGGCCACAGCACACCACATCACCAACTCGACTTTTCTTCCAGCTTAGAGCAGTAGGATGAAGAGCTCGTGGCGCAGTTCCCTTCCTTGGAGGAGAATGACATAATGTGGCACGTGGTCAACTACGGCACCAGACCTGAAAGCCTGGCCCCTTTGCCCCAGCCCCTCTCCTGGGTGTTTTTAAAACAAAATCTGGCCTGTGTAATAGCCAAACATTCTCTGACTTTTTAAAGTTAATATTTGGATTCACTGCCAGTAGCTGACTTATGGTCGGTTTCCCCCTGAAGCCCCAGAGAACGTCTGGGGCAGGTTTCTCCCGCCCTTCCAATCCCATGCGTGTAATTGATCAAGCGTGCACATTCTGACATTCCAGCCCTGAATGTATGTGAATACTTAAACTGCTCTGAAAATGTAAAGCCCGCGAATCATTGTGTGAGGGTGTGGAAAAGCCAATAACAAAGTGACTTTTTCTGTGTTTTCAGTGTGAGAAAGATATCAAGTGTGCTTGGAATTTCTGTAGACAATGGTAAGATTTAATCAGGTTGAAGTCTGCTTACGAGGCCGCTTCACTTGCAAACCGAGACCTCTTTGTTCATCTCGCCTTCCTAACTTTGGGGCTTCCTAACTTCACCATAGAGACTCTGCCAACATGTGGGAGCATATCTTTGATTTACTTTTATCAATTGCCAGAGGGGACATAGCATCATGTGCTGTTTCTAGAAATCTGAGTGTTTAATCTTCTTAAGGGTTTCTCAAAGCAGAAAACCTAAAAAGTGTCAACCATGCAATGCTTTAAAAACTAATGTGATCATTTCTATCAGTGGTGTGTTCTCTGAATTGTCTCATCTTCTCTCCAAGCATGATATAGCTAGTTATTGTTAAGTTTTAGACAATTGTTTCTACTATCCCAAGTAATGTCTTTAATACATGGTTATTAATACCTTCTCATCATTTCTAATCTTAAGAATTCATTCCATTCACTGTGATTTCCATACCTATTTCTTAATATAGGCTAGGAGTAAAGACAATATTCCCAGCTCCTTAAATTGATAATAGTTCAAAGTAAGAAGGCTGAGGAATCAAAATACAACAGCTCCTTACCTGCCCACCCCAACAAAGTTAAATGTAATGGATATAGTCTCTATAAAATTCCAGGCTTACTTTAAATCAGTAAGTTGTCAGTCTTCCATGCACCAAATTGGTAGCCTTCAAATGCTAGTTCTGGGTTCTATGTTTAGCTGTAGAATGTACATTAGGGACACATCTAAGGCTACAATACTTGATTTTTCCACATCTTGTCCATTAGGGCTTTTTTAGCTCTGTAGACAATGGGTTGAAACAAACAAAGCAAGGAGTTTCATTATTTTTAGTTTTCATTTCCTATTTAGCAAAGAGAAATGAAACCTCCACTATTCTGCAGGACCTGCTACACTGCCTTTGCCCAGATAATTTATAACACAGCGCCTGCCTCACCATCAGTTGAAATAAGTGCTTAAAATTTAAAACACTTTAAAAGAAAAATCATAAGCAGACCAAGGCCCCGCCTCCAAAGATAATCATTTAGGAAACATAGAAAACAAAAATAAAATGAATAATCAACACATGAATAAATAACCTTCATCCAGTAAGATATGCAGCAGCTCCTCCCACTGCAAATGCTTGAACTATAGGAGAGAGACAGCTGGCTGTGTTACGCTGCCAAAAACCATACTGTGAACACAGCTGATTTCCATTCTCTCTTGCTGCTACCCGCAGAGAACCCCATCCTGCCCGCCCCCCTCCTCATCCACCCTGAATTTTTTTCTTTAGTCAGTTTTCAGTGACACCACCCTCAAAGTTTCTCCTTCCGCCTTCCCAGTCAACAGTTTATAGCTGATTATTTTAGCCTCCTTCTTCGTGCCTCCAATTCCTGCTCATCCCAGACAGTTCCTGATGTCTCCGAGTCCTGCACCTTAGAACTCAGTCTTCGCTTACATCTCTAATTCTGATTCTGTATTTGGGTGGCTTCAGCCTCTGCCTCCATTAGCTTTTTGAGCTCCAAATGGTCACCTTGGCTGAAAGCCACAGAGAAGGGAGTGTTTACTGTATGTATACATGTGTATGTGCGTGCACATGTATATGTATATATACAGACATGGGTCTTTACATCGGTACCTAGGTAATTTATGGGAAATTTGTAAAACCCCCCCAAAATAACTCCTGTTTAACAATTAATACAGTACCTTCTGTTGGGCCAACCAATGTGACATAGATCCAATATGTGAGAGACTTCCTGGAATGCCAGGGTCTAAAACGAATTTATTTTAGAAAGAATGAAAATAGGAAGAATCCCTTATACAACTTGAATTTTTCATTTCCTATTTCTCCGAGTAGGAAAGGCTTTGTGAGACCTCAGTTGACCAGCAGGGAGCAGCAGAGAACTACGAGGAATTTAAGCCAATGCAGACAAAGCTGCAGGGTCCCCCGTCACCTGTTAAGAGTAGGATGGGGAAAAGTCACCATAGACACCACACGTGTACCTCTAGCAGGGACTTACCCTTACTCTTGGATTTTTATAGGAAATAATGAAAATGACCAATTTCACTGGGGCCAGTGGTCTTAACTATTTTAAAAACACTCAAAGGATAGAAGTTGTTGGGTTCATTGCCCAGGTTTATAAAAAGTCAATGTTTACAACATTAAGGCATTGACCTATTTACTGCAGCGTGTACTCATTGTGTGTTTATAGAAAAGACTTGTGCCAAATGGCAAATTGAGAGTGAGAGGTGCTGGTAGAATATTTTATACAAACCAGATGAGGAGAAAACTAAATGAAACATGTTTGCAAATAGGTGACACATTTGCAAAAAGTATAAAATAACACTTTGTATTTACTTTAATGCTATGTATTGTTCTAGGAATGTATTAAATTCACTTGCATGATAATCCATATTTCCCATTGGTGTGATGGGAGAAAAGCCAAGAGTCAAGAGGTAGAAACCCTCGAAGAAAACCTGTATTTCATATAAGTCATTATAGAGATGGTTTAAGATCACTGGATTAAGTTACAGGTGAATATGGGAAAGCATCTTCTACCTGGGCTACCCATGAGCTAGCGTGGGTACCAGCAGCTGGAGATGTGAAAATAGAGACTAGGGGATATTGTCCAGGTTACTTAAGCATCATATGAGGAGCTGGGCAAGATGGCTTGTTAAGACCCCATCTAACTCTGAAGTTCTTTGATATTTATGAATCATAAGTAAGAAAATGAATATAGGTGATAATTAAATTCCTTTACTCTACATAATGTTGAATCAATGTGAAAAATGCAGGGAAGACATATATTCTCTGAAGTAAAATGAATATTTTTTCAAAAGTTTTCAAGCATGGAGAATGTATTTTTTAAAGTAAGTAAAAGAGAATTACATGCTTTAAATGTCTATACTCAAGATAGTAAATAAAATGTTTGTTTCTAAAGCCATTGTTTCCTTGATTTTGAGACATGTTTCCTTGGCTTACAGATACATTTTTGCACATTTGCGAGCATTTCTGAAAGCAAGATATATTTTACAGTTTTATCAGATCCTTAACAAGTATATCTGGCACATTACATCTAATATGGTAGTCTGTCATTGACTGGTGCTTCTTGCAATTGATAGGGTCTCAAAATTTAGAAAATCTGGCACAAGGCCCAGTTAAAAAGTCAGTCATTCTTTATTCTTTTCAATATCTTTAAAGAGAACATTAAACTAAAATGTATGGTATGCTTAAACCAAGTGTTTTCACAGATTGGAGATCTATATCCTATAGTAGGTATCATTTTCAGACACAGCTAAACATTAGTTGAGGTATTCTACAGAGAATAGAAAGCAGATAGCATGGCCATTTCCTCGAGTGTAGACTCTGAGATCATAGACTAGTTCCACAAATCATTTTGAGCATGTTTGTTTTCTCAGTGTGTGAATCAGCGGACAGACAACAAATTATGTGAGTTTTGTCTTGGAATGTTATTCCTTATTCTCTTCTCCACTCCTTGCCCACCTGTGAGGAAAACCTTTTTTGCAATAAAAATGAGATGGAGATCAATAATAGATTGTGTAGTGGTTGATCTGGTTGATATTTTGCATAAATATATGCAATTAGTAAAAGCTATAGACCATGAGTTAATATATATTGGAGGCTAGGTTTACTACATTTGGCAAGAAGATTCCTTGCCATTCAATATTTATTTTTTTGTAAAATGTATGATTTTTCTGGATTCATATTATGGGCCAGAGTAAAAAATTAAAAACAAGAATTCTGATTCCATGACAGGTGAAGGCAGCTTTCGAGATGAAAGTGTGCCTCCTGTGAGAACATCTGAGATGTTCTTCTAGCCCTAAATGTCCTCTGACATTTAGAAAAGGCGAGTGGCTGTGGATTGGGCTTCTGTCCTTCCCAGTGAGGGAGGGATGGTTTACAGTTATAGTCAGCGTCTCTAAACCAAGCTGTTCAGGAAACAGGAATTTATAAAATGGAGTAAGTTTAGTTAAGGCTAAACATAGCAGGTGACATTAGAGGGAGAAAAAAAAGTCTCACCCGTGGCCTTTGAGTGTTTAAAAGATTGGGGGATTTTAGAATAAATCACTTGTCAGAGTGACAACAGAATGAAAGTTGTATCCATGTGAGCAGTGAACCCTGAGGACTCTAAAGCAAGCCATGACATGCCTGCTAGAGACTGCACATCAGGGAAGCCCTTCCCCACCCGGACCAGCCTCAGTGAAGCCCATTAGTGCCTGTGCCCCGCCCCAAGGCACCACTGCCCACTAGAGGAAGTCAGTAGGGTTAACAGCACTCCTTGCTGGCCTGTATCAGAATCTGCTTATTCACCTTAAAAAGTTGCTGATCGATGCTTAGAGAACTTACTTACTGTGTCTCTAAAGACCCCCTTCTTGGGATTGCCAGCTCAGTTTCATTTTCCTGTGTTGGCTTGTTACAAGGTGACCACTGATTAGAGTTCCAGGCCTTGAGACAGACAGGCCTGACCCCCTGGTGGGTGTCCCCAGGCAAATTGTCCATGCAGTCTCTGTCCCTCGAAAAGCAACTTATAACGAATTGTGGCTAAAAGGACTATTTCTTTTACTCCTATATGATTCAGACACAGGCAGACAGATTTCTAAATTAATCTCTTATTCTAAAAGAAATTAGATAGTGTAATGGCTTGTGGGTAGGTGGTGTAGTAGCTTAGAGAAATTTTGTCATTCGTTAGCATGGCCCATTGATTGTATATGTTTTAAAAATAGCACATTGAAAAATTTCAGTTCTTGAATTGTTCCAGAATTTCAGCCAAGTGTAAGTAAATTCTGAGGAAGTCCTTCATTGTATAGGCCATCACATCTGTAGTGATCACACCTGCAGACACTTATCCAGTGGGTTGTCTAGAAAGAAAAGGATAGTTCTGTGCAGAAAAAAAAACAATTAATATCATCACCAAAGCAAGTGCTTTGTTCTAGTTTAACCCAGACTATCAAATTTCATTTGAGGTAAATGGCAGCTCTCAATATAGGGTCCTTTTGACCTGTGTGATAATTTTGGTTGGTCTGATAAAAGGTGTTGTATTTTGAGGGGTGGGTTTTTTTTTTTTTTTGTCCTTTCTTGCCCTGGTCTGTGATTACTGTAACAATAAGCATCCATCTGTTTGTTTCCTTGTTTCGAGGACTCTGTATATCACCAAACTGCCAAATGAGGAAATGCCTTTGTTCAAATGCCTTGCCAAATGAACAAAAACGGTTCAGTGAATATTAGTACCAAAAAAAACCTATCTTTCTTTTTGCTAAATTCCTTACCCCCAAAAAAGCAGAAATAAAGAGAAAACATAACTAGCATTGTGCTAGATGTGTTTGTTACATAGCCTCAGTAAGGACACAGTTACTCTGCCGAAGTGTGAAAATAATGCAGGCCACTCAAAACCCCTGTTTCAAAAGCAAAACAAAGTTGGATGAAAGCGCCTAATAGTGTTTTGTTTTGTTTTGTTTTGTTTTGTTTTGTTTTGTTTTGTTTTGTTTTGTTTTTGATCATACTTTAAAGAGCAATTCGGCCTTTTTTTAAAAAGCTTTTTGTAGCCTTTCAAAAACCATTCTCTAACTCTGACATTTACTAAAGTCAGAATAACATCATACTAGTTACTTTATTTTATCTTAACAATAGGGATTATGGTACAGTGACCTGGATAAGGAATTTGGAGTGTAGTTTCTATTTTTTCCCCCATTACTGGCCTCAAGAAAATTCTCTAGGTTTTCTGTACTTCATTTTCCTGATCTTTGTACGAAATGTCCTTCTCTCTGGAGTATTAAGAAAATTACCTACACAGTAAGTGTGGATTTGTTTTTGCTCCATGGAGAAAGACATTACATGATGTTTTATTATACTGCCGTCTTTCTTTGTAATCTAGATCAATACTGTAACATCTTTGCATCTCTATATATATTTCTGCTAATGCATACCATTTCATAATTTAATATCTCAAATTGTATGTCAAACTGTATTTTGTCAGTACTAAATTGATTTTATAGCCACATACAGAAGGTATCAAGTTTGTATTTAAATTATGATTCTTCAAGTTCTTTCCTTTTCTTGAACATTTCTTTCAGACATAGTGGCTTTTATGCTTTTTGTTAAAGCAAGTAGAATACCATTCACAGTGCAGTCAACTCTTGGTTATCACTTCTGATTCTTACTGATAATACAGATCTTAAGTTATCAGCTTAAGACTTCTGCAGCATTCACTCTGTGCCAGGCACTATTCTAAGGGCTTCACAATGACGAATAAATTTAATACTCACACAACCCTTTGAGGTAGAAACTGTTGTTATCCCCATTCTACAGGTGAGAAAACTGAGGTATACAAAGGTCGAGGAACTTGCCCAGGGTCACACAGCCAGTAAGGGGCGGAGCTGGATTCAGTGACCAGCAGCCTGACCCTCGGCTCATTTTCTTTCCCTGGGCTGTGCTGCCGCCCTTCAGTGTGGAGGCTCCAGAGCTCTGTCTCCTTCACCACTTCCCCATCCTAGCAGCTCAGTCGGGTGGCTCCTTTGATGGGCTCTGGCCCCAGGTGCCTGTCCTGCTCCCCCATTTACTAACTGTGTGACCTAAGACAAGCTGTCCAGCCTTTCTGTGCCTCCATCTCCTCATCTGCAGAAAGGGTTTAAATAACAAATGTACTTCATCAGGCTGTCGAGTATTTAAATGAAATGATACACATGAAGCTCATAGAATCATGGCTGGTGCATTGCAGACGCACAATGGAAGAGAAGTACTCTGACTTCTCTTCCAGAGTCGTAAAGGAGTTGTCATTGAATGGAAACATTATTACTGAACCCTTCCCGCCACCCCCCTCAAAAAAGACAAAAACGGGCAGATAAGGCCCTGAAGGAAGCCTTCTGGAAATAATCAAAAGTTGACTGTGACTCTGCTGTCCTGCCAGCCTGCCTTCTGCAGCTGCTAGCAGTGACCTTGTGCTATGATTTCCTGCAGGCTATGGCCACTCGGACGCAGACGTGCTCCACCAGTCGTTACTTGAAGCCAATATTGCCACTGAGGTGTGCCTCACAGCTCTGGACACCCTCTCTCTATTCACCCTGGCGTTTAAGGTTTGTATCAAGCAGCTGTTCGTGATCAGAGCCTGACTGTTTAAATTCAATATGCTTATTGCTTATTTAACCGAACGAACAAGAACTTCCTATGTTGTACTTTTACTGCAGCTACTGTTTTTGCCCCTGTAAGGAAACCATTAATCCTTAAATTCCCTTAATGAAACCATTCCACAGTTAATGGCTTGAATTCCCTGAAATAGGGTACAGCTTAACTGGCCAGGGCGTGTGGCCTGCTTGCAAATGCTGGACACGGTCTCTGGAGGCGGTTAACACTTGGCCAGAGGGAAGCATTTGTGGGGAATGTGGCTTTGCTGTGCCCTCCATGGTGATAAATATGGGGACCTAATTGGGCATTTCTGCCTCTACTATCTTTAAACATATCCAAAAATGGTAGCGGTTAAAATTAGATGCTTATAGGTAGAGGAAGCAATACATAAAAACACATTCGCCTTTAATTTTTTTTTTTGATCTGTTACTAAATTAAATGATAGGAGCATTTCAGGAATCAAGAGTAAAAAGCGATTTTGGCCTTATTTTTAGGTTTTAGTAATATTCAAGTCAGTTGAAATGGTCTCTTCAGCCACTCTCGTCATTAGGAACCCCACCCTTCTCATCCTTTGTCAATGACTACTTCCATTTCCAGTTAATATCCAATGAATACTGAAACAGTGTGTTTATTTGCAAGGGTATTTAGGAAACACCCTAAATCGTTCTGTGCTTTCCTCATCTTCTCTTCTCATGAAGGATGTTTCTTTATTAGACAGACTTAAAGTGGTGACCCATTTCCTGTTGCTTTATTATAATTTGCCTTCATTCTTAGCAACCATGCCACTCATGTCCCCAGGAAATGTCATAAGTAGGAACCCAGTTGAGAGATGAGGAAATGCATGTGCTAATAGGATGAGTCAGAGGGCAGCAGTGTCCTGTTACAGGGAGCCTTGCTCTTAGTGGCCCTCAGTTACGGTCCCCAGGCTGGAGGATGCTGCAGGCCCTGGAGCTTGTTAGAAATGCAGGTTCTTAGGCTCTGGCCAACTGAGTCGACTCTGGAAGTGAGACGTGAACAGTAGGGCCTGAGAACCATCGCTCTGCTAGAACCATATTTCAAACTTCTGTCTGTTTTCTTTTGGAGATTTTTAGTTCAAAATTCTTATGTAAATAGGCAGTTTAATGTGAGTATTTGCCCTTACACCTGTAGCAGTGCTCACTGTTCAACTGTAAGTTCAGAACAGTAGTTGGGACACTGTCGCCTGCTGTCTGCCTGGGCCTGGCATGTAAACGAGCAAGAAGCCCTGGGGCTGCACAGAGGTATGGGCCTGGCACAGCGGCAGGTGAGGGCCCGGGCAGCACAGGTGTGATCCGGCGGCACCAGGAGAGCAGTGACAGTTTCCTTACTGCACAGCCTGAGGGTCTTACTCGGGCTCTGGTAAATTGCTTCGTATTAAAAGAGTGTTGGTCAAGGTTCCCAGATCTCCAGTGTCTGGCCACCAAATAGGTTCTGATGCAAGAGTGGATGAGCATCTGTCGGTCTCTGAAGACTGATTGTAACATTTGTGGGATAAATATCTTTGGGAAAATCATTTCATGTTTCCAGACCTAAGATTTCTCATTTGTAAGATGAGATTTCTCATCTATAAGATTGAAAAAATAGGACCTGCCTCCTGTGGTTGCTGTAAGTTTAAAGTGAGATGACCCTGGGAAGGGCCAAACGCTCTACTATACAGGCCAGGCTCCAGGACACATGGAAACAGCCAAGTGTACAGAAACACCGTGGGCTTCAGCTCCTGGCTCCACCCTTAGCCAGATGTTAAGCCCTGGGCAGGTCTACTTGTCCTCTGTAAGCCCTGATTTCCTTACTTAGAACAGCAATTATGCCTACTATATAATGGATTGTTACTGAAGTGTCCAAAAACATCTACCCTGTGTCTGGCTGACATAGGAGCTCAGATGTTGATTCTAGTTTAGCAGTAAGCACTTTCCCCTGTGTTCACGCCTTTCTGGTCCTATGGTAAGGCGTCTGATTCCTGACACCCACAGGGAAGACTGAGTTTCAGAGCTGAGGTGATCTCTGAAGTGTCAAGGTCTGTATGCCTGTGTGCAAAAATCTTTGATGTTTAAAGCTCAGCATCCCTACCGCTTCCCCATTTAAAGTGGGAAGATGGGCAGATGTTATGCCAAGCTGTAGGCTTCCCTAGCCTGGATTCACAGGTCCAAGGGGCCCACTGCATAGCAGCCACGAGGATCTCGCTTTGCAAATATTTACTCAGCTGAGGCATCAATTGTAGCATATCAGAAAAATTAAATTATTACATGGGATTAGCTGACATAACTGTTTGCAGAAAAATCATCTTCCACGAATGTAGCCCCATCGTTACTGAGTCTCTTAATTGACCGCATCTAATACATTGCCAAAGGCCATCAAGAAATCACATTCTTAATGAGAGGAAATGTTTGAAAAGATTTAAGCCCTGATTCTGGTTTATTATTATATTAGCTTCCTGCTGTTTAATGAGTGCCTTCTGTGCCTCAAGCATCAGTCTTCACAGCCTGGCCCATAGGTCTTCTTACCCCCAGTTTACAGATGAGGAGATTGAGGCTGAAACAGGCTAGGAGATTTGCCCAAGATCACTGCATACCTGGCCTATCAAATCCCTTGTTCTCCACTAAGTCGGGTATGTGTGTGTGTGTATGTGTGTGTAGGGGGAGGGGCTGAGCTGGGTGAATACCAAGGTAGTTGAATGATCTCTCATACAGAAAAAAAGAAGAAAATTATCACACACTTACCAGATGCTGGTGCTGAGGGGGGGGCACTTTCACATAGGTTATTTCATACATCAAAGGCATGTTCTGTAAACCAAGGTAGTTACATGCAGAAAAATACAATTGTTTGGCTATTTTAAATGTCTGTTAGTACAGTCCCAACCGGCTGGTGACCTTTAAATGGTTGGTAATATTTTTAATGAGCTCAAAATTTTAATCCAAAAGTGTATTTTATGTAATTCATGTAGAGCCATTTCTTGATTTGAACTGTACAATGAGGACCAGTCCATGGGGATAAAGAGCAACATGAACCACAGGACGCAGAGCCCTCGGATCATGGGGGCCTTGCTAGGGAGTCTGTGGTCCAGTTTACACAGCCATGAGCCTGGTCTGCAGACACACATGACGTCTGGGTGGTCTTGGTGGTGGTGAGCCTCTGCAGCTAAAACAGCTCTTCTCTAAAACTCAATTTTTAAAGTTATTTTATAATCAATGTCTAAATATAAATAAATGCCATATGCCTAAGAAGGATGTAGTTGTCGTAAATAACATGGTTCCAGATACCTCATTTTGGCACCTGAGTTTAAGTTTGTTTTTCTCCTGTTCCTGTCTCTTTGGAAATGACTGATTCCGTGTGTTGACTCTCTGAAAGGCCTGCTTCCCTTCGGAAGCTGTGTGACGACAGTCAAACTTGAATCCACATCAGACAGTTCCTGAGAATTACTTATAACCTATTCTCCACCTTATGGCTAGAAATAAGTCATGCCTTTTGTGTTATTCTAACATCTCATTTAGTTTCCTGAATGATATTCTCCCAACCTCAGTAAAAGTTTACAGGGGTATAAAAGTGGAGAGAGATAACTCTGCTGTTACCTGTGGTTATGTATGACTGGAAAAGTGAAGGTGGTTTTTCATTTGCTTTCCGTCCCGCTCTGGGACTTCCTAAATGTTCAGATATTTAATGTTTAGTGTATATTACTTTCTAATGAGAAAGAGAGAGGCGCACAGAGAGAGAGAAGAAAATTGACTGGAAAGTAAGGGAGGCAGCTGGTAAACTGGGATGTGTCCAAAATGAAAGGTCCTTTCCCCCTTTAAATGAGGGGTTGCATCTTTGTGTGCATTTTTACTCCATTCTTCATCAAATTTTGTGGTCAGAACCCTAGAAGACTAAATCTTGAAAATGGGAAGCAAAAACCTTAACCAAAAAGAGTGAAAGGAAGGAAGATTAAATGCCAGTGGTAAGAACTTGGAGAAGGGCCAGTTCAGGTGCAAGGCAATTTTTAGCTAAACCGTCTCTCCTGGGTGTCTACAGCAAAGAGTCCTGAGAAGATGGAAGCACATATTCAGATTCCCCCAAACCTTAATCCAGCCATAATTGGGAAGGACTGTGGCTCCTGGGAAAAGCAGTGCTCACAGACAGCAAACCATGTAAGCAGTTCCCCAAACACTGGAAACAGCCTCTTTTATTTTTCCAGTTGGTGAACAGCTGCTCATGGTTGAAAATTATACCCTATTCAGTTAATTAAGTCATATTTTCTGCTCATTAAGTTGCTTTTCTTTCACATAATGGAATTCACTACTGTACCTCAGTATTTCATGATCTAAAGATCACTGTGAATGCCAGGTGTCCGACCAGCTGTGAATACACCTGTGAATCACTGGTCCTAAAAAACAAGACTTATTCCTTGAGTAAAAAATTTTTCTCTAACAATAAGATGAGGTAAATCTTGAAACTATTACTTCAGCCATAATTTGCTATGCAACAGAACTATTTGGACATAAGTTCTCTTTGTTCATTTAGCTAACTTTTAAGACTGATTTGAGGTACTGGCCTCTGGACATTTTTTTATGGGAGTCATTTTTGCCTGCCTGTGCAGAATGCATCCATTCTCCCAAACACACACTTTTGTTCCCACGAGCCTGTTTTTAAAGATGCAGGCCTTTGGTCAACCACGTTAGACACAGTGGCTACGTGCTGGCCTCTAGCTGGGGACACCTCTACCCACCACGCGTGTTCAGCATCTCTGGGAGTTTTAACCAGCCAGGTTTACTCGATGTTTAAGCAGTGCGAATTTGCTGCTGGTGTGAGGAAATCTTGAAGAACAAGGAGAAGTAATGAATGGTGGCCTTCTCGTCTTGTTTTGTCAAGTGAAATCCATGACGTGTTAAAGTCCTGCTGGCCACCACTTAACTGAGCTAGATCAGTGTAGGCGTCTCAGCTCCCTCTCCTTGACCTCAAGTCTTCCAGTTGCTGTGCAAGCTCGGTTTTAGGCTCGCTGTTACACAGATGAGGATGACGAGACCCAGTTGACCTGTGCAAATAACGTGCCCATGAGAAAGGGTGCCTGAGCAGAGCCTGTGCGAAAGTTTTCCCCCTCACCAGACTGTCTGGCTATTCATGGCTGAACACAGTGCCCAAGAAGCCTGGGAAAAAGACACAGTCCTCATTTGTAGAGGACCTGTTTCATACACCTCACTTCAGTATTCTTCCCAGCCCATTAATTAGCTGGAGACTAATGTAATGGCACTCCTTTGTCACAATTAAGATGTCATAAATATTACCTCTGTATCAGTTGCTGGCAATAGTAAAAATGAATAAATAGAAGGCCAGTCAGTACTGAGAAACAGTGGTCCTTTAAACCATACTACAGTTTACTGGGAAGTTTTGTAAGTAGTCCCTCCCTTAATATGAAGAAGTAAATTCTCCAAAGCATAAATTTATTGATAAGCTTATTTGTACTACAAGAGACTTCTCCGCTTTCCTGGAGAGTTCATGACAAAGTTGTTTAAATTACGTGCCGTCTTAGTACCTGGAAAATTTAACCTGTGAGGCTGAGAGTTGGATGAAACCTATTAGCGGTGTCTGGTGTGTCTCACTGAATGAGTTGTCTTGTGTGTTTTAAGAACCAGCTCCTGGCTGACCACGGACATAATCCCCTCATGAAAAAAGTTTTTGACGTCTACCTGTGTTTTCTTCAAAAACATCAGTCTGAAACGGCTTTAAAAAACGTCTTCACTGCCTTAAGGTCATTAATTTACAAGGTACGTTGTTTCACTAGGGGAGGGGTGACCACCATTGATGGCCACGCATTTTCCTTTGAAGACACGCTGACCCTCCTGGGGCTCCTTTGCTCTCCCGTGTTCCTTCTAGTTCCCCTCGACGTTCTACGAGGGGCGGGCGGACATGTGTGCCTCGCTGTGCTATGAGGTTCTCAAGTGCTGTAACTCCAAGCTGAGCTCCATCCGGACCGAGGCCTCCCAGCTGCTGTACTTCCTCATGAGGAACAACTTTGACTACACGGGGAAGAAGTCCTTCGTCCGGACACATTTGCAGGTACGTGCGCATCACCTTTCCAGCACAGGTGTGCTCTGTGGAATCCTGTTTGAGTGGGAAAGCTTTGAGTTACCTCAGCATAAGTATGACACGGTCTGGCCTCGAGATGGAGAACTCAGAAGTAACGTTTACTGGTTTACTGGTTTATTTCTTCCTCCACATTGTAAGATCTGGGCCCAGAATGTGTTTCTATCGGTAAATTGACGTTTAAATACTGAATCAATAGTGGACTGCCTGAAATTCCATTGAATTCCATATAGACCCTATGTGCGGATGCCTCACAGTGAGCATCTTAGGTAAGACCAAAAACACCCAAAGTGGTTCTGTTCTGTCCTCCATCTGCTGACACACCTGCCATCTCTCCAGAGTGAAAGTGTCCCAGATTCTCTGCGAACCATGCCAGATACTGAAAATTCTTACGTATTGTTGTACAAACACATAGAGGAGTGCCTTCTCCATCTCTGTACTTACGCCTTTTTTAAAACAAATATTTGTTTTTTGCAAACTATGTGCAAGGATTCATGGATACAACCATGAACAAACAAGGACCCTCTTCCGGCCCTCATGGAGTGTCATCTGCTGGAGGACAGATAGACCTTGTTCCACATGCCCAGGGCCAGAACAGAGGAGCTTCAGTGTACCAGGGAGGGGACCAGGGGGCTTCCCAGAGAATATGAAGGATGAACAGGGGTTGGAGAGTGAGCATGGTCCAGGCCAGGATGTACCGTGGGGAAGGGCCCATCCAGGGAAGTGGAGAAGGTTTTTCTAGTGGAGTTGAGAGTATGGGTGAGAACAAGTTGAGGAGGCATCGTTGCATATTTGGAGAGATTGCCTGGATTCCAGTGCTGAAAATAGATCAGAAATTCAAGACCTTCGAGACCACGGAGACCTTGGGGAGACTGTGGTCAGATCTAGACCAGAGAGAATCATGTCCTGGGTCAGGTATGGTGAGGTTAGAAGGAAGAGGAGGTTGAGTTGACAATACTTAGTGATTGACTGTACCTGGGTGTGGTGAAGGAAGAGGCCAGGGGGGTGGTCCAGAGTTTAGCTTGAGTAACTGGGTAAAGACATTGGTATTTATAGACCCCCAAAAAGACAGGTTCCCCTATGCATAGTTAATATGCATATGTTTTAATAAAAAATGCAAAGGATAGTCTGCTTATTGAATGTTAAATACATATAGTTTCATGCCAGAAACCACAGAGATAAATAATAAGGTCTCCCTTTTTACTAGAGAAAGTGGTAGGTAAGTAACCTTCCAAGTGATTCAGGCTTATCTGATTCTCATTCCTCTACACTCTCCTGATTAGCACTTTGCTGTGCAAACAAAAGACTCAAGAATAGCAGAGTCACCTTCTGGAATAATTCTTGGAAGTGGGGAAAAGATGGCTCAGACGTTTCCCACACTGGCGTGATCCCTGCTCACAGACTCCCTGCCACCCCATCCTCATGCACATCCTAACCCAAGGCAGGAGTCAAGCTGGAGCATTCCCCAAAGGTGAATTGACTTGCTCACGTTTGTGTCCCTAGGTCATCATTTCCGTCAGCCAGCTGATAGCAGACGTCGTCGGCATCGGGGGAACCAGATTCCAGCAGTCCTTGTCTATCATCAACAACTGCGCCAACAGTGACAGGCTCATCAAGGTGGGTGGCCCAGTCCCGTTCTGTTTGTTACCCCTGAGACTCTGCCTTGTCATTTGCTACAACTGCAGACAGACAGGGCGCAGCTGAAAGCCCCGGTTCCTCTTCCACCCTCGTTGCAGCACACCACCTTCTCCTCGGACGTGAAGGACTTGACCAAGAGGATCCGCACGGTGCTGATGGCCACGGCCCAGATGAAGGAGCACGAGAACGACCCCGAGATGCTGGTGGACCTCCAGTACAGCCTGGCCAAGTCCTACGCCAGCACTCCCGAGCTCCGGAAGACGTGGCTGGACAGCATGGCCAGGATCCACGTCAAAAACGGCGATCTCTCCGAGGTAGCCCTGCAGCCCTCTCCATCCCAGTTTTTGAGAAAGCTAGTTATGCCCCCTTCACTGAAAGAAGCCAGTTTTGAGAAAAATTGCTCAGTAATCCAGAGCAGATGATTGAAAATACGTAGTATTTAAACAGCATTGGGCTCCGGTCTGCTTCATTGTCGTCTAAGCATTTTCACAGCTTACAGCATTGTCAGGGGCTATCTCTGTCCCAAACACGCATTGTTGGAAAGCTGTTAGAAAACGGCCATGCTCAGCTAGGTGCGTGCTGATTCAGGTGCGCTCAGCTTCTGCATCAAAACCCCTCTCTAGAGCTAAAATGCAGCTATGTTATGATCAAATTAGATTTTCCTACTATTAAAGTCATGACAGGGTGTGGCTTTTTCCTCTTTGAGACAGTCTGTTTCCGTCTGGGCGTGTGATAGAGGAAAGTAGCCATGTCCAGGCGGAGCTGGGGGTGTGGGCTCTGGAGACAGACTGAATCCCGGATCTGATGTTCCTTGACTCTGGGACAGCGAGCCACAGAAGGTCTCAGTGACGCATCTATAAAACAAGAAGTTAAGGGAACCAATGGGCAGTACGGCAGGTTCTTTTCTTGCTCCCAGGATGGGCTGATGGCCACGGGGTCCATGTCTGGGGTCCATGCCCAAGACATGGAGGTGTGATCAACTGTGTTACCAAGGAAGCGTGCTTTTACCTTTAAACCTCTCAAATTGCCTACATCAGTACAATTATGTTCCACATCTGAAAAATTTATGTAACTGTTTTTACCTATTGATTATGCAAAGTGCATTCCATTTGACCATAAGTTTAATCTAAAATATACATTAGACATAATAAAGATGAATTACATACTATTAGTGGTAGTAATTTTTCTATCATTCTGACAAAAACAGGGATCAGATATTGGAACCTTACATTGGGTTCATTTCCAACAGCTACCTTTGATGTTTTATAAACCATGGCAACTTGGTGAAAAGAGCTTATTTTTATTTTTTGTTTCATTTTAAGGTGTCTATAATGTTTAACACCAAATTGTAATTTTCAGTGAGAATTCTTTTTTTGAAAAAGTTACAACTTCATCTTTTTTTTTCAGTTCGAGAGAAAAACATATTAGCCCCTGCAATGTGAGCATTTCTCTCAGAATCTAGGAATGCATGTGCCTTTTCTTCAAATGCTCCTCTTTTCCCTTTGAGAAAAATAATGCTGAAATTTTAGCTATAGTAAGAAAAAATGCTTTTGAAAAATCTTTTACAGTAAAATTTAATAATTTTAAATAGAAACAAGTCTTAGCAAATTTACTGCTATTCACCTCAATTTGCAATTTCAGAATTTCAGTTTATGTGAATTGTTCCACTTTTTTCAAAAGGCAAAATGTCAGTCATTAGAAACACTAGTCGATCCCTTGAGATCTCATCTAAGTCTGTGTAGTCTTTGGATTTCTGTCTGTGAGCATTGTGACATGCTTTATAAATGGTGATTCTGAAGCCTGTGTCTTTCATTGTAGGCAGCAATGTGCTATGTCCATGTCACAGCCCTGGTGGCAGAATATCTCACACGGAAAGGTAAGGAATATTCCTTTGTTTTATGAAATAAATATAAAATTGTACAAAGCAGCAAAGATGAGTGAGAGCCATTCGGAAGGATTTGGAGGTGAGGGATGTGTGTGTGCACACACTATATTCATTGTTTTGTTTGCTAACATGATATTTGCTTGACTCAGTAGGAACTGCTGAAATGCAAAACAGAAGTAGATGGCATGTTGTCATGTAAGCTCTTACTAATAACCCATCCTGCAAAAACTAGTTAATGAGCTTTGCATCTGGGAGCCTCTGACTGGCCAATCGCAAGCTGAAAAGACTTAATTTTCCCTTAAGATCGTTCCCACTTGAAGTGTTTATCAATCAAAAGGCAGCTGTAACAGGAGGTCATCAGACAATATTTTCTGGAGCACAGCCCAGTTGGCTTTGTTGTGTAAGCAGGCAGCCTGCTGCCCGGAAACCTTGCGTTCCCGTGGAAGGAGCGGGCAGGAGTGAGCATTTATTCCCACATTAGCAGGCCATGAGTCCTCTGCCGGTTCCTCTGATTAAATACCAGTTAACACTTCAGAATCGAGAACATGGTGTTTTAGAAAAGCTGATTTTGTGTGCATGTGTGTGGAGCCGGGCAGCACCAGCTCTAGTAACAAGGAGGACCTTCACAACGTGAGGAAACATAAAGTCACAGATGGCAAGGCCAGGGAATTTCTATCTTCCTGGCACAGCTGGCTTTTTGGAATGGAATTTAAGGGAGTTAGGCTTGTCATACATCAGAGAAAGAAATCAAGGAAGGGCTCCACATTCTCTCTCCCAGCATGAGACCTTTTGTCAGGTAGAACATCTCGTGTTTAGAAGCAGATGTGTCCCTCCAGCCGGAGCCACCCCACCTCCCCTACAGGCACTGCACCAGTCACAGGAGGTGCTGGGCAGCCTAAGCCGAGGGGGGTCCCAGAGCTCCAGCAGCCCTGTCCGTGCAACGCTCAGAGGTGTAGGGGTTTCCTCTCTCACCCGCTTGGATGGACGTGGCCCTCCCTCTTTTCCTCCCTTCTCTGGTTTGGTGCAGCCTGTCCCTGTGGGCAAGGAGAAGACAGCACTTGAGCCACCACCGTAGCTGTTCCACCAGAGCTGAGCTGTGTATTGCAATGTACTCCGTAGCCAGAAACATGCGTAGCTGGCTTTTATCATCTTGCTTTTTGTTCACACACGTATCCTCAAGCGCCCACTGCTTTTCACAGCGGAATCTGTCTGTAAAAAAAGACCAAGGCTGAAGTAGGACAGTAGCAGAGATGTGACCCAATTCATGAATGGTGTGGAAGCCTTCTCTGTGTGCAGCGGGAACATCTCGGAATCTATGACGTACTCTTTCAAGACTTGATTTCAAAACACCCTGTGTTCCTTTTCCCCCCGCAACATGGGAGGTCTCAATTCAAGTTTTGACTTCTGTTTTGTTTCGCTTTGATGTAAACAGCAACCACAGTAGAGTAGGAAGACTTTTCAGATCCTTCTTCACTTGATCGTTTTTACTCAGCTGACATTGTCTAACTGACATAAAACTCTTCCCGGTGACTCCTGGATGAGTCAAGGTTCCCAGTGGGCCACTGTTGCTTAAGGGGTTTGTCCTTATGCCAGGTATTTATGCCAGGTATTTATGCCAGTTCCAACCCCCACCACTTCCCCAGAGGATCAGAGTGCCTCCACCCTGAGGTGTGCACGCTGCGCTTCAGCTGTGGGAGGAGAGGCCTCTCTTTGCCCCTCAGGCAGCCCGTCAGCTCACGGCTGCTGAGTTCCATCTTGGTGGACAGCTTCCCACAGGAGAAGGGCAAGGTCTAAGCCGATAACCCCAGCCAGAGTGGGTGGGATGACAGCTGGAAGGAAACAGTCGTGTTTGAGTCTGTCTCCCTCTTTGATTGGCTTTGGCTTCTTTATTTTTCTTGGTGTCTGAGCGTGGGTCATCCTACCAAATCAGACTGTTGTTATTTGCTGTTCATCTGATTCAGTACCTATTTTAGTTTATTTGAAGATTGCATACATTTTAATAAAGGTGGGTGAAAAATCAAAAGGGTTGAGACAGAGAAACAAATTGAGGAAGGTGAAGGGTAAATATGAGGAAGCGAATGAAGAAAAGAGCCCAGTGGCCCCCAAGCTCCCTGTGGGAATGCTGGCCTGGAACACAGGAGATTTCAGAATCAGGGATCCCATTTACTCCGAGAGCACACAGCGCAGGAAGCACCCTCAGGGGTCATCCACTTTCAGGTTAGTAACTCCAGCTCTCTCCCCTGCTCTCTCAATTCTAGGCATGTTCAGACAAGGATGCTCAGCCTTCAGGGTGATCACCCCGAACATCGATGAAGAGGCCTCCATGATGGAGGACGTCGGTATGCAGGATGTCCACTTCAATGAGGTGAGTGCTGCCCAGAGGCCCGCGGGTCTCGAGTGCTGCTGTCCGCCCACCAGTGCACTGAGCGAGGGCTTTCTCTCTGCGGCCGCTGTGGACACACTCCGCTCTGAGATAACGAATTCTCCGGAAGGCTGAAACAAAACAGTGAAAGCTTCTGCCATTCCCTTTTCTAGGAACTCCTCCTTTTCTCTGGAGAGAAAGTTGGAGGAGTTAATTAATAGTGAGTGAGGCTTAGAGCTTGACCACTGGTGGTCAAAGGTCTGGTATTTTGACCATAGTTTCTCATTCTTTCCGGCAATTAATTTCTCCAGTTCATGAGTTTTATTGCTGTTTTAATCTGTCTTTACAGTCGGTGTCTCCAACACGAGACACCTCTCCAGAGTCCCCAAACAGCCAAATCCTTGAGAGGCCAGACTGGGCTGGGGGCAGAGCAGCCCCTGTGCAGGGCCTGGTTCCTGCCTCCACTTGAGTGCCGTCGCCCGGGGTCTGCTCACCATAAGCAGATAAGACCACACTATCCTACCCCCAAGAGAGACCAGAAAGTCTGACTTTAGATCATTGCAGCAGTTTCTGCAAGTTTCTTGCCAAAACTGAATCACCTTGCGACCACTTAACTGTAACTGGGGAGTTTTGAAATCAAGCTAGGAATTTGAACAAATGCCAGTTTTCTGCATGGGTTCCTGGAATTTCCTCTTCACGAATATCTCTTTGTCATGTGTTCCTGCCTCCCCTCAACTCAGAGCAACATGGAACAGTCAAAGGAAAGCTTTTTAATCCTGCCCATCTTTTAAGGAAAAATAAAGTTCTCTGTTTCTTCATGTGCAGAGAAAGAACAGAGAAAGGAACCACTATCTTCCGCCTGCCACGCTTGTTTTTATGATGTCAAGTTCCTGCAGTTCCTATTACGACTGTAGTCACGTTCATGCCAGTAAGCAGTGCCCGGGAACAAACATACTTGGTGATGTTGACGAGGAATCAGCAGTTCTCAAAGTTCTGGGACTCCTGGGGTCCCTGAGACCCTTACAGGGAGTCTTTGAGGTCCTCACTTTTGAAATTCAGTATCTATGTGAGGCTGCATTTTCTTTGTATACATCATCCGAAGGGGCATCGTGAGGAGATTGAATGTGGAAGCAGAGACAGGAATACAGGCGTCTCCTACAAAGTCAGACATAGAGTTGCAAAAATGCCACTCTTCTCCTTAATTTTTTAATGCTATTTTTTCATTAAAAATGTTATTTTTGGTAATACATAATATGTTTATTATGGTTAGTTTAATTAAATTAATAAATAAATCTTCTTACATTTTTTCAGTTTCCATTGCTAATACTGTAAATATTGAGAGATAACACACATATGCAGAAAAGTTCTCAGCTATTTTTAAAGGATTCTCAATTTTTATGATATATAGAGATCTTCAGCCCCAAAGGTTTAAGAACCACTGTCCAAAAACTGTCTAGTCTCAAACAACCCTCTAAATTAAAAACCAGGCATGAGAAAGGAGGATAATATATTGAGTGATTTTTATACTTATATATTAAAATAATTTTAACAAAAATAAGTATCCTAAAGGAAAGGAGAAAAAAAACAGTTGGTTATCACATGATATTAACAGTTCAGCTGTCTCTCCACCTTGAAATGCCTGGACCAGTGGTGATTCTATCTTTTATTCTGAAACATGAGCCTGTTCCTCAGGCAGAAGGGCTCACATGCTCGTAGATTTGAACTCCTCACTTCAAAGAGAGTTTTGACAGGGTTGTTCCCTGAGAAGAGGCTTGAACACATTGTCCCCTTGGAGAAACCACCCTTGTCCCCTCACTGCCCGTTCAGTCCCCCAGAGTACAGCACTTTGTTTAGACAAGGAAAGCAGTGATGGCAAGGATGACTCAGGATTTGGAAGTAAACAGTGCTTGTACCCTGTCCTCATGGCTGATAACGTGAAATTCAGGTTTCCTCATCAGATTGAGTAATAGGCTGGAATCGTCTGGACAGTCCAGGGAACGAGCCCTTGTCAGCAAGGGCGGACTTGATTAGGGAAATGTGTGAATGGCACCCACTCTGAGTGGTAACTGAACATGTGACAGGGATGACTTTATCAGTTATTTTCAGAGTATGGATTTTCCACCCTGTCCTTGAAACATAAAGTGGGTAAATCTTTAACAAGGTCCGGAGTACATGGCGATATGTAATGATTAGAATGTGACACGGGGTTGTAAAGTCTCAAGTAAGCCCTGCACATAAAAATGGAAACTAGCCAAAAATAATGTGTTCCAGAAGCCACGAAAATAGGAATTGCCATGTACAGTTTTTGCTTTAGCTCTCAAGATGTTTCAAGAAAAAGAGAAAGTCACATATTTCTGCCAGAGGACTTTTGGGGAAAGCTGACAGGAATAGGTGTAGAACAAGAGCTTAAAAAGAAAAAAACAAAGCACTGCCCTTTTAATCTGCATTACTAGATGTGTTTAAATGCCTGAGATGCTCTCCCCACGTGATTCTAAAGGCGCTACCTAAAAAGGCACAGTTCTTCCGGCTGGAGGCCGCAGATGAGTTTTTGTTGGTAGCAGTCCATCTCCCCTGACGGATCTGAGAGCGGACTCTCTCCGAGCTGCTTTTGATTAAAGAGAAACATTCCATTCCTGTTTGCATTTTGTTTCACGAATTGGAGCCGATGCAGATGGAAGGACTCTAAGTTCTCTATAGTGTCAAAATTCCATGCAGCTTGTGTGTTTTTGAGATTCCCCCCTCATTATCCCATACAGTCAGAAGGAAATAGCGCACTTGGGAAATTGAAGAAAGTCTAAGATAGGGGCTACTTTGAGAAGTTTGGTCAGGGTTTAGGAAAACCAGTGAGGAATACTGCAGAACCCTTGAGGTTGGTAACAGCTGGGTTGCCACCCCTCAGCCTGTGGGCTGAGGGAGGAGAGAGAGAGAAACTATACAGAGTGCCCACCTGCCTGGGCCTGTGGGCTTTGGACAGGGGGCCTCAATTCGGGCACCTGGGCAGGGAGGAGGCAGTGAGCAGCCCCCCACCTTCACTCTCCTCCCGCCCGCCAGCCTCCTGCTTAGCCTCCACAGCTGAGCCTAGCATGCAGATCGGTGGTCCTGGTGCCTCGGCCCCCACAGCACAGAGCGAGGGAGGATGGGGCAAGAGGGACTCTAGCGGGGAAATGGAAAACACAGTCCATCCTCAGTATTTGCCCAGTTGCTAAAATGTCTCTGTAACCCCTAAGTCAGTACCCACTGAGGCACTTTTCATGTCCTTTGGGGACAGGATAGAGTGGCAAAAAATTGGAACCCAGACATTCCCAGCTAAGGCTGAACAGCAACACTCTGCTGTCTTGTTTCAGCTCCTGCTGTGAACAGGGGTCCTTCTCTGGCCCCCAAGTATGGTGCTGAGGTGCTGAGCACAGGAAGGTGGTGATGTGCCTCACAGAGGACATACTTACTAGATAAGGTTCATTCAGGCAGGAGTTACAGTGCTCTGGGTCATGAATGCAATGTTAATGAATCAACAATATGTACTTAATCAGGTGTCCTTAAACACAGACACACATAAAGCAAGGTTATATACTCATCAGTTGTCAAAAATTTTGTTACCAGAGGTTTTCTGGAACCTAAGCCTGTATTTCCCCTTGGAGGGGTGGCTCAGTATTCACAAATTCAGTGTTTGCGTTGACCTGAGATCATAAAACAATGACGATCACTGTATGTGGCCCACTTACCTATTGTCTCCTAGAAAAACAACTGTCACGGTTCATACAGTGAATATGTGAAATTGACCAGACAAGTCTGACTTACATTAGCCAAGCTGTGTCTATTCAGAAACTGCTGCCAGTAACAAACCTAAAATGTTTATACCTACAGAACATGCTAAGAAAGAGTTTTCAACAGAACACATTCTAGGATTTGTCTGTTTACATCTTATCCAAGCTTGGTGATTGTCAGTAACCCCGTAGTCGTCAAGCATCCACTTTTCCTTGACCGAGCATGCTCTCAGGACCATAAAAGTTATGTAACATATCTTTCCTTTTATGTTTCTCCGAAACGATATTAGTAGGGAGCGTGGCCATGGAACTTATCTAATTGCTCTGTCCTTGGCTCAAACCAGACACGTGGCCCTGCTTCACGTTGCAGATATTTCCTAAGCTCCCCTGTGCTGGAGAGACAAGGGTGGTCCCTGCCCCAGCACATGACGCTGCTTTGATGCTTTCTTCCCATTGAGGAAAGATACCTAAACCACGGTCCCTTAGGATCTGAATTGGAAGTTGTCTGAGTTCTTTGTTGACTTGGAAATATTTATGTTTACATGCGTTGATTCATTCCATAAACTCGCTATGGGCCATGTGTCTGCTCAGGGATATGTGATTGAGGTGCCCACGTCAGAATTTCTGGGCCAGGGCAGTGGTCTGCAAGCTTGAGTGTGCTTAGAATTACTTAGGTTCCTGTTACAAATATGGATTTCCGTTCTCACTACCCCTCCCCGACCCATCCACATGTTCAGCCGTGTGGGTGTGGTGCCTGGGAATCTGTATGTTAACAAGCATCCCCAGTGATTATGCTGCTACAAAGGATCCTCGGCTGTATCTTGAGAAACAATATAGTGGAAATGTGAATTATGCCATGATGTGCATTGTTGCTTGAGCCCACTCACATCGTGACAGTTATTCCCAAATGATAGGTAACAGACAGCCTGCTTCTTGAGAAAGTTAGATTAAATCAAACCCATCCTAAGATGGAGCAAATGTCATTTAAATGTTAGAATACCCTGCACATACACAGGCTCATACAGGCATTCTTGTACACATCCATGCACACACATGTGTGCACATGTACACACATATATGCGCCCATGCACAGTATTAGTGAGCCATCTCCACACACATGTGCTTGGTGCCCTCTGTTGCATTTTGCGACGCTGTGGCACACTTAAAAATGACTGGCTGACAGCATTTTAAACAGCTTCCTGAATGGCTTATGAGCTTAGTGTACTGAGATCTTTTTAACACTAGTCTGACATCATAAAATTTGTACTACTTTCCAGATGCATAAAGTTCTTTGAGCTTTTTTTCCCCCTGACCAGTGATTACTTGTACATTTCTTCTCATGTATTGACAATTTAGAAACAATAACTTGGCATTTAGATTTTAAACAAGGTGGTGAAACTATCAGACTTTCTGTATGACTGCCTTTCAGGGTCACCACTATCTGACCATTGTCAGTATTAGTTCTGGTTTTCAGGTGATTGCTGAGAATTCGAAGTAAATTAATACATGAAATTTCTGTTGAGAATATTATTCATATATGCCCTGATGTTTAGTTACTATGAGGTCTTCATTTTTATGACTCTTTATAATTTTGTGTTGACATAAGTTCTCTCAGCCTTAACTATCTGTGATTGCTGGTTATTTCTATTCAGAGAATTATTACTTGATGCACCAGCTGTAAGCGTCTAGGTATAGAGTTGATATTAGCTTGAATAATTTACTTTACCAAATTAAGCTTTAATGCTCAGTAGTGCATACTCTAACTTTATGAGAGGAGGACTTAACTATTTAAAAATAAAAGCCATTTTTAGTTTGTGATTGGGTAAATTCTGTATATACTTTACGTTTTATAGCACTTTTACTGCCATTTTTTATAATAATAAGTGATATTCAGACTGATAAACTGCAGATCCAGAATGCCTCCGGAATCATAAGAGAAGGTGAAGTACTGCCCAGTAGCGTATGTAGGTTGATGATGTGTTACTTCCTATTTCTTATGTATCATCCAGTGTGATCGTTATTTCATAATTATTTACTAAGCTCTATTCACTTTATCAAACCTTCCTAATTGTCCAACCACTCTGGGGAGTTTCCCTGGTTGAAGTCCCTCTTTTTGTTCCAAATATGGCAGATTTTTCCCTAATGAACTCAGTTGTCCATAGTATTGAAATGCTACTTGAATTCAGGTTTCACTGTTATTAAACTTTCCATGTGTTTATAGTTTGATAAATGAGAGTAAAAACAGTATTCAAATCTTAATCTCCCAGTTAGGTTTGGTCCAGGAGATTACCCATAAAGTCTATTTGACATATATTTGTTAAGTGATGAAATCTAGGACATTTAATACATACATGAAAAGCTGCTATACACAGAGGCCTTATGAGGGTAGACAGGTCATTTTAAAATCAAGTAACATCTTCCTTGTGTAATACTCCCTTTTTGTGGTAGTTGATGTATGTCTGTGTCCATTTTCATGCCTCTATAAAATTATCTACATTCAATTGCTAATTTATTTTTGACATGGAAAACTGAATGTGGCTATGTACTATATGTATGTATGTATGTATTTTTTTTTTGCAGGGGGGAGGTAATTAGGTTTTTTATTTATTTTTTTCTTTCAGTGGAGGTACGAGGGACTGAACCCAGGACCTCGTGCATGCCAAGCATGTGCTCTACCACTGAGCTATACCCTCCCCTAATCTACGTATTTAATCTCTCCCCAGCCTCATCTCTTGCCCGTGTCTCACTCAGATTTTGTACTCCAACCCCTCAGACTACTTACAGATTTCTCACGCACCATGCTGCCATTACTCCTGTGTCTTTGCCCATGCTGTCCCCTTTCTCTGGAATGTCTTCCTTCCCTTCCTTCCTACTCCCGCCTTTCAGCTTCACCTCACTAACTCCTAACTATCTCGAGGACTCAGTTTTCACTTTCTGCAGTTTTCCGTGCCCTGCTGTATCTCTGCCACTGGATGGATGCTGCTCCTGTCAGCCTCCCTGGTCCCCTGGCATCTCTTTATCAGCATGCTCACCACTGTCTTTTATAATCTCTTCGTGGGTCTGGCCCACACTAGCCTCAGCTCTGTGAGAGCAGGAAGTGCTCTCCACTGGATTGTTGGCCTCTGCAGTGTTCACCCAGAGACACACTGACTATTAAGTCAGTAAATCCCTCCTGCTCTCAGTTCAGGGCATTTACCCTTGTGCCTTGTAGTTTGGCATGTATTTGAAGTCACTGTGGTTTTCTGTGTCCTCAGCATCTTAACATGTATGTCACATCTCCAGCTGGTGGTCATATGTCTCTAGGTACTTCAGCTCTAGCTGCTCCAAAGGATAATAACCTCTGTGTGTCTTTGAGGGCCTCCTGCTCAAAGCTACTTTCATGTATACCACATAACCTGATAAACTACCCCAAACCTCCGCTGCACATTTAGTAAAAATCTATAGAGCCATTTTTACAAATTACAGATAACTAACATTTATTTATATAGATTTATTTTATAAACCCAGTGTCAAACACAGTGCCATGCACATAGTAAATTCTTGGCAAAATGTGTGAGTGAATGAATGAATGAATGAAAGAATCAAGTTAAATGATGTGGTAGTAACTGTGCCTAATTAGAACTTTTCTAACTCTTTGAGAAGAATTTTCAGTTTTCTCTGAGATCACATTAAAGTTACTCTGGATTCCCACTGTGCTGTAACTGCTGTGGCATAGAATTAAGAATCTCTAGGTCTCTTTGATCCCATCCAAAATAAAGAGAGTGTCATCATTGTGTATCTATATCCACAGTGTGGACAATACTATACTTTGAATAAAGCCCGGTAGTGAGAACAGAAGGGGCCAAATGAGTAGTCTGTAAGGTAAGCCTAAGAGCAGCATTAAGATGGATAAATTTCCATGCCTTTGACTATTTCATTATCAAGAGAATGCCTTGGTTGTACAACATTCTCATCCCTGATAAGAAATTGGGTCTCCTCAGAATTCGTCCACCTCTGCTGTAGTTCCACAGCACCACTGAGAATTAAGAGGCTCAGTAAATATCCAATGGCAGTGTCTGTGATCTAAGATACACAAGAAATGCAAGGCTTTGATAAAGGGCTCTTAACTAATTTCCCTACAGTGAAGGATAACTATTAGTAATATTGTTCCAAAACTAAGAAAAATGCAGACTGATTCATTCATCCAAGAAATTCTTCACTACCAAATATATATGTGGCACGGTGGGGTATTACATAGCCCAGTAGAAATAAATTATCATTTAAAAAAATACAAAGTAAAAAGTGATGATTTAAGTAAAAGGTTTGTTTAACTGGCCTATGAATTACATACAACATTTAGTTTTCAGAGCATTTTGATGAGTAAAATTTTGTTTGATCCTCACAACTACAAAATTAGGTTACGTCTTATTACATTTCCCAGTTTTACAAATATGATAAAGTAAGTATATTGAGACTGACATTTCACAAGTTTTGTTTTTATGCTTTTCTTTTATGTAGCTTTTTATAATCAGAGGAGCATGAGAACATCATAAAAGTTTGTTATTAACCTGGATAGATTCTCCAGTGGAAAAGATTTGAGACAAAACTAAGAAAAGTGAGAGGGGCTTGCATCTTTGTAATACAAATACGTAAGGAAAAGATACGGTGTTAGAACAGTTACTGATTTTTTTCTTTGTCTATAGCTGTAATGATTGTTACTGTGTATATCTGGCTTTAGTCTTTGCACTTAATGAGACCTGCGAAAAAAGTATGAGACAACTGGTATACCTCTTTATAAGCATGGTCCAGATTTCAGTCACACAGATGATGGTTTTATGATTTGTGTGTTGTAAATATGACATAGCAATTAAATATCTTGCTTTAAAGTGGTTTGCTTAAGCCGGTTAGGTAGTATTTTCTGGTCAGTTGATTCACAACAGCTTTGAAAATGTTTATTTTCTTTGGTCCTATAAACTGTAGATATTAATGCTGTAATGGGACATTAGGCTGGTAATGAAAATACACAGGTCCTACCCTTCATTTACAGTATTAAAGAGGATAGAAACATGTTAAAAGGCAACTATAAAAGCCTTAAGTTACGCCTTCTGCGAGGAATGCCATGTCAGGTTCCCTGTAATACTCTGTCCGGGCCGGGGGCCTTCTTCTTTGATCAGGACGTGCTCATGGAACTCCTGGAACAGTGTGCAGACGGACTCTGGAAGGCCGAGCGCTACGAGCTGATCGCCGACATCTATAAGCTCATCATCCCCATCTACGAGAAGCGGAGGGATTTTGAGGTATCTTAGTGGTTTGTTTCTTCCTCTTTGAGGTGTCCGTGGAGTGACACACATCCCCAAACATCCTTACGTGCAGAGAGTGTAAGCGGGCCACTCAATGAGGAAGGGGTCTCTGACCCTCCACATAGCACTGGAGGTCACCACCCTCAGAGCCATCAGGTGTCTGCACACACAGGCCCCCCTCTACACAGACCCCAAATCTCAAACTACAAGGGTGGGGAATTCTGGCACTGCACTTTTGAAAGGTTGCCAGGAACTGAGTTGTATAATCACCACATGCCTCTTCCCTCAGAACTCTTCCTTATTCTGCCTGCCTGGAAAAGCAGTGTCCCTTCCATCCTTTCTGGCTTGGGGAGACTGTCCAGTTCCTCTTAGCATGTGCTACGGAATGGAGTGGGAAAAGCAAAGACGAAAAACGTCACCAGAGGACTTTACCACCTCTGGCATTTCATGTTAACTTGAAAACAGAATTTGCTTACTGCACGGTGAAAATCTGATGGGTCCTCCATATGCAGGATGGCCCCTTGGATAGGAAATGTTCCAGCTGAAAATGATCACTACCAGTTGTGTAGTCAAAATGCATTTTTTTTAACTCAAATCCAAGAAATTTTTACCTGTATGATCTCATTTCATTGTTATTTTAAAATTCATTCACCTCGTTACAAGTGGGGAGAAATGGGTTTTGTTGTGCTTTGCAGAGGCTGGCCCATCTGTACGACACACTGCACCGAGCCTACAGCAAAGTGACCGAGGTCATGCACACCGGCCGCCGGCTCCTGGGGACGTACTTCCGAGTGGCCTTCTTTGGACAGGTGAGCCTCCTCTGTGTTCTCTAGGCTGACCCAAGTCCTCCTTATTCTCATTTAAACTCTATAAAGTTGTATTTTGTAAATTTCCTGTTTCTATAAATGCTAATTTGATGAATTTGTCATATTTAGTGTGATGCTTATCTTCCTCAGTAGTAAACTTTTTGCTTTTTTTTTTTCTTTCTTCCTGTCTTTTCTTTATTACTTTCTTAAGGCAGCGGTAAGTTCTCCCTCTTAGCAGCATCTTTGGTGCATCTTTGGTACTTCAGTGTGGTTTGCAAGTTTCCTTTTCAAGTCTGTATGTATATCTGTCCAGTCATTACAAACTCCAAAAAAAATTAACATTTTATTCCATTTACAGAAATAAATCACCTGTTCCCTTACACATCTATACTGCATGTTTTAAACCAAAATTAAGACTTTCTGGTTTCCTTTGTCCTTGTGTATCTCTTTCTTTTATAATATAATATCTCTGCAAGTAGATTTACCTTTGTAATATTTCAGAAATCCAGTAGGAAAGGGTTCATTTAAATTTAACTGAAAGTTTAACCTCCAAGTCTCTAACATGATTAAATAGTGTAAATTATAATTCATTTACTTAGGGTATGTGGTTTTCTATGAGCATTATATAACCTTCAATTTATTCTGTTATTGTCTCTTACAACTTTATAGCAATACCAGTTTACAGACAGTGAAACAGATGTGGAGGTAATTACAGTAAATGCTTAAAAAGCAATAATGTAGTGAAATTACTGCATCTAAACTCCTAGTTTGATGTGGGTGTTTTTTGTTTCATGTTAGCCTGCATTTTTTTTTAATACAATGTGATTTTTGTTGTTGTTGTTGTTTTGTTTTTTGGCACCATTTTCTCTTTTATTTTCGGTGCGAAACAAACTTTAAAAAAAATGTATTTTAAATATTAACTCCAACCTGGGCTTTTTAATTTTCAACCTTTTTCACTTCCCATGCAATGCTAAGCCTTGCTGTATTCAGATGTAATTGGTATTGAAACAGATGACAACTGGTGATAATGAAAATTTTTTCTAGTATTATCCTACAACATTTTAAAATATTTTTCTCAAAAAAAAAGAAATAAAATATCTTTCTCATCAGTAAAGCAAAATAGAATTTATACCAACTTCACATAACTTTTGCCAAACCTACTCCAGACCAGATTGCTTCCATTTATGCCATAAAATCCATGTAAACAGGAGAGGTCAGGGAGGGATGTGTGTGTGTTTGAGGCCAACAGCAGGCTGCTGAGTCATGTGTTAGTGAGTTCTGCTCCTTGGGAATGTGAAACAGGCTTGAATCCCATCCTTAGACGTCACTGAGAGAACACAGTCTTGAATCTCCAATCTCTCCTTTCCCTCCACACTTAGTGACAGCATTCTTGAATGAGTTTGCAGTTTCGTGTCTTTCCTTTATCTTTGCACCCAGACTTCACATTATTATCATTTTCCTTCCTATTCAGAAAGCCTGATTTTATTTTATATTCATCCCCCCCCCCTTTTTTTTTAATCCTGGTAACAAAAGAACCCTTCCTGGGTGGTAAGCCTTGGGCTTATATTTGGGGATAGCTCTAAATGTGCTGTATGTCACAGGGATTCTTTGAAGATGAAGACGGAAAGGAGTATATTTACAAGGAACCCAAACTCACACCTCTGTCAGAAATTTCTCAGAGACTCCTTAAACTGTACTCAGATAAATTTGGTTCTGAAAACGTCAAAATGATACAGGATTCTGGCAAGGTATGACCATGCTTGGAAACATTTCATAGCAATATAATATTGTTTTGATTATGTATGATTGATGATCATATATTATATATTTATAAATGTGTATCAAAAAAAGGAGACCCGGAAAAAGTTCAGAATGGTTGGCCTTGAGTGGCAAATGTATTTTTTTCCCTTCTTAATACCTTTCTGTGCTTTCCAGAATGCTTTCATTAAGCAAACTTTTATTTCATAATTTTAAAAAGATATTCTTTTACAAAATAATTAAAGTCTGAAAGAATATGCTGTTTTTAGTCCAGCTATTTAGAAACTCTGTAAGAATAGGGTCCAAAGTTCTGTTTGCACTTGTGCCTGGCATATTACCTGACACTTTCTGACTGGTTGTTTGATGTATGGACAAATGAATAGACAGGCAGACAGAGCAAGGAATGACCTAACTGGTCAGCACGTTTGTAGAACGAACTACAAACGACTTCCTACGAACTACATCTACTTTCTGCTTAAAGTGGCTGTCCTCTGCTATACTGCTCTCTTGAAGATCTATTTCTGAACTACAGTTTCAGAAATAATCAGACAAATTCAGATGGGAAGTCATTCCAGAGGAAAACCAGCATATCTTCAAAAAATTCAATGTCATAAAAAAAATAGTGGGGAATTCTTCTAGATTAAACAAGACTAAAGAGACATAACAACTAAACGTAAAATGAAATCATTGATTAGATTCTGGTTCAAATGCAAATAGTTGTAAATAACATTCTGGGGACATTTGAGAAAGGTAATCTAAACTGGGTATATTGGGTGCTTTAGGAAATTAATGTTGATTTTGTTAGATATGATGATGAATTTTAGTTCTGGAGGAGAATGTCCTCATGTTTGGGAGGTGCTGGCTGAAGTGTCATGATGTGAATCACTTACTTTGAAATGCTTCAGCTAAAAAAAAGTCTACATGTCCGTGTGTGTATGTGTGTGTGTGTACAGACACAAACAAATACAGCAAAGTAGTGGTGACTGTTCTCAGTGGTAGGTATGTGAGTGTTCGTTGTACTTTCTTTTTCCAGTTTTCTTGAAATTTTCTAAAACTTTTACCAATATAAAGTGGAAAAACACAGTGTAGCTTTGGAGGAGGCTTTCAAATAGCACCCCTCTTCTGTTTCCTTTATTCATTTAAAGGTCAACCCCAAGGATCTGGATTCCAAGTATGCGTATATCCAGGTGACTCACGTGGTCCCATTCTTCGATGAAAAAGAATTGCAAGAGAGGAAAACGGAGTTTGAAAGGTCTCACAACATACGCCGCTTCATGTTTGAGATGCCCTTCACCCAGACCGGGAAAAGGCAGGGTGGGGTCGAGGAGCAATGCAAACGGCGCACCATCCTGACAGGTACGTCTCCCAGCCATCAGCTGCGACACCAGGGTAAAGAGCTCTCCAGAGAGTTCCAGAAGCTTCTAGAATTGGAAGGGCCCTTCCAGCTCAATTAACTTTCCCTGCATACCCATTTCAGTTTAACATGCATCTAATGCTTTTGAAGACTCATGACATTTTTCAATTTATCTGTTTGTGTTTTTGTCTGCCACAGTCCGGGAGGTCATATCACTTACCCTTTTTAGAATCTGATGAGAACAGTGTGTCCTTATCTCCTCCACACAGTTTCAGGCGACTTACAGACTCTTTCTGAAACCCATGTGGATCCCTCTCTAGGCCTGTGGCCCTCAGGTCAGGAACCCCTGCACACCATCCAGCATCTGCCTCATGGGAAGGGACCCTTTTACACATCTCTGTCGCATAGGCGCCAGCGTGAGTCTGCTCAAGGATTTTTGGTGGAGTGAATAAACGAGACACGAGGCTGGGTCCCTCCCACCTCGTCTCTGAGAGTTGCAGGCCAGCCTCAGCTTGAGCGCCTCTGGTCCCAGGAAGCTCAGTGCATTCAGAGGCTGCACATTCAGCTGTGGCAGAGTTTTAATTGATCCTTTGCCACTGTTTAGCCATTGATAACCCATCCCGGAACTCTGTTTGGCATCGTCTCCCAGTTCCTGACAAGTGTAGTCATCTTGGGAGTGATTTTTGTGGGGAGCTTGACCCCATCACTCTTAGGTTAGGGTCAGCTTTCTTGACATAAAGATCAGTGGTGAGGCTGTTAAGAATTCCCGGTGTGTCCATATCTACTATTTAGGCACATTTTTCAAAGAGCTGCCAGAGTTAAGTTGAACCAGGAAAGTGCCCATTGCTTGTCCAGGAGTCAGTGTTGTCATGTGTTCCGCCTGGGTGATAATGGGGAACATTATAATAATTAGTGAAAGGGGCTGTGAGGATGGAGCATTTCAGGTGAGGCTCCACTCTCACCATTGATTCTACACTTTTTTTTTATTTGCCCGTATGAAATTTATTGATAGACAGTATGCAGGGTGGTGCCAAGCTGTTTCTTGTCCACGCAGATATACACGTGCCTAACCAGAGGCTTTGTGGGTTGCCCTACCTTTGCCCATTTCTCAAATGTTGGCATTCTTCAGCTTGCATCACACTCTGCTCTCTTCCTGGGTAGCTTTAAATCTGTTCCTGGAGTTTCAACTGCCACTTCGTCAGAGCCTTCTGAGCTTCAGGCCAGGACACCTCCCCCACGTGCCCCTTAGACACCACAAACTCAATACATGTCTTCAAATCCTCCTCTCTTCCTTTTTTTTCTTTCTTTCTTTTTTTTTTTAATTGAAGTATAGTCAATTTACAATGTTGTGTTCATTTCTGATATACAGCATAGTGATTTATTTATACATATGTATATGTTCCTTTTCATATTCTTTTTCATTATCGGCCATTACAAGGCATTGAATATAGTACCCTGTGCTGTACAATAGGACCTTGTAGTTTATCTGGTTTTTTTTAACATTTTTTTATTGAGTTATTGTCATTTTACAATGTTGTGACTTATCTGTTTTATATACAGTAGTGTGTAACTGCAAATCTCGAACCTCCAATTTATCCTCCTCACTCCTTTTCTCCCACCTAGCTGGTAACCATAAGTTTGTTTTCTGTTTATAAGTCTGTCTCTGTTTTGTAAATAAGTTCATTTGTGTCCCTTTTCTTTTAGATTCCACATATAAGTGATATCGTGGTGTTTTTCTTTCTCTTTCTGGCTTACCATTAAATGGATGGCGTGTGATTCATGACTCGGTTAAAGCTGTTAACCAAAGAAAGAACATGGTTCACTATAAAATAGGTCAGAACAGCATACTGTGGAGGATTTTTCACTCTTCCTATGAGGGAACTGAGATAAAAGCTAAAATTAAAAAAAAAAACCTGAACTCTATTTTTTTAAAGAGGGAGTCTCCGCTCTTGCTTTTAGAATAATAAGGTAATATGTAAAGCACAAATAATATTGTCCTGGAAAACATTAGCCCCTCCCCATATGTAAATGAATTATTTTTCTAATGGACACAGTAGCAAGTTTTTTTCAAGTGAAAAACTACACTTCTAGATGGAGTCACTTTATGAGAATTACCAGCTTACATGTTTATCTCCACAGCTGTGATGACCTCAGATTAGTGCTTACCAAAGGTTGTACCTGGTCTGCAGCATCAGCATCCCCTGAGAGTTGTTAGAAATGGGGATTCTCTGGCTCCACCCAGACTTCCTGAGTCAGGAACTCTGGGGGTGAGGCCCAGCTGGTGGTGTTTAACCAAGTCTTCCAAGTGATTTTGGTGCCACTCAAGTTTGAGAACTGCTGATTGAAATAAACCTAGATCACTGATGAGTCAAAGTCAGGATTTTTTTATTAGGATTATTCCCCTCAGGTAGCATACTGATTCATGAACAGTTACCATGGGGTGTTTTCCCTGGCCAGTTTCCCATTTTGTCACAGAAATATCTTAAATTAAAGGACACGAACAAAGCTCTAGACCTCCCAGAGCAGAGGGGACAAGGAGTAACCCCACTGCAGAGAGAGGTGAAGTAGATACACGGGCTGCTGACTCGGGAAATAACCACCTTGAGAAGTGTGGGCAGTGCAGAGCCCATCCTCCCTGTGTGACCTTGGGCTGGTCACTTAACCTCTCTGTGCCTTAGTTTTCTCATCTGTAAAAGGAGAGTTATATTATCCATCTCATGTTAAAGAATTTTGTAATTCTTAACAAAATCCTGTAATTTTGTAATTTCCCAGGAGGGGAAAGAATGTACTTCACTTTGCTACATCTCACCCACCATTGAGCTCCTTGCCTTTTGAGGTCAATGAGGAGCAAAAGGGGGCCAAAACACCCAACAGGGGCACAGGGTTTGCCCTGAAAGATCTCAAAATTTCAAAAGGGTAGTTGTTGGTCAGTGTAAAGATTTAGAGAGTTATAAAAATGCTATTCAAAGCCTGTAAACTGTATCAACCATCAGTTAAAGACATGCAGACCAGGATATTCTGAAGACTTTGAACTTGAGAGTTTTCCCTTGTGTTATTAAGCCCTTAGGTTCTTCTTCCATTGTATTTTTTCAGAGCTGACCTTTGGCCTTCTGAGTTACGGAGAAACTCCAGCCCTCCCTTGCCCTCTGAACCCAGAAAGCCTCCCTTTCCTGAATAATTCAGTCACTTGGCTGCAATTGTGGGATCACTTGGAAAACCTAATAATCACCCTCTAGGCCCTCCGGTGTAAATTTCTGAGCCTGCCCCCCAATATGATCCCCTGTGTCCTTCTTTCATGGAATTCATCCCATGGAGTTTCTTCCCAGTCACTATTCCAGAGGCTTCCAAATCATATCCAGACTCCTGCTCAGGTTGGAAGTATTCTCCCATATTCAGTCTGACCAGACTGCACACCCACCCACACTTCACAGCCGTTTCTTCTCATCCTCCTGCTCAAGGGCTGCAGATCGCTGGTGTGGGCCGTTGGTTAGTAACGTGATGGTTCGCTCAATCTACCACCTAACTTTCCACCTTCCAGGCCAGTTTGCTTTTCCATTGAACCGTTTGGGTGGTAATACATTCTTTAATTCAACAAAATTAATCGAGCACAGGCGATGTTCCAGCTTGGCATATCAACAAAACAAAGCTCTCTGGCTTGTGCAGCTTAGATTCTAGTAGGAGGAGACAGATGATAAGCAGCAAATATAATAGGTGAATGTTTCTGTGTCGGGAGGTAATACATGTTGTGGACAAGAGCAAAAGGGGATTGGAAGTGTGGGGTTGAAGGGGGTGGGTTGCAGTTTAAATGATGTGGCCCGGGTAGGCTTCATTGAGGAAGTGATGTTTGAGTCTGGACTTGAAGGAGGTGATGATGTGGGCCATGCAAACATCTGCAGGGAGAAGGAGCTGTCAGGACAAAGGCCAGGCCAGGGCTCCCTGTGCCCAGCAGGCCAGCATGGCTGGAGCCAAGTGAGCCCAGTGAGAGGAGATACGACACCAGCAAGGAAGGCAAGGAGAGGGGAGTCCCAGGTCACACGGACGTGGTCAGCTCATGGACGGACTCTGAGTTTTCTGTATCATTACCCCCTGCCTTGGCTCTTTTAATCTCCAGTTGCCATCACAAGCAGGGACTCAGGACCTCTTACACCTACTACCACACTCAGCTCTCACAGATTCCCAGGACAGCAGGGCGTTTATGAATGAGAGCATTGAGCAGGGAATGATAAAGTGATTCCTTCAAAGAGAGACTTCTCACATTAAAGGTTAACAGGGACCCAGCTCTCTTGACTTTATATGATGCCCTGTCATTTAACACACACAACGATAAAGGAAGACACAGTATTCTGGTTCCACAAAATACTGGCATGTGACCTGGGCAAGCTTTGGGTTCCTTTCCTGTCAAGACAGGACTGGCTCAGAATGTGTGGATTACATGCAGGGTGTGCAGTAATTCCGGGACCTGTTCCTCCACAGCAATACACTGCTTTCCATACGTGAAGAAGCGGATCCCCGTCATGTACCAGCACCACACGGACCTGAATCCCATCGAGGTGGCCATTGACGAGATGAGTAAGAAGGTGGCCGAGCTCCGGCAGCTGTGCTCCTCGGCCGAGGTGGACATGATCAAACTGCAGCTCAAGCTCCAGGGCAGTGTGAGCGTCCAGGTGAGCCAGGCGTCCCACAGCGCAAACCACGGGGCAGCAGAGGGAACACTCCTTTAGACCTTGGGAACTTCAGGTGGCTCACACCAGCAAGGGCCGGGCTGGTATAGATCCCTGGCTTTACCTGTCAGTCCTGCGAACTCCCCTGATGTGTGGTTCCTCCTGATTCCAAAGCCTGCAGTAGCCTTAGGGTCTCTCCACCCCAACCTCCAAATGTGTCATTCTCAGCAAGCTGTGTGTCCCGGGCAGGGGATGGCACTCCAAACAACCTGGTTTTTCTGTAATTTAGGGAATTCTAGGTGCTTAATTAGAAGCATCAAGACTCTCAAATGTAAAAGAAGTGTGGATAACCCTAGGTTTTCATACAAAAGTATTGTTTTCTGATTTCTATGAAAATTATATCTGAAAAGTTACTTTTAAGTTTCACTCTCTTAGTCGCATCTTTTGATTAATGAAATTCTTCATTTTAATATAGCCCAATGAAAATTTTTTCTTTACTAGTAATATTTTGTGTGTGTGTGTGTGTGTGCTCTTTAAGAAATCTGTTTCAGAAATGTTCTCCTGTGTTTGGGTTCCTATGTAGGTCTGCAGTCCATCTGATTTTGCATTTGGTAGGGGTCAAGACATTTCTTTCCTATAGCAGTTTGAATGATGTGTACCATTTATGGATAAAGTCATCCTAGATTTAGGTGCTGATTACACAAATATGTTCAGTTTGTGGAAGTTTATCAAGTTATACACTTACAATATATGCACTTTTATGTTTGTATAGTACACTTCAATCATAAGGGTTTTGTTTTGTTTTGTTTTTTAAGGTATTTTACTTATATGGTTTCCTAAGAAATTAGTAGATGTTAAATTGCTCCCTCTGGTGACCAGTATGCTTCTTGCTTTATTGTTTTTAAGTGTATATACATAATTCTAGCACCTGCTTTATGTGTGTGTGTATTCCTCTATCTAATTCTTTTCTCTTTCAAGAAGGGTGTGTGTGTTCATGAAAGTTACATGTAGATTGCAATATAGCGGTTTCATTTTGTGAAATCAGTTTTTGTCAACTTTTTACCAGATCCATGCTAAGCTGTTACCTCCCATTTTTCTAAATGTCATTCACCACAAAAGTATTTACAGATGTTTTCAGCCTCTTCTCTTCTGGCCCCAAAGACTTATGTGCCAAAATGAATTATTGAGTGAATGTGATAAAATACTCCAGCAATGTGCGTGAGTATGTAATGGGCCGGAGGCCACAGTATTCTGCAACTAAAACCAAAACCACTCAGTAACGTGGCCTGGCCTGGGAACATCCAGCCTCTGTCTGAAGGCCAATGGAGGGGTGTGTGTGCCAGTAAATGGTGAAACTGGAGAGGATGAGCTTTCTAAAGGGCAAAATGTGCCCGGCCATTTGACAGTGACCTTAGAGTTTTATAAATGCCCGATCATCTTTAAAAGCAAAGAATTCCATAATGAAATGAGGAGATTAAGTTTATACATGTGCACCCTCTAGAGTAACAACAGAGTTGGAGTCAGGAGAAATGAACTTTGTTATTTTATTTGTGTGTTTCTTTAATTCTTCCACCAAGAGACTCTCTGGGGATGCTACTGTACAGTATAGAGCCATCAGGGTGGCTTTGTGGCTCTGCACTCCACTCCAGGATCTTGTTATGTCAGACTTTATCAAGTCTCATCAGCTTCTCCTTTTCAGTTCTTCTTAAAACTGAGCATCTGTATCATTTTGGATAAATGTTCATTTGGGTCATCTTTAGGTTATTAACATAGCTCCCTACACTTACCCAGTGACATACCCGGTTGTCACAGGGGGTTAGCTAGTTGTTCCTGTCTCAGAGGGCCCACCTGTAACCACTGTGCCCCTCTGTCTCCCCACCTCTGGTGTGAGTTCAGTTCACAGCTCAGTTCCCCAGCTGTTACTGTGAAAGTCCTCCACACCAAGGACCAGGAAGACAGACAGCCCTCCCTACCCATTACCTTCCAAGCCCACTAGATCTCCCAGGAAAAACCATGCCATAATCACATGGCCCAGACCTTCCCAAACTGCCTCAGGTGCCCAGAACTTTCTCGTTCCCAGCCAGTGTGTCTCACCTTCTTTCTCTCCACACTCCCGCATTTCCTGACTTACCCAACCTCAGAGAACTCTTCTTGGCTAATTGAAAGAGAGATGTGGGGTTCTGATGCACTCATCCTGTGGCTAAATGTCCCGAGTCTTTGGTCTTCCAGCCCACCTCAGATGATTGGTTCATTGGAAGACAGCAAATCAGCTTGTCCATGGCTGTCTACATGATTCCACTTGGTGAACACTTGGGTTTTTAAACTGTTCCATATACTGTACTTTACAGTTTTCATTGAGCTCCCCAGATTGACCTCTTAGCTCATTGTAGTGTAGCACAAATACCAGTTGGAAGACTTGGGCGCTGATCTCAGTTGTTTTGCTTATTGGCTGATTGACCTTGAACAGGTCCTGAAGTTTTTCAAGCATTGATTCTTATTGCATAAAATAAACCATCATCACAAGTGCTTTGAGGATGACTGAGATGATAAAGTCAAATAGCTTATAACCACATGAGCTTTATTCATGGTTTTCTCTTTGGGTCCTAAGTTCCTGGAGGGCAGAGGTCATGATTAACTCACTCGCACAGCATTTTTAGCAAATGCCAATGGAAATGAACTCAGTGATCATGACTATTTTCTTCATTATTTCAATTTAAAATCTTTGTTCTTTGTCTAGGTCAATGCTGGTCCACTGGCATATGCCCGAGCTTTCTTAGATGACACAAACACAAAAAGATATCCTGACAATAAAGTGAAGTTGCTTAAAGAAGTTTTCAGGTAAGGCACACTGGAAATGTCTTTCTCTTCAAGTATTAATCATTTCTGTGCTCATTCAAGGAAGAGATACCACCCCTTGGACTCTTTCTGTTTTCTTGGACACGCCTTGATTTCCCTCTCCCGCACCATTTCAGACAATTTGTGGAAGCTTGCGGGCAAGCCTTGGCGGTAAATGAACGGTTAATCAAAGAGGACCAGTTAGAGTACCAGGAAGAAATGAAGGCCAACTACAAGGAAATGGCAAAAGAGCTTTCGGAAATCATGCATGAGCAGGTAAGTGCCACACTGGGGGTCTTCTCATTTTAGACAGCATGCATCAGTTGGGTCTCAGGTGAACCCTCTTACGGCCTACGCCCTCTGACATCCTTCCAGAATTTTGCTCTCTGATGAATAATGTAGCATGCTACACTGCTGCTACTTTCTACCCACAGGTGCCTAGGGACTGGCTAGTAGCTTGCCCACCTGTCATTGTTTAATGTGACCAGAAGACAGCAGCCCCCTCCTCTTCTTCATGGCTCAGTCTAGCTCAGAAACAACCCACATTAAAAAAAAAAAATACCAATGCTGTTCCTAGAAGTTTCTTTATTCACCCAATCCTTTGAAAAAACCAGGTTTACCAGCCTGGTTTAAGGGATTGTCTGTTGCATTAAATGTCTTTTGCCATTTAACAAAGGAAGGTTGTTCAATTTTGACTGTTCATAGCTGACCTGAGTGCCCCCGTGGATTCCTCAAGGCTGCTTCTATATTCCTGTCCTTATGGGCAGCTTTCCTTATTACACTGCTCCCACTGCCCTCCTGTGTGAATTCCTTCTGGTAGGATTATGTATGTGGGCTCGGCAGTCATCAGAGGGGACAGCTGCCCAGGCAACCGGGTGAATGTCACAGGGCAGCTTCCCCATTATTGCTTTTGAGGGGTCCATTCTTCATCAACCACAGTGACCTCTTCCGAGTCACGGTGTCAGTCTTTATGATTGGTGATGGCATCTTGATAACATAACTACTTCTGTCTGCTCCAAACCTACATTATTTTCCTTCACTCTTGCAAAATGGAAGCCAAGGCCATTTGTGTCAGTTAACATAACATGTGATGATTTAGTTGAGAAGTTTCTGTTGCAGGAAACGAACGTAAATGTCTCAGCTTTAACTTGCTTTTTTTTCCCTCCATGCTAACACATGCAGATGGGATGGTAATGTCATTTTTAAATTTTATTTCTCTGGATCTTGATAACTGGCTCACATAAAGTTATTTCTGAGTTTGGGCACCTGCAGACCTAGGCATAGTGACAGTGCATGTGCAGAAGAAGGCAGCCCTCTCTTGGGCATTTAGAAAAGTAGGGAAAAAAGATGGAAATGATTAAAGAAATAAATATGTGAATAATTGAGCAGAAAGGAAGTGTCTCACAGGAACAAGATTTTGGAGAAAGGTCTTTTCTATGGGCCTCCATACTCCTCTAGGATGGTGAGCTTGATCAGAGGGTGCCAGCATTTGGCACTGGAAAAGATGAAAGTAGAAAAAAATGATGGGCTGAAAGTATTCAAATAAACTGCCAGATCGTATGGACACAATGCAGTGCTGTGCTCTAAATTGCACCTGAACTTTCCATAATCTCAACAACTATGAAGATTAAAGTTATTTGAGCCCTTCAGCAGAAGGGGTCATGACTTGGAGCAGCCTTGGTTTTGGTTTTTCCAGGGGAACCTCTGAGTGTGCATGTTCTTCTCAGTTTCCACCTGGCAACAGGTCCAGTCTGGCACTTAGAATTCTTTCCTGCATTACTGAGTGTGCGAGAGATTTGTTCAGGGTTGGACAGGCAGCCCCTCTGTCTCTCCTAGGATGGAAAGACCTGTAAGAATCTGTAACACCCTGAGAAAAGGATCTAGTAGAGAACACAGATGCTCCAGATTCATTTAAAAAAGACTTTCCCAAGGGACATGGCCAGGTCGTGTCCCCATCAAGTATGTGTAGGAGAGACTTCAAGGTGCCTTATAATCTGGTGAGTGTGAAAGGCTCTCCATTCCCTAACTTGTAAAGGAAACAAAACATGTTGTTCTTGACTTTCTTTTTAAAGTCCTGATCTGAAAAAGGCATTTATTAGATGAGCTGACACACTCCCTCTGCAAACTGCCAGACCCAGAGCTATCTGAGGGCACCATCATTCACGTGACATTGGCCAGTGGATGATAAGTTACAAGGAGTATCATTCAGGGCATTATGCTTCGGTAACGTTGTGTTTCTGTGCCTTGAGATTTGCCCCCTGGAGGAGAAGACGAGCGTTTTACCGAATTCCCTGCACATCTTCAACGCCATCAGTGGGACTCCAACAAGCACGATGGTTCACGGCATGACCAGCTCGTCCTCTGTGGTGTGATTCGCCTCATGGACCAAGTGTGGGGACTTGCTTTGTCATTTGCAAACTCAGGATGATTTCCAAAGCCAATCACTAGGCTCGTGCAAGACACAGGGGAGACCAAGCACAAGGAGAAGTCGTCGAGGGGAACCGAAGAAAAGGAAAATAAAGAACCATGTTATTTCACAGCAGATTTTCTAGAGGAGTCATAAGAGGGTATATGTATTTTTTTAAATCTCACTGGCAATATTCAACATTTTCATTCTGTCTTACCAGACATGTGTGGCGGACACTCTTAAGCTGGAGTTACATTTTATTCTTCCTTACAAAGTAGTATTAAAAATAAATGGCCTGGAGAAAACAAGTGTTCTGGAATGTACGTGGCACTGAAATTGAGGCCGGGGTAACTTTTTGCCTCTAGGCTAAGCTGGAGAATCTTGAAAATATTTTTTTTTCCTGTGGCACATTCAGGTTGAATACAAGAACTATTTTTGTGACTAGTTTTTGATGACCTAAAGGGACTGACCGTTGTAATTTTGTACCAGTGAACCGGGAGGTTTAGTGCTTTTATACTCATCTAACTTGCACTAAAAAAATACGAAAGCCTAAGAAACTATGTGAGCTTAAAGCTAGTCCAGCAGTTTAGAACCAAAGGCCTGTATTAAACACGACTATGCTAAAAATTTAAAGTAGTCCAGTATGCTGTTATGTACATAGAGTTTGTTGATACAGTCTTGGCGTTGTGTACATACACGTATGACATTTCTACATTTTTAATGCTCACATCAGCTTCTGCGTAAAGTTTAATTGTGACGGATTTGTGCTGTTCTTAGTATATGCAATACACTTGACTTTACTGTTTTATTCTTGTAAATAAAAAGTGCAATATGAAGATGTATACAGTCTTTGCTGTGTTAGGTTTATAAACTGTTTTAAAAATTTCATCCTTTTGCCAAAATGGTGGAGTTTGTCATTGGTAAATCTTAAATCTTGTGGTGAATAGTGGTGTCATTTAAAGCTTTCACCATGTTATATTTTCTTTTCAGACATTAATTTAGTAATTTTATATTTGGGAAAAATAAAGGTTTTTAATTTTATTTAACTAGAATCTCTGCCCTGCTGTAATTAAACATTCTGTACCACGTCTGTATTAAAAATAACATTGCTGATTTTCTTGTAGTGAGTATTGGGTATTTATTGTTTGACAGTCCTAAGAGGGGAAGGATATTGAAATTTAGGGGGTAAAATAATGTGTTATATGAAATTTGCTTTAAAACACTTGAGAGGGAAGAAGAGGATAAGTAGATGAAACAAAATTAACAAATGTTGATAATTGTTAAAGCTGAGGTTGGGTCAGTGGGGACTCATTATACCCGTTTCTCCACCTTTATGTAAGTTTCTGTGGTTTGCTTTTTAAGAGACAGGTCTAGGGGCTGGGTCTTCCAGAGGGCTTGGATAGATGCTTTGTTGCGCTGGTGTCTGGCTCTGAATTCTGTTTATTGCTCACAAGTCCGCGTAGTCTTGTGATACCTCTGTCTTTACCTCTTCAACTATATCAAGGCTTCTGTCTTGATGATCTCTCTGCTGGCCTTTGAGGTGACTGCGCCGGGACAAGGAGGTCACCTCTCAGCAGTGCATCGGGGCCAGGTGTGCACACACTCCCTGTGCACTCCACCATCACAGACCCCGAACCCCAGCCAAGCAATGGCTCAGACTGCAGGTACTGGTCCTGCCTCTGGTGTGCCCTGTGCCCCAGCAGGTGAGTCAGTTCCTTGTCACTCAGCCCCAGACAGTTCCAGTGATGGAAGGAAGAGGAGTCTTTCCACAGGAAATGAAATAGCCATTTTTCCTATTTGAAGGGTTTTGAAGGCTGCTTTTTTCATAACCATTTGAGGAAAGGAAGCGTGATACTGTGTACGTCCTGAGCATCCAGATGCCAAGGATCTTTCAGCATCTTTGGGACATTGTCCGTCAGTGGGTAAGGTTGAATTTACAGGTGGAGACAAGGTCATGAAGAAGACACAAGAATGATGCTCAGCCATCTGCAGCCCACTTATTAGTAGGTCCAGACTTGAGGCTCGAGAACATTCTCTATCGAGGTTTGCCCTGAGTTTCTGCCATCCCAGCCCTGGATAATAAACTCTGACATCAGCAGAGATGGGTCCAAGAGTTTGTCTCCTTTGTCAACTGAGCTGGATTTCCTAGTCATAAATGCTTCATTCAGAAGCCATAAAATTCAAGTCATCATGTAGTTAGATAAATATAAGTCTAGAGAGAGCTAACTTGCTATCTCATGGTTAAACTTGGGAAGTAATTTATATAGATTTCATGTCAGATAAGATTCAGTCTGGAAGGTGACCAGCTTCATTAAGTACAACAGTAGAGAAAGGGGTCATCCCTAAGTTGAAGACATCTTTTGACCCTGCACTGAAACACATTCACATCAATTAAAAACTTCATTTAGCTGCTGTATAAAATTTAATTTTGATACAAAGTTACACATTAAAGTAGCAGTTTGGAAAAAGATGGGTTTTTTAACATTGAGAAATGTTTATCGCTATTTTTCAGTAAATGTTTTAATGTTTTCCATAGATCTTTTTGTACATGAGTGTGGAGGGGAGGTAATCAGCTTTTACTTTTTTTTCATATATTTTTTTTAATGGAGGTACTGGAGGTTAAACCCACAGCCTCGTGCATGCTAAGCAGGGGCTCTGCCACTGAGCTCTACCCTCCACACCAGCATAGATCTTATTCTTTTTTATTGAGATAAAATATTCATAACATGCAGTTTACCATTTTAACCATTTTTAAATGTATAGCTCAGTAGCACTAAGTACATTTTCGTTGTTGTACAACCATCACCATCATTTATCCACAGAATTTTTTCATCTCCCCAAACAGAAACTCTATACCCATTAAACAGAAACTTCCTATTCCTTCTTTGGGAAAATTGTTTTGAAGTAACTTTGGCATTAAAACTCTATTTGAGAATAAGACTTACTGTATGATTCAGCAATCCCACTTCTGGGCATACATCCAGAGGAAACTCTAATTTGAAAAGATACATGCACCTCAGTGTTCATAGCAGCACTATATACAATAGCCAAGACATGGAAGCAACCTAAATGTCCATCGACAGATGAGTGGATAAAGAAGTTGTAATATATTTACATGATAGAATACTACTCAGCCATAAAAAAGAATAAAATAATGCCATTTGCAGCAACATGGATGGACCTAGAGATCATCATTATAAGTGAAGTAAGCCAGAAAGAGAAAAACATGGTAATATGATATCACTCATGTGGAATCTTAAAAAAAAAGAAAAGGAAAAAAAAGGACACTGAACTCATCTACAAAACAGAAACAGACTTGCAGACATAGTAAACAATCTTATGGTTACCAGGAAAATGGGATGGGAAGGGATAAATTTGGGAGTTTGAGATTTGCAAATGTTAGCCACTATATATAAAAATAGATTTTTTTTAAAAATTTCTGCTGTATAGCACAGGGAACTATGTTCAATATCTTAATAATCTTTAATGAAAAAGAATATGAAAATCAATATATGTATGTATATACATGACTGGGACATTGTGCTGTACACCAGAAATTGACACATTGTAACTGATGGTATTTCAGTGATGAATGAATGACACATTCAACTGATGGTATTCAATCAAAAAATTTTTTTATTTCCATCAACAGGATCATTTGCACACTTTTGTACGTGCACAGAGTGGAGTACTATGTAGCCACAAAAAGGAATTAATATCTCTGTTCTGTCAAGATACCATAAGTTAAAAGCACAAGATAAAGAAAAGTGTGAATAATGTGCTAAATACAACTAAAACCCCTGGACGTTATACATGAAAAAAAGCAAACAAACGTAAGAAGACTCTGAATGGTAAAGTGAAGAAAGAAGACCAGCTAGGGACCTTGGGACCCAAAGAACAATACAGTGGGTAAGTTCCCCGGCTTTCTTTGCCTCATAGATCCCATATTTGGAGGTGAAGAAGCCAGCAACATGGAAACAACTACAGGGAAAGACCCCCTCAAAAAAATCAATACCACTTCGCACCCATTATTATAGTTATTATCAAAAAAAAAGTTTTGGTAAGGATGTGAAGAAATTGGAACCCTTGTGCATTGTTGGTAAGAATGTAAAATTGTGCAGCTCTTGTGGAAGATGATACGGTAGTTCCTCAAAAATTAAACATAGAATTACCACTGGATCCAGCAGTTCTATTTTGGGGGGATATGCCCAAAAGAGTTGAAAGTAGAGACTTGAACAGATATTTGTACACCGATGTTCACAGCAGCATAATTCACAATAGCCGAATGATGGAAGCAGCCCAAGTGTCCACTGATGGATGGATTAACAAAATGTGGTATACACATACAATGACATTTATCTAGCCTTTAAAGGTAGGAAATTCTGACACGTGCTACAACATGGATGAACCTTGAGGATGTGCTCAATGAAACGAGCCAGTCACAAAAAAATAAATCCTGTGTGGTTTCACTTATATAAATTCCTAGAGCAGTCAAATTTATAGAGACAGAAAGTAGAATGGTGGTTGCCAGGGCCTGGAAGGAGTGAGGGAGGAATGGGAAATGGAGAGTTAGTGCTTAACTGGTCCAGAGTTTCAGTTGGGCACAGTGAAAATGCTGTGGGGCTGGATGGTGGTGATGACTGTGCAATAATGTGAATAGAATTAATGCCACAGAACATACACTTTAACATGGTAACTTTTTGTTTGTTTGGTTGGTTTTTTGTTGGTTTTTGTATTTTTTTTATTGAAGTATAATCAGTTTACAATGTTGTGTCAGTTTCTGGAGTACAGCACAATGCTTCAGTCATACATAACATGGTAACTTTTATGTTACCCTATTTAATCACAGTTTAAAAAAATTAAGGAACAGAAGCTGTTTTTTAGCCAAAGGAAAGTAAAAAAGGCAGCATAGCAAGACAGGAAAAACTGGGGCAGTAATGGCTCTACTCAAGCCAACACCACAGAAGAACCTGCAGCCCCACCCACACCCACAGCAGCAACGGCCAGGTGGGGAGCTAGACCCCCACCCTCTCAAGGCTGGAGCAGGGCTCCCACACACTTGCCAAGGTGGTGTCAGGAAAGGACTGAAGAGGGCAGGACTTCCATCCATGCTGACCTAGCAAGAGTCCTGCCCGTGATGGCCACTGGGGAGCCTGGACTTGACAACAAAAACATGACCCATAAAAGAACAAATTGGCACATTGAATTTAAAAAGTAAAAGTTAAGACTTCAGCTCTGAGAAGACCCTGTTATGAGAATGAAAATACAAGCTACAGACCAGGAGAAAATACTTGCAAACCAATATATCCAACAAAGCAGTAGTATCTAGAATATATAAAGAACACTCAAAACTCAACAGTGAAAAAAAAAATCGATCCAATTAGAACATGGGCAAAGACTTGGGGAAATGTGTTGCTGGAGAGGATAGTGACACCACCACATGCTGGTGACAATATGGAGAAACCGAGTCACTGGTAAATTGCTGGTGGGAAAGTTAATTGGCACAGATGTTCCGCAAAAAAACAGTTTGGAGTTTCCTGAAGAAGCCAAGTAAGTGATGACCACGGAACCCAGGGATTGCACTCCTAGACATTCATCCCAGAGACATGAGAGCCTACACTTAGCCACACAACAGCCCGTGCACACATGTTCACAGCAGCTTTACATGTAATAGCTCAAAACTGGAAACCTCCAAGAAGCTCTTCAACAGAGTGCTGCCTCCGGGCCATAGGTGCTACTCAGCAACAGACAGGCAGGAACCACAGGTGCACGCGACACCTATGACTCCACAGACCACGCTGGGTGGAAAGAGCCCATCCCAAAAGGTGACATACTGTACGATTCCATTCATATAGCGTTCCTGAAGTGACAAAGGTATACAAACAGAGCAGACAAGTGGTTGCCAAGGATGAAAAAGGGGGTGGGTCAGAAGAACGTGGGGGCTGTGAGAGGCAGCCCGAGGGATCCCTGAGGCTGCATGCTGCCTATCGGGTCCTGGCTCCTGTCCAGCCATGCGCTCTTACTGTGGGGAGGGTCTCTGTTGCCTTTCATGGGGTTGTCTGAGCCAAGACCGCAGCTGGGCATCAGGCAGAGTGCATGTGGCACTCGAGCTCCACA